GGATGCTACATCAGAAATGTTTATTCCGAATTTATTTTGAGCATATACAGGGTACAACAATAAGACGAAGTTTTTTGCCCGAACTTTGTAACACCCTGTAGGGTGCAGCAGGTGTAGTGGCTATTGCTAAATCAAATCACATTGTAGCCTCATCATTTGTGAGCATTTTGTTTTTTTAACTACGACATTATCTCTGTTTGTATTGGAGATACGCTGCTTTAAAACGAACGTCTCGGAAAAATTCTTCGCAGGCAAAACCGCGATTCATCCGTTAAAAGGACTTTAGTCCATTGCTCAATATCCCAATTCACATGTAAACGCGTGCTCGACGATGTCTTGGAAGTAGCTGGAGTCCAGATTAGCCTTAGCAGCAAAAAAGAGACGTTAACTCTTTTGAAAAAAAATGTTTATATCATAACAACCCTATTAAAAGTTCAGTTATTAAACAGGGTGGTCTGGAAACTCATGGCGTAAATTTCTACAAACCCTGTAAAAATGCTGTAGATTAATTCTGTTTGTCTTTGCAACCAGTATATTTCCAAATCTACTTGATGACTTAAGAAAAAATATACACTTAAAAGAAAATTTTCAAAACAACGGTTACTTCTTAGAAGACTTGCCATAATCACTTAGTAAAAGGGTCTTAAATGTATATCCCTTTCTTTTTAGAGGTCGTTTGTATTTAGAAAACAGCGTGAATGGGTCATTATGTAATTTATATTACGACGTTTTAACGGTGCCGATATAAACATCTAATTGTTTATCCTCTAATAAAAATCGTTGTGCATGATGTGCATCTATACAGGATGATTGAATAATAGAGGACGTTGGCTGTAGTTCGGGAACTTGTTAGTTAAATCCCATCAAAAACATAGAATGTAAAAAATTAAAAATCTCGTGACGTAGTTGTTCCACTACAAAATATTTGTGAAAGGACATAGTAGAGGATCCGGCTGCAGGATTATTACGTTCATCATATTTTTAATGAAAACCTAATTTTTACGTATATTTATGAATTAAGGGAATACACTTTTAATGGGAATATTAATTTTAAACCGCTAAGATGTATTTCAGGAAAATAATTTAACTTCTACAGGGTGGCTCAAAAAAGTGTGACTGGATCGGGAGGATTTTTTTTAATAAAACACCCTGTAATTATTATTATTATTATTTGGGCGTAATAATCCTGCAGCCGGATCGTAGACTAATATGTAAAACCAAGTCAGTTGTATTATTTAGTGTCTATGGAAGTACCTTTTGAACAAAATAAAAGTTAGTACTGTACAGTATCCAATTTTTTTTCTTTGTTCCAAATATTAATCATTTTAAAAGATAACTCTCTGGAACAGTAACATAGCGTTTAGTTATAATAAGTTTTAGTGGTTGTTATTTTTTGTTGTGGTTTCCTTTAGATTGATGTGTCATATCTGTATAAACGTTGTATATCAGAATTTGCTTCGAAAATTAATATTATTTCTTAGTTTTGCTACAACGTCCATCACAATGACAAGTCTTGTGAAATTCTCCTGTGTCGTTTTTCTACTGGGTGTTCTTTCGAAATCGGTCGAATTAAATAATAACTCTAGTCTAAACTCCTGTGATAATAAAGTGTGCATTAGAAAGTGTTGCAAAGAATTTGAAGCCATTACTCTGTACGATACAGGAAAATCTACCTGCCAACCATTTAACCAAACCCATCCTTACCTGAACTACGAAAACGTACACCCTGTATATCAGCAGCGATGCGGCAAAGACGAATATTCGATATATATCAATCACACCGATACGGGATTTTTATCAGAAAATGGGTCAATATTAGTACCATCTCTTGGACTAGGTGATTTGGTTGTTCCTGCTGACAAATACTGCTTTGATCACTTCGATGGAGCTGCTGGGGTTTTTCTGTGTTTCAGTTCTGAAACAGTTGAAAACGAACAAAATCACGTGACCTTTGGTAACAAATATTTGTATTTTTATACAGGGTGTTGCCTGCTAATATTTAAGGACCTGCTAATATTTAAGGGGGTGATTTTTGGATCTATTCTAAGAAAAAAAAAATCATATGAATGTATGTCCTAAACATCTTAACTTTTGTTAAAACATCTTAAGTACCTATTTTTAGATTTTCAAATTAGCTGATAATTTGTGAGATACAGAGGCCAACTTAATTTTTTTAAATACGGACCTGCATTTTTTTATTTCAGATTTTGAAAGAACTCAGTCTCCTGAGTACAATGATATGCCACACTTTATACTTTTTTTTGGTTTGGGTACCTTAACAGCAACAAAAATTCTGTTACGATCTAATAATTTGCATAATATTAATCGTAGTTATTATGAATAAATTAACTTTTACAAACTAGTTTCTAATGCTTTACATAGTCTACATGTTCGAAAGGGTTGCCACCCTCCCTATTGCACAAATTTATTTTTCTTTCAATTTTATTTATAGCTTTTGAATAGATCTTCTTATATATTCGAATGCATTTTGTACTCTTTATTATAACAGCCGAGATGTGTTGATTTCACTTTTTTGTAAAATTTGGACCTGTCGAATTACTTGACGTCATCAGACGGTCCAGGTACCTCGCTAGCCATTATACTTCTCTACCATTTCGAAGCCATCCGGCAGGGCCGTATCTGGGGGGGTGTTTTGGGGGTTCAAACCCCCCCCGAAATTATGGCCGAAAATTTTTAGAAAGTAATGATCATTAAGTAAGTAAGTAAGTAAGAACGAAACAAAAAAGAAGAAGATGGATGAATATCAATGACTAAAGAATACCAGAACATGTAACGCCCATATACGGGCTGCAGCAGAATTTGTGACCTTAGACGCCAACTTTTTAGACATCATCAGCTGGTCATCAGCGAACATTTTAGCGATTTTTAATAGTTGTAGTAATTAGTTGTAGTAAATGGTTGTGTGTAGTGAACTTTGTATAAACTTTATTACAATGGTAATTTGTTCAGCTTTCAAGTGTAAAAGGCGCAATGATAAGAAAGAGCCAGAAGTTACGTTTTATAGGAAATAAACAGTACCCTACACCTTTTAGCGTTTTTTATTGAATTCGATAATTATTTTTCTGATATTATATGTACTTGATATGTACTATACGTCGATACTAGTTATGTGCCTTTTGTCAATATTTTAATACGTTTTTTTCATAATTAATTAGTATATGATACCACCCGATACACCATTAGGCGTAGTGAAAACATATAATATCAAAAATATAAATATCCTTTCAAGCGGCAATGTTAAGTAAAATATGTGCCACGGCACTGTTTGCAAGAATGGTCACAGTTTGGTCTCGGGTGCTATTTGTCCTTGTATTCTTTAGTCATTGATGTTATACATTATACACCCTAACCTCACTTTTCCACTTTGAAAGCAAATGTCATTTTCGATTTTCGACTTTCAACATTCAAGTGTTTAAAACAGCAAAAGTTTGAGGGAGATTTTGAATGTTGTGTGTTTTGCTGGTCATTAACGTGATAAACGTTTGTTATTGTTCTGCTATTAAACAAATAATTCTTGGACTATGACACTTTAGCGGCAGAACTAGACTTGTGGCGGCAAAAATGGAAGCAACTACCTGCAGTCGACCGACCTAAAAACGCCATCGAAACGATAATCGGAGTGTAACCAGTGTATATTTCCAAATATATACATTTTATTAATGATCCTAGCAACTCTACCAGTGTCAACAGCTACACCAGAAAGGTCTTTTTCAACCCTAATGCCGCAGCCGCACATGCGGTATTCGGCGATCTCGGATCGGGGCTTCGCCGATTTCCTATGTGTGTGAATGAGGAAGTCGGACTTCGGCGACTCGATCGGCGGCGAGAACTAGCGCTCGTCTCTATGTTGTTGCTATCAGAGCCCGCATGTGTGGATGGAAAGGCGAAGTCCGATCACTAGCGTTCGGTAGTTGACGAACGCTCGGAGTTGGCTAAATGCCGCATGTGCGGTTGCGGCATAGGGCGATTGAAGGACTTCCTACGTAACTCTACAGGTCAGGAGCGATTGACAGGACTTGCTCTATTAAGCGTACATAGAGAAATAAATATCGATATCGAAGAGGTAGTCAATCGTTTTTCCAGTTTATCCTTTAAGATTAATAATTTTTACCTGTTACTTTTTTAAAATTTTATTTTCAATTAAGATTTGAGTGTAGCCCAAAGCGATTTTTTATTATGTTTTTTTCCTAGCAGCTTTTGTACCCCCCCCCCTCCAAGCCAAACCCCCCCCCGAAATTTTGGTCTAGATACGGCCCTGCCATCCGGGGAAATGATTTGATTGTTCATATTACATTTTATTCATATTATTTTTTATTATTTTATTGTATTTGATTTTTCCGTATTCAACCCACGTCACTGTTAAGTTTGAAAGCTTATCAATATTGTAACGATGAATATATTAAATATTAAAAAAAACAACAGAGCCGGACTTGAAATTAGTTTAAATAAATTGTGTCCAAATTTCCAAAACAAAAATAAAATATTAAGTGTGGTACATCATTGTATTCAGGAAAGCGAGTTCTTTCAAAATCTGAAATAAAAAAATGCAGGTCCGTATTTAAAAAAATTAAGTTGGCCTCTGTATCTCACAAATTATCAGCTAATTTGAAAATCTAAAAATACTATCAGATAGCCCTAATAAAGTGGCTGGAATGTGCAATTAGTTTTTTGATTTTCTAAAAAGTATCGACAGGAAAAAATAAAATTGATTTTCAAAAATATCCGTTTCTTCCAAAAAACTCAGCAATCCTTGAAATTTTTAAAACTTTTTTGATGGCATCATGGTGAACATCCCAAAGTGGCAACTTTGCCCCGATTTAACTATGTTCGTATCTATTACGGTTACCGAGTTACCAATGCTCCTACCTCGAATATGTAGCACCCTGTATATTATATTTATACTCAACATAGTTCCAATGAATAAAATATTTAAATATTCGTATTACTCATTTGTATTAACATTATTTTGTCTTTTCCAGGTATGATAATATCTATGCCCTTTCTGCTGATGACCTTCCTGGTATATCTGGTGCTTCCCGAAAAAAATGTCCATCAAGTAGCCTTGATGTTCTATGTCCTCCATCTTCTATTAGCTTACGTCTGTTTGGTCACTATCAATTTGTCACCTCATTTAGATTTCTGTCATGCTGCAGGTGAGTACAAATTTTCTACACATGTTAAGTGTTTTTTTCTCTTTAGAAATATTCTAAAACAGATATTAATATTTTTTCCTTGTATTTCATAAATATTCCTAAACGTGCCTATTTTATTTATACAGAGCAATCAACAATGATTGAAATAGTTGACTATTGATTTTGCTCGTTTGGTTGGCAATAAATTTAAAAAATTTGAATATTTATCAGCTGCGCAATAATCACTAGCGTAAAAACAAACCAAAAATTAAATAATATGATTTTTTGACGATATTTAAATTCGTAATGTGAGATTAATCAAAACAAAATGAGAAATAAATGGATTTAATCTCTGAAGGTTTTCTAATTTAAGTATTGAATAAGTATATTAAAATATATGGGTTATGTTACGTGCTCGTAACAAATTTTCATAATATAACTGATATTAAGGTATCATAAACTAGTTTTATTCGAAAAAATGTTCGTTAGAAGGCACTCAATATAATAAAATACATTTGAAATTAAGAGTAAGAAGCTCTACATATTTTTTATAAATTCAAAATGCATCTTCGTTTGTTGCTTCTTGGCTAACAGTATTTTGAAATCGTCCAACTATATACAGTACGTCTGTCCGTTGGGACCTCTGTCCGTTCTGTAGCTACGGGGTATACGTGAAAGGGGAAACGATATTCTCTCGATGTTTTTCGTAAAAAATTAAACGACGCGTCCCATCAATAAAAATTCGACAAATTTGCAAGTAGCCAATAAAATCAGTGGGCGGAGCGATTTGCGGTGACGTACTCGTCAAGCCGACGTATAAAATATATTGCTGCTTATTTAAAGGTTTTTTGTTCGCATTCCTTTCATAGACACAGATCCAACAGACGTACTTTAAACTTATATTGAAAAATAATATATTTTTTTACATTGAACAATATATCGATGTCTCAAATAACAAACTTAAAACGTCAATTTTCCAAAAGATAATAATAATAATAGCTCCCGTATATAACGTTTAACGCCTTGGGAGTAAGCAAGGTACAGCTTGCCATGCTAGAGCCGTTCGGTATACAAGGAAGGTAATGTGGCCAGCATTACGCTTCAACCGCCTATTATTACCTCAGGATTGTGAATCCCAAGTACTCATTTAAGAGCTTACTTCGGGTTTCTCTTATTACCGATTCTGAACCGTCCTAGAACTGTGATGCGTATGCGCAGAAGGAAATATGAAGACATTATTTCATTTGCGCATGCGCTGCAGAGTTCTAGGTCGGTTCAGAATCGGTAATAGCAAGAACCCGAACAAAGCTAAGGCTGAGTCGACCTAGGTACCTAAACTATTTTTATTTTATTAAAAATAGTCGGCTGATGAAATGCCGGGTGTAGGATTCGAACCCACTACCTTTGGATTGGTAGACGAGAGCTGTACCTCTACGCCGCGCGCCGCGCCACCGGGCACCTTAGAAGAAGATAAAAAGTAAAAAAAAATGACATCAATGAATTGAGACAATTTGCTAAAAATGTTATCAATAATTTGTTTTAGCCTGAGTACCAATAACTAATCCTAAAATTTTCTCATACAGTATTGCCAACTATTGTCATTCTTGATCGTTCCGTAGATGATTGTAAATTAGTTATTTTAATAAATATCTACAAAAACCTACGAAAAACTGATATATTTTTATTTTTTTCTACTTTTTTAGCCTATATGACGCTCTTCTTTTTTGTGGTATCTTTCTTTTGGATGAATGTAATATGCTTCGACATTTGGTATACTTTTAGGTAAGATTTTAGACAAAAAGGTATAATCACTTCATCAAAATTTGTAATAAAATCACTGAAAATTTATAAACGTTATATACCTGTCAAATTTATCATCAGCATTTTTTGTTGTTTAACTATTTTTTCGGCATTTTTTAGTGGTGGTCGTGGATACGGAAGCAAAAAGTCCTCAGAAAAACGCAAACTTATTTTGTACACCCTGTACGCCGAAGGACTGCCCTTACTCCATTTATTGGTGGTCTACCTCATGGACAGATATATGGACACAGATTCCATACATAAACCGAACATAGGAGTAACAAAATGTTTCCTAGCCGGTAAAACAATATAAGAAATATATATAGTCTGTCCTGGAAAGAATATATGACACTGACAGTTGCCTCATCATTTTTTGTTGTCGATATTCTTTTGCCGGCAGACTATATCTCGTAGAGGCTTTCATTTATTCATATTATTTGTGTATTGTACTGACATTTTATGTAATGTAATACATTTTTTTAACAGACGGATTTCCTAATCTGTGGTACTTCTATGGTGAGGCTAGTATTTCCGTCATAGCCAACATAGTATTTTTCATTTTTACCGCCCTGAAGATACGGCAAGTGAAAAAAGAAACGTCCATGCTAAAACAAAACGAGAGCAAGAGGCACACGTTTGAAAAAGAGCAACAAAGGTAAAAATTTGTTTTCTATAGGTATATTTTATTTCTTTAGTGAAGTAATGTTGAATGCTTTTTTGTCAGTTATGTGATATGGATGACCAATTTATCTGGAATGATTGAGAGAGACTAATCTATTTTTTTTTCTCCATATTTTTATTTACATTTCAATTCAAATATTTTTTATATGTTATACAAGGTCTTGCACCTGGTGTATACCCAATGGATAAATACAGGATATATTGAATTATAGCAGCATAGTAAATACCCGGTAGCATATTCGTATCGGACGTAGCTTATTGCCAAATATACTATAAGAATATATTGCTAGTAAGAACAAAGGTAAGGAACAGAAATTGAAGCCAAATTTTTGAGATGGAGCTATACAAAATCCTATTTCTTTTCTTTGGCTTCACTTTCCACTCGTTGTGTAAATGCGATACTAGCAATATATTCTTATAATATATTTGCTTAAGCCTTGGCTTCCTACAAAGCGGCAACGTTAAAGAGCGGCCGTACTTCAACGTATGAGGCGCTCTAAACCGCGAGCTACACCGCTAAAAAACGTGTTTGTACTTACAAATCGGTGTATGTTCCTCCCAAGCCCCGTCCAGATTAGCCCTGGCAGCAAAAAGGTTAACTTTTTTCCTCCAAACCGTTCGTCTCGAAAAAAACCGCAGCGTATTTTATGAAGCGGCCGCTCTGTATGGTGGGCTATTGCAAGCACGTTTTTTACGGTGGGCAATATTTGATTCGAACCATAGAGAAAACTAAAATAAATATTATATGATAAACAATATTATAGAATTGTAACACTATTTATTTAATTTATATTTCTCTATGATTTGAACTGATTCCAAGCGAACAGCGGCAGTATTTTAATGCACCGTCTTTAATGTTACTTTACAATAATATTCACCATTAAAGCGGCCGTACTACTCGTTGGCAAAAATAGCCGCCAAATTGCGACTTTTACAGCACCGTTATGTAGAAAACAAGGCTTAAGAGATTTTTCATACTAGTTGTTTTTTGGAATTGCTTCGAGCTGCATAGGATTTCGTGGCGATGCAGAGCGCCGTCTTCGTTTCACGAGCGGTCCATCCCTACGGTGTCGTTATTTTATATCTGTTATTTTTTAGAAGTAGCAACAGTTGCGTTATGTAATTTCTAAATAACTGTTACAAAATAACAGATAGTTAAATAACAACCCATCTCTACCAGAAATATACCAATATATACTGGGGATATATCTACAATATTCCTCATTGGGTATATACTTTCTGTGTGTACACCAGGTATATACCCAAATTGTATTTACCGTTGGGTATTTACCCACTGCCCATTAAGGTGAATATGCCAGTAGTCGGACATACACCGGTAGTCGGACAAAATGTATTTATTGGGAAATAAGTTAAAAATATGGCTTCGTATTACTTCAAATAATTAAAAACCCAAACAAAAGAGTTATCACTTAAAAAAATAATTAATCATTGGCAGGTTTATGAAAAAAACTGTTATATTGAACATGAAGCCCAATAAGCATACTATCTATTTCATAAAATTTCGTTTTGTCCGACCAGTGGCATATTCACCCTACTGTATGTTACTAATATTTGACTCTAAATTATTACTAACACAATTTATTTATTTCGAAGGCCACTAGTAAGTATTTTTTACAGATTCAACTTGTACCTGAAGTTGTTGCTGGCCATGGGCGTCAACTGGAGCATGGAAATAATTTCCTGGCTGGTCAACTGGCTGACCAACGAGCAGTACTCCTACATTTGGTACATCACCGACTTCGTTAACGCCGCCTATGGCGTCATTATTTTCTTCATATTCGTGTTCAAGAAGAAAATGTGGAAATTGCTCCAGAAACGGTATGTAGGGATGAGTTTTTGGCTTGAATGGACGAGGAATTATTGCGGTGTTACATTTGGATGAAGTAAAATGTCCTGAAATCAAGTTTATTTTGTCAAAAATTTGTTTCTCGAGTAACGATATTATGAGTATTTAAAGATAGGTATTTGTAATATTTATATATATATTTTTTTATTTGATGATACCATACGATCGAAAAAAAAACGGCTGGGGAATGACATTCGATGATAATTTTGGCAAGGTCAAGCCCTAGACGACATTTACTTAGCCTGTACTCTTCTTTATTTTTTTGTGGCGCTTACTGCCTGTTGGCCTAAAGATGGTAATTTATTTTTATATTGAGTAAATATGTTTTTTAAATGGTGTAGTTTAATTCGAGACATTTTTTTTTCGAAATAGATTTGTGTTTATGGAAACGTTCTATCCTTTTTTAATCTCTCTATAATTAGTAATTAGTGTTAATTTTTGACAATATTTATGTCAATGTTTAGTAAATGACGTCTAAAGATTGAACTCGCCATAATTATCATCGATTGTCATTTCCCAGCCCACTTTAACGCCGTTTTTTTTTCTCGATCGTACGGTATTTAATAACCATAACAATTAGGATTCTTAACTATCCATATAATGTTTAAATAGTTTTATTCTTAACTGTATTCTTATTAAGTACTTTGAAAATATCATCTTTCAAAAAAAATTGTGGATTTTCTTCCAGTAGCAAAAAAGCAGAATTCTTTTCAAGAAATGAACCCGCCACGATGATATCTTTGATGATATAGACATTATTTGTCCCCTATATATCAAAAATCAAAAGTATCAAAAAAACAAAAACAACTTTATTTTAATTATTATTATTTTTGTTTAGTTAAAACTTGCAAATATGAAAAAATGCTCAAAATTCCAAATGTAATACCTATCTGTAAAAAATGTATTGTATTTTTTTGCTAATTTGCTTAAAACCAAAAAAAAATGTTTTGTATCGTTCTTTTATATATTTTTGTTGAATATTGTCTGGTGAAGGTATATTGATGATTAACAGCGCTTTCAGATGGAGCGGAGCGTCCGCGACGGACCGTCCGTCGTGTTTTTTCAAAATAGCCGTCAGACGGAGCATACGCGGCCATGTGAAATTGTTCATATAAACTCATGGTACTTGCTCGAAGTCGTGGACGCTCCGCTCCATCTGAAAGCGCTGTTATTTGTAAGAGTTGACCTTTTAGGACATGAAAGAAATATATACATTATTAAAGATTTAATCATTTACAATAACATTTCAAAACACACTAAAAGTTTTCAGTTGAAAAAAAAATTGAAAAAAATAAAACCTGTAAAATAAAAAAAAATACACTATGGTAACTTAATATTAAATATTTTGTAATCTAATATTTAATATAATTTGACCACACAATTGTCAAAGTATATTTTTTGAGATGGGCCTTTAAGTGTACTATTAGATCAATTTACATGGTATTTTTGTATTTTCCTTTGAATATAAAAATTAAGGAAGGAGCATATCAAAAACTTCAGGTGGAGTGCAATGGAGGTTTAATATGGCTGGCTTAAATTCCGGTTTATCAGTGTGTTCTAATTTCATTTAAAACGTATACAAATATAATGTAGGGTAGACTCAATAATTTGTTGGTTTTGTTTTACCTCGTCGATAAATGTTATTAATTATTAAAATTGCTAAAAAATATTATTTCTGATAAAAATAGATAAAAAAAAAGTACTAGATACTCTACTGAAACACCTATGTCAAATTGGTAACTTATTTATTTTGGACAAGTAGTAAATAAAAGCGTAATTGCAAGAAAAAATTATATAATCAGTGAATTTCATAATTGATGAAGTTATATAGTTACTTACCAGTTAAAACTTATTCCCTTATCTCGATTTTTGACCGAAATCTACCGCACGCTGCACAACTATTTTAAAATCTTTTTCTGAAATTCGCAATAATGTCACTGTTAATCTAAGTTCCGACACAAAATATTCAGCAAAATAAAAAAAAACACTAAATCACCACAATACACCAAAACACTTTTACAATGGACGCGCGTCTCGCTAACCATGTTAGCTTCATCAGCAGATGATTAAAACTCTTGACTTGAGTCTTAATCATCTGCTGATGATGCTAACATGGTTCAAGAGACGCGCGTCCAGTGTAAAAGTAAAAGTGTTTTGGTGTATTGTGGTGATTTAGTGTTTTATTTTGCTGTGTAACACCAAAGGTTCCAACCCCCAACTGTAATTAACAAAATATTCTTTTAGATTTACTACTCCAAACAAAACCAACTGTAGAATAAATAATAAATAACATAAAATAAGCTCAGAAAAAAAAATCTGCAAAACTTCAAATCAAAAACTAAAACATGGGGACTTATGATGTCAAAATCGATCACTCATGCATGACTACATGGAGAGCATTATATTCTTCCTAAATCTTTTTATTCAAAGGTATTTTCTTACACAAGCATTCCAATGTACTACGGACCTCACCAGAATGACAACTGTAACATAGCGATGCTTTTTATCTGTTTTTATTAACTTATATCCATAAAAATATGCTTTTTTGCTCTTACCTTTTTGTACAAAGACGAAACAATATTTTCTTTTTGTCTGTCTCTCATCTCCTTACGATTTTTGTGCCCACGTTTTTTTAGTTTTTTGGGTCAACTCTTGTCAGTAAGTTCGTAGAAGACCAGTCTGTTCCATGTTTGTGTTGTCCGAATTTTAGATTTACTTGGAAAGATTCGACTGAGACTGTGGGAACTGTCTCCACGTCGGCGTCCGCTAGCTCTAGTAACTTACCTAACAATAAAAATGCCACAGAACTACAAGCTCAATCGAAATGAACAACAGTAAGTGTTCCCCAGCAACGCATCAAATAAGAGATAACGACTAAACGTAAAGTGGGCACCAGAAAGAATCGTGTACCTTAATCGCAGATAATGATAAAATTGATAATTCAGCATGTAAAATGGGTACAAGAACATAAATGGTCGAAACTGTTATTCATAAGTAACAGTTAAAACTGTTATTCCTAAATAACAGTTGGAACTGTTGTTCCTATATGACAGCTGGAGTTGTTATTTATTATTGAAATAACAGGTTTCTCTCTCTATCTCATATGTGTGACTGTTATTTAAAAATAACAACGTGTGTGGTGAACAATCGTACTGGATCATTATAATCTAATCCATAAAATACCTACAATCCTCTGTTATTTTCGTACTTTCGTACCTGTTATTTTTTGTATGTAACAGGTGTGGGAAGCTTGGTAGAATTTTGTGATGCAGCAATCTCAACTACACATAAAAAATATTTTGCGCACTGGTATTTTTATAACAGTTCTATTTTAACAAGTAAACAACTACAACAAAAAAACAAAGTAACAACTGTTGAGAACTGTTATTTTAAAATATAAAATGGTTAAATTACAACGATTCTATTTTAAGAATTTATAAAAATAGTTCAGTGCCTATTTTACCTCTATCATGTAATTCATTTCGAGGTGCCCACTTTACATATTGAATCAAATTTGTGAGATACAGGGTGTCCACTTTACATATAGTCCAGCGATAACCAATGCTCTCTATACATCTAAACTGAACGAAATTTGATGGTATTGGATGCACTTTTTGTAGCTGAGGGTGGTGTTAACATTTTTTTTATTTAGTTTTGGCGTGGGTTGATTATCTCAAACAAAAACTGTCATGGACCAGTTTCACAGTTTGGCTACAGATTAGCACCATAGTCTCAGAATTAAAAACGATGAAATAGTAGTCGCAGACTCAATGTTGATTCTCAGAAAAAAGGTTATCCTATAATATTTAAATTGTTGGTTCAAACCAAAAATATTATAATTGTCTGAGATTAATTTAACAGAACCAGTTTATTACAATATTTACACATTTTATATTTGGGAATCACCGCTGAAGTCAAATTTTTTTAACCAGTTGCATGAGTGTAGGTGGTAAAGTAGGTATTAAAGTTTGCGTGTGTGTGTGTGTTTTTATGTGGCTTACATAATATAGCATAATATGGCATGCATTTCTTGCTTGTGCTTATAAGTTGTTATAAGCATGTTATTTAAACTAGAAATTATATGTAATAACTATTTAGCGGTAATTTATTTTACATTTTGGCAACAATATTATCCTTGTATAATATAAAGAAGGATATTACCTGTAGAAAAAATTAAATTATAAAAGTTAAGGAACCTTTTATAATTTATAACTGTATAATTTTCGATCAAACCAAACCAAGTCTAGATATAAATAACATAAACAATTCAAAAATTAAAATAAACAATTACAAAAAAAATCAAAAAAGAAGAAATCTGTTATCTAGTATATGTACGACAAACAAAAATTGGCATACGTATTCCTTTTTATACACGAATCAGTAGAAAATGCTTGCTAAAATGTGAAATAAGTTACCTACATTTACTTTCATTATACAGGATGGTAAAAAAACCTATTTAAGTCACAAGTTTTAGAGGTATTAGAACGTAATTTGATACACAGCATCAAAACCAAGCCCCACTGGTCATACAAAATTTGAAAAGACTGTATCATCCTGTGTATTGAAAATTTCGAGAAAGAATCATTAGCATGATACTCCTACAAACATTATATTTAACAAAGTCGTTTTTATTTACTTCTGGTGGAGGTTGTAACAACAAAAACTTTTTGATTTCATTTTCAGCTACTACAACCTTATGGGAAAACCGCACCTTGCCAGGGCTGTCACTTCTACCACGGATACTCGCACCAGCCATTACTCTTCAACAAACTACTCATCAGCTGACACCCATCTTACAGACCGAACAACCATCAACGACAGGACCAGTGCAATTAATCGAAATAATAGAAACGAAGAAATACCTCTACATCGATCATAAATGTATTTTTTTCTTTTTTTCTTTGATGATATCAATAAGTATGACGCCAAACGGGTATACAACCAGCAATACACTTCGTCATAACGATTTGAGTTCAGAAACTTTCATTCTAAAATATAGTCCTTAAGTATTTTTCATTTAAAGACTATTTAAGTCTGTCCAATGAGAGAATCCCTGACAGTGACAGTTGTGTATGTCACGTTAATCACAGGCTTTCACAGGCAAATTGTATTTTCTGTCATTTTTTGGATGTCTATCGAAATCTTCCCAAAAGATGATTAAATCAGAGAATTACTTCCAAAGATATTTTGGGAAGAACCGAAATTTACCGATTTCGTTTTTATTTTATCCTAACTCTATTGGAAAAGATATGGTAATACAAGTATCACATCCCATTGCCACTTTTCCTGGTCTAGTTGAGGTTTTCAAGTTTCCCAGCGTATCGTTTGACATGTACGCTTGCGCAGTGAAATTCACTTGCGTTTACTGATACGTAATACGTATCTTGGAGTGCCTTTAAATTATCTTACATCATAATAATGTCTCTGTTTTAAAATATTTTTTTAATACTAAGAACTTTTAAGTTTTAAACTACTTCCTATAATATCATAATTCCCATTAATAACATTCTTCGTCTATCAATATTGATATTTGAACCAGAGAAGAACAATCGCTTGAACTATGCTCAGTCATTGGCATAACTGCAGGGGTGACTGGGGGTCCGGGACCCCCCCTGGTACTGCTGGGCACCCCCCAGAGAAATCCTGAATTATGACTCTTGGCTACATATTAATTTTTATTTGCTTGTGATGCAGTAAAAATGACGTTTTCTAGTTTTGTTTAGTTAATATTATTTTGTTGTGTTCAAAAAATATGTTAATTTTTATTTTTTTTAGAAAATTTGTAGGTATTTAAGTAATCTACGGGAACACGGTTTGATAACCAAGTCTACAAAATTTATTGATAGAGAAATTCATGTAAACGTTTTATTCAAAAAATGTGTATTTTAAAATTATTTTTTCATTTAAAAAAACAAAGCCCTAGGCCCCCTGAGCTCAACCCCAGCCCCCAGGCCCACCCCAGTATAAATTGCTAGTTACGCTAATGCTCAGGGTTCAAAATAAACGAACAAATCGAGCCAAGTATTAAGATTCTGTGTATTGTTCGTATTGTGTATTCGGTGTATTGTTAATTGTATATCTTTTGATGTCACTACTTATCGGATATAATCATAGGATAGAGCGTCATCAAGCAATGTCAAAGTTACTTAAAAATATGTGTACATACGCTGTGAAACAATACTTGAAAACTTTTAAACAATTTAAAAATAACCAGTAACTGTTTTATTCAAAAACCAAGCCAAACCTATATATACAAGACACCCTTTTATAAACAAGTTTGGGTTCCTAATATTCAAATTTGACAGTTTGATGACGTTTCTCCACTTTAATTTAGCTTAACTTTACTTTTATTTTCTTACATTTTTTTATTATTATTTTTAACAAAAATTCTCATATTATTGAGCCAAACGCTTTATTTTTTGGAAGCTTTTACTTAAAAATTATCAAAAACATAAATATAAGCTTTTATATGTTGTAAGTTTAATTTTTTATTACATAAAATAAATGTAATTTCTAGTCAAATTAGTGTATAATTTAATTTTGTACTTTACTTTAATAAGATCATAAGTATAAATATTTTAGTTAGCTGAGTTAATATTGAGTTAAGCTTTTATTAACTATGTAAAGAATAAAAAATAAATATGTATAATCGACGCTTATTTTGATGCCCTTTTCTCAAGAAAAATATTGGCCATATATGTTTATATAAACTATAAAAAACTTTATATACATATTATATAATATAAAGTAATTCCAAGAATTAGGATACCTGTTTTATATATTTTCCTCCCTAAATATTACAAAATAGATTGCCTCGTTCTGACAGATTTGTTTTTAAATAGAAATAAAATGCATATTAGTAACGTAAAATCTAATAGATTTAAGTTTTTTTTAATACTATATAGATATATTCTGATGTAAAATGATATTTAAATATAGTGTAAAATAGTATATTTAATTTTTTTTTCGCTCTAAGCAAACGTTTAGCATCTTTTTTATCACTCTAAATGCACAATATCCGTCTTACCGCATCAATAGTTAATTTAAATTCTTTAGTTTTGATCGTCTGTGAAAATAAGTGTTTAAAATTAATTTTAAATAAGCTTAGAAAGTGAATTTTTCGTCAGTTGCCGCCATTTTTTTTGTGCCATATTTTATATTCTCGGAAAAATGTATATTTAAAAATTCCAGACCACTCATACAGGGTGAGATTCAAATAGGTAGTAGAAAATAGATGTGTTCTCAGAATTTGATCTCAAAAAAAATATTTTTTTCAAATTTTCAAAGTAAAATAACTCAGCTATTTGAACTTATTTAAACAACAGCGAAGAGATAATATATTTATTATATCAATATACCAGCCCTGAAAATATTTGCGCTTATTGAAGACTGACCATGTATAAAAAAAAGCAATCTTTATTCTGTATAGAAATTTTATTTTAATTAACTTAAACAAATTTACCGCAATTTCAAAATAACCTAATTAATATATACAAAACTTTAAAACAATCTAATTTAAAATTAAAAATTATATGAATAAGAACTATTATAGATTTAAAAAAAAAGGGTCAAACTATTTTACTTTTTTTACACATAATAGTCAGGCTCTGACCCCTTAATCCTACATACTATCTACTAAAATAACTGAACATTTTACTTTTTATGCAAAAGAATTTTCTCCATCGGCTCCCGCACCGTCGGCATCCTCCAACGAAGAGAAATTGAGGAAGTGCGCCGGTCTATGCACTTCGTGGTAAAACTCCTTTGGATTGGCCAGCTGAAGTTCATACTTCATGCTAGGATCGTGACGCACGCCTAAAATAGAAGTAAAATACAATCACATAGAAAATAATAAAAAAACAAAAATACAAAAATTAAAAAAATACACATGAAATCACATAGGGTGAAATCAGGTAAATATGGTGATCATACTTAATATTTTAATCTTTTAATAATGATTTTAGCAATATGCTGTTGAATTGGGCGATTAGTTAGCTTGCTTGTAGCAAATACTGTTACCTGCTAGATTTTTTTTGTAATTCAGAAGCGCATTATCCAACTTGATACCTTATCAACCCAGAGTCAATTTAGTACAAGTTGTCTACATACAGATTTGTAGACTTCAGGACCCCTGCGCAACTCATCATCACTAACTTAAAACAGCAAAAAGCCTCTATAGTAAAATTATATAAAAACTTCCGAAAACAATTGTTTTTATAGTTTGGAAACGAGCTACAGATGTAGAAAAAATTCTAACAGAAATGGTATTTCCATACATATATTTACTCTGTAAACTTACCCATAAAGTTGTAATTCCACGGTCCTTGTGAAGGTACCATAAAGAACCCTGTGAACCTATCTGACAGCAACATCTGAACCTTTTCGTAGTGACTTGGTAAGTAACCCTTGGGGTTGTTGCCTTTATCTGTATTTTGTTTACCCCACTCAAAACCGGAAGGTGTCAGTTTGTAAGCAGTCAATGAACAAGAACCTGAAAATATCAAATAGAAACATGAATAACTTAATTACCAAAAATTGAGCATCTACGCACATAAAATTGTAATTCTTTATTTTTTAATCTATTAAAGATCAACTTTTCTCAACTAGTAGCTTTTTAACTAAAATACGTGTTTTTTATATAGTTTTTATACGAGTTTTTTTTGTTCTTACGCTAATCCTATCGGAGTGCGCCAACTGCATTTTAACATCCAAAAAAATAATTATCATTAACTTTAATTATTACTTGTTTTATTCAATAGAAACTTAAACCTTATAAACAATTATAGAAAAGTTTTAAATAATTTTACATATAATCTCTATTAAAAATCAATAGTTCACAATTGTTTTGTTTTGTTTTTATTTATATGTTTTTATCAAGGCTCGTTTAATCCTATCGACTGCGCAAGATATTTTTATTCTTCGAAAATCGTATATTTTATGGATGGTTGTATAGAAACTATATTTGCTACAAGTATTTGTAATATATTTTTGTAATTCAGACGCGCATTATCCAACTTGATACCATATCGACCCAGAGTCAATATGGCACAAGTTGTCTACATACAGATTTGTAGACTTCAGGACCCCTGCGCAGCTCATCATTATCACATCACTGATTAACTTCCCCCGCCCTTACAATCAACAAAGTCGTCGTCGTTCTGCTAACTGTTTAATAATTTAAAATCCTGAATATTGTCAAATTACCTGGGGTAAAGGAACAGGTAATAATAATAGTCTTCTCTCCATCCCAAGCAGGATTATCTGTCATAAACTTAGCGTGGGTGGTAATATCTTGCGGAGAAAGTTGCGGTAGTTCATTGGGCTGGGTATGGATCCAACCTAGCGGCTCCATATCCTTCAAGAAAGGATGATTGGGTGGCGTATTAGGCAAATGGACTGTCTGATGAGTACCCCATTGTGGAGCCAACACCAAGCACCTCAATTCTTTGACCTGGGGGTTATCTGGAGGGCTCACGCCGTACAAAAAGGCGCATATCTGAAAAGAAAAATTATTAACATAAAAAAATATGCATCAGAGACAAATTCTTCTTCTAACTATCAAAAAGACAATTTTCTGTATGTTTTGTGATCCTATCGACTGCGCCAGATAATTTTAATCACCAAAAAATGTATTTAAAATATTTCCAGATCTTTGTGTATTTATTAATACAAACATGCAAATGTTAATAAAAAATATTTTTTAAACTCCTATAAAAATGTGTATATTCAAAAATAACAAACGCAAAACCTTTTAAAACCTTTGTATATTTTTTAACCCAAGCGGGTAATTCATAATAAAAATAATTTTCCAAATTACTATGATAAAAAAATGTAAAAATATGCAATCCTACCGACTGCACCAAATAGATTTAACTATAAAACATTGAAAAATGTATATTTAAAAATGGTGTAAAACCCTTTTTAAATATTTGATTATTTTGTAACCCAAATCTTTAAACCTTAATAAAAGTTGTAGTGAGCTTCCAATAATAAAAATAATTGTAGAAATATGATTAATCTAGTAATTAAATTAATCTGAATTTAGAAAAAAATAATAATTATTTCTTACCTGAGCTCGTAGATCTGATATTGTGACGAATTTCTTGAGAACGTTCTTTGGAAGAATGTAAGTGTAGCCTGTCTCCTTGATGTCATCTGAACTGACGTATATATGGTTTGTACTGAAAAAAAAACATAAATATGAGTAAAAACCTCCTCTTTTTAACTTAGATAAATATTACAAATTACAATTCCTGAGTGATTATAAGGTAATTCAGAAGCGCATTATCCAACTTGATACCATATCAACCCAGAGTCAATATGACACAAGTTTTCTACATACATTATTGTAGACTTCAGGACCCCTGCGCAGCTCATCATTAATAACAACAAAAACCGCCATGAAAAAACTAAAGGCCTGTCTACACATAACATTTTGCCTGTCAGTCAAAACGTATCAAGTAAAAACTTGTGTGAAGACGAAAAAAGAACGTTTTACTTGAATTGAACTAAGACGGAAGGCCGTCTAGAGGATCTACGGGATTTACAAAAAATAATACTGGATATATTACAGCATCTATAATAAGCGACCTTTAAAAATCTAATATTTTTGCATAGTTTCCCAAAAAAAAAGTTTCCAAATTCGTCTAGAGATGATTTTAAACTTACTTACTAAATTAAAAATTACTTAAATTTAAACCATAATTTAAAAGTAAAAATACATATTTTTTTTTTGGTTTCAACTTCATCAAACACAATGCTATAATTGAGAAAAACGCAGATATAACTTCCAGTGTATATGCTAGTTTAGCTATATATCTTAGTTATTATGCTAGCGGAAAACAGTCTGTAGAACTGCAGCCATTTTTTAGACAGTCTTCCGTGTTAACTTACAAGCAACTCTGACATCTAAATCGTTATGTCTAGACGGAGCTTAAGTTTTTACTTACCGAAGATGTAAATTCGTAGCCGATATAGCACGAACTCTCCATTCTGTCTTTGAACTGAAGGTTTGCGTCTCATAATTGCTGGTAGTACTAGTGATGATTTCGTCACCGTGCTTATTGACAGTTCTGGTAGTGGTAGCTGTCAACTGAGACTGTTCTTTGGTCTGTTTCTCGATTTCGGCGATTTGCTGTCTCTGTGCCGAGGGTGCGCTGATCTCCATACCCAGGATGATGTCCCGAATTTCGGATTGGGTGAGCGAAGCCACATTAACGCTGAAAATTAATGAAAGAAGCTAAATCACACAAGTGTCAGTACAGTATTTGTTACTACTAATACAATTATACAGGGTATACCAATATTCCGTGGACACAGAACTACTATATATTTTTGAAATCAAAATAAGTTCATTGGACACAATTTACCTCTAAACAAAAGTGCTTCGTTTGTCCGTTAGAGGGCATCAAACTTAAAAAAAAAAAATAAACTATTGCTAAAATTCTTTTTATTGCTAATTTTTTTTGTACATACTATAAGTTCAGAAGCGCATTATCCAATTTGATACCTCATCGACCCAGAGCCAACTCAGCACAAATTGTCTACATACAGATTTGTAGACTTCAGGACCCCTGCGCAGCTCATCATTTCAAAAACCCCATCGATTTAAAGTAAAGAAAACAATGCGACACACTGTATAATGATCACTTACTTGTTCTTCTTTCCGTAATCGGCCAAAATAAGATCCTTAAGCTGCACCTCCACCTTGATCCATTCATCATCAGAAAGAGTAGGCCAAATATGATGCGCTTCAGTAATGGTGGTCTTATCAGGTTTCAAAATAACTTTGGTCCGCTCTGTATTCACGTGGAGCGCTCTCAAAATCAGAATCAGTCTCGAAAAAGCCTATAAACAAGAAAATTTAAACACCATCTGTCAATGTCAAGAAATTCAGCAACAGATATACTGGAACTGAAATTTTGTAACATTATTATGACGTCATTTAAAAATAATGTTTAATTTTTGCCTACGGTGTGTGGCTACTTCGTTGTATTTGGGAGGACTCAAGCTTTTAAAAAGGAAAATAAAAATTCAGGTCCGTATTTAAAAAAAATAAAGTTGATGATTGATTCATACTCTCAATAGCATATACGTTATTATATATTATTTATATACATTATATCAGTGGCAGCTGAAGCACCCTTCTTCAGAACCCAGTAGCCACCACTGCATTATACTACTCGAAAAAGTATATTTTAGAAAGGTAACTTACGGTATACGACGATATAGTCTTCAACCAATCATCATAGAGATTGAACAAGACCATCTGAGGTTCCGTGGCCTTCAGAATCAAATCGCCGAATTTTTCTATCTTCAGGCAGGCCTGGAAAGGCAGCTGTAATTCGGAGCCTTTGATGACGATATTGGGGAAGTCCAGAAGATGGACTTCCAAAGGATCCAACATGCCTTTTCTTGTCACAATAATTTGTTTTGGTTGTTCTTCTACTGGTAGAGATCGGATGAGAGCAGCGACTTCTTCAGCTGTTTTCCATTTGGCCAACTAAATAAAAAAATTATTTCAATTTTTTTTTGTTTTTATTTTTCAATTGTTTATTTTATATTTGGTTTGTTTTTATTTCTTTTCTGTTTTTTTTTGTTAATTTACGTAACCCCTCATAATCGTTCTTAGTATTTCAAGAGAATATTAAGAAAAAAACAACAAAAAGTATTTTATAAAAATAACGTAAGCTTAAAATGTGTAAAAATATTAATCATTAAAATGTACAAAAATAATATTGATCTGAGTACTAATATTTGATTCTTAATTATGATTTTGTTCCCTACATTTTCAGCGTTTCATTAATAATTTAAAAAGGGTAATAACTGGACTATATACAGTGTTGTCCTTAATATCTCAAGGAAATTTAAAAACAAAGCAGAAAGTGTAAGAAGCCCTCTTGTATGTATAAAAAAATAACGCAAGTTAAAAAATGTACCAAAATAATAGGCAATTATCAAAGCGCAAAGATTTGGCAACAAGGAACGCTTACTTCTACCGATTCCAGCGATTCTCAAAATTTTATTATTAATTTAAAAAATGTTTTGTATTGTTTTTGTTTTTTCTCAATTTTTCTTTTTTTTTAACTTACCTGACCCAAACGTTTCTGTCCGGCCCACACAGACGTATGAATGATCTTCAAGAACAGTTGACCCGTCCTAGGGTTGAAAATAAAAATAGCCCCATTAATGGGTTTGGTAGTCAGATTACCCTCAAACGTCTTGTGAATGGTCACCCTGTATACGTTGGTATCGTCAACGAACCAAATAATTTGATTGGAGAATAATTCACCGTAATTCTGACTGGATAAGTAAGGTTCAGTAGGTTCACTCGAATATAATTGTAGGGCTTTGCGTATACGTTCCCTTAAGACATAGAGGGCAGGATTGGCTTTCATTATTTTAGCCATGGCTTGCTGGATGAGTGGTTTGCAACCGGGGAACCAATTACCATAGGCGCTGGAATTAGAAAACATTTTTTTTTGTAAAAATTAGGATAATTTTGGATAAAGTGAAGTCAGTTTCTAAACTAAGTCTGTTTCTTACCTGTGGAGGTTATAAGCAAGATCGATAGCAATCAAGACGCCAGTAGGTGAAGGATATATTGACATGTTATCTGTGGTATAGTCCAAGAATTTGGCTCTAGCGTAACGTTCGATGTCATGGGAATCGTAATCTCCCCATCTGAGTTGTACGTCTATCCAATATTTTTGAGTGGTTGTATTGTCCATAGTATCTCTAAGAAATTTAAGAAGAATATATAATAAAACCACTGACCAATGAGAAAGTTTCTATAAAAAACAACATAATTTAAAAAATTGTACATGTATATCTAAATTAAGACACTTGGCAACAGGCTCAATCACTCAATTACTTCTAGTAATTCCAGCGGTTCTCAACATTTGATTCTGTTATTCATACTATCTCATAAAATTACAAAAAAAAGAACAATCAAAACTTTTCTACAAAACAAAAAAACGTAAACTTAAAAAATGTACTAAAGTAAAAGATTTTTAGTTTTCAGCAACATTTTTTACGTGTAATTGTATGTTATTATAAAAAGTAATCAATCTTTTTTGGAAAATTCAAAGCTCAGTTTTTTAAAACAAAACCTTTTATAAAAAACCTAACTTATATAAAATGTAATGCAATTTAAAAAAACAAATATATGTAATGAATTAAAATCTTACTTTGTGTCAGCTAATAAAGATGGTCTCGAAACGTTCCACTTATAAGCAGAAAACAACAGTATATCAGCGCACGAAGAATTCATCTTGTACGACTTTCTAGGATGGATAGTTTCTTTCTGGACAGTCTCTATTTCCAGAGCGTCCAATTCTTGATCAAAAACCTATAAAAAAATGTTTTACATAGCAAAAAAAAATAATAAATTTTTTTTTAATCAATAAAATCCCTTATAAAATAAATCTTACTTGACAAAGATCCATAACGATAGACTCGTGAACCTTTTGCCACAAGTGAGCTCTGAAAATCTGGATCAGGGATATCTTCAATGTTGGAATTTTGCCGTGCATGAAAATGCCAGTTAAATCAAGTTGGACCTGGAAACCGACGTAGACGTTGGCTCTGTTGATGGTGGGCGACCACCACAAAGTGAAACGTCGATTAGGGATTTGATTCAAACCAGAACGTTGGGCGTTGGTTAGTTTTTTGTATTTCATTGATTCCTCGAATCCTGAGGCTTTTTCCCTGAAAAAATATAACGAAAAAATTGTTAAAAGAAAGTTTCAAATTAATCAAAATAATACACAGATACAGTGTGTTCTTTAAACAACTGCAAAATGTTCAAAAGTAAGTTATATCTAGAAACAAAAACATATTTTCAAATTATAATTTTTAAAATAAATTGAAAATAAGAGTCATTTAATTTTCATAATTTATTCTTTATAAAATGAAAATTACTGTGAACTTATAAACCCTTAAATGCAAATAATGTAGGAGGTGGCAACATTGCAATGTACACAGTCAGATAATGTAGGAGGTGGCAGCATTGCATACACTGTCAAGACATTTCAGGAAGAGCAAACCAGTAGCACTGAATTTTTTTCAACAATTTTTCTTGCTTAAAAACCCCATGGACCCACGAGCTACCAGTTAAAATATTTTCAATTATTTAAAGACACACTGTATATGATGCAGAGTTTATCAACTTACCAGAAAAGACCTTCCCAAGTAGGAAAATACGTTCCTTTGAACAGAGTATGTTCCAAAATACCTTCAACTCCACCCAAAGCCTGTATCATGTCAGTCCTGTAATTATTCAAGTTCCAAAGTTTGCCGTCGTGTCGCTGGTGAGTCCACCAGAACGGATTCTGTTTCAAAACCTGGTACTGCTTAAACTCGGTCCTTATTCTCCAACCTTTGTCGTACGCCAAAGTATGCCTGTCTTTCTGGAACAAAGTGTTTATCCTGGGTATTCCCCTGTCCCAAGAATCTTCAAGGTCTTCCAAGGTTAATCGTCGGTTTTGAGCGTTGGCTTCTTGACGTTTTAGGGCGTACTCGGCCCAAACTCTTTGGGAATCGATAAATTCCGATTCCCACGGCTGGATGTATCGATAGAGATTAGGAATGAGCTGGTCTTCGTCGTGGCTCATACCAGACCGGAAATGAGTGATGCCTACGTCAGTTTGTTTGGACCACCTAGAGAATATAGTCGCTTTAAATTAGAGATGGGCAAAAAATCATATTAGATTTTTGATATTTTCAGAGTGAAATAAAAGTTTACTCTTTTTTATGTGTCAGGAAAAATTTCAGGTCCGTACACAGACAGAAGATGACTTATGAAATTAATTTATTTCAAGAATGACAGAACATATTTCAATATGAGTGGAGTTCCGAAACAGTGAATGACGCACGGACGCATCTGCGTATGAAATCGACCTTAGATTTATCAAACTTGTCAAACTCTCGTCAAATTAAAGGTATTATTTGTGTCAAATTATGTAAAATAACCAGAGTTGTAGAAAATGATAAATATTTGCGATATTGCTTTTGCAATTTGGTTTGTGTCATTACATGTGATTTGTATCTTTTAACGTTAAATGGAGGAAAATTTTGTTTTATTAGTAAACTAAAGCTCTGCGCGCACTGCATCGGATCGGACCGACCAGCAAAAGCGACTGCGACCATCGTACATATAGACGGCGCCGGCGTCCACTAGAACATTTCGGCCTGTAGAGGCCAGATTCCTACCTCTGCCTATCTACGATAGTCGAGTCACCGCCTTCGCCGTTTTTCGCCGGACTGGTACCGATTCAGTGCGCGCGCACCTTAAAGGTGATAAATTGGTCTCCGTTGCGAAAAACCCAGAAGTCTTGTTTGAAGAAATTAACATGCATCAGAGACAGAGACATTATTTATAATTATATCAGTTTTGTTTAACAAAATGTTTCTCTTATTATTATTTTTTAATAACTAAAAAAAAGATAAGGAAGTAAGAAACAAAGAAACAAAGAAAGACAATAAACTAAGGAACAAAAAAATGAATAAACTAAGAAATGAAAAAAACTAAAAAAAACTAACAAATAAAGATATTATTTTTTTACCTTAAATCTGATTGTGGAATCAATACGTGACCCATGGATAACATTCCTAAGCCTCCCAATTCTTTGGGCGTGTAAAATACAACCGGGGGGAAACGACTGGGCATTTTCGAGTTCAAACCTATCTTGATACGAGTCTGAATTTTATTTTCGCACTTTACAAGCAAATCAAGCAGCTCTTGAGTGTTTACAACAGCCTCTCTGTAAAGAAAACAAAAAAAAACATTGTATAGTAAATTATATAAAAATAGAACAAAGTTATATTTGATAATTTTTAATACCTGAAATATGTCATCAGACCAATCAGAGCTGTGTTCCATTTATTGACGATTTTTGTGAACGTGGTTGAACCTGAGGCCATCAAAATTTGTCTCACCCTGTTGTGGAATCTGCTCATTGATTCGTCATCGACCCTCAAGAAGCACTGTGCAGTCCTGTAAGAAATAAATAAAATAAAAAATTTAAAAAGTTTAAAAAATAAAAAAATACCTCTCTTTGCTTCCTTCGTGTTGCAAATTCCACACACCATCCCTATGAGTAAATTCATCATGCTGCGTACGACATTTCGGTAATATTCTGCATTCAAACCCGCACATATTGAACAGCAAATTCGGATTATCCTTCGAATAAACGCTGACAAAACTATTCTCCCATTGTATGGTAGTCACCGATCGTGGAAGTCGATTTTTTATGTCCCAAAACACAGCTCGACCCCTGTACAAAAGGTTTAATTGTAAAACCAGGTAATTTTTGGGGGGAATTCTGGAGAATTACTTACAGATTGACGTCGTGTTTCATCAGTCTCATCCTGGCGTCTCTTGGCCAGCATTTTTTGTTGTTGTAACCGACAATGTTCTCGTTGTTTGGATCTGGATGTTCTGTTAAGTATCTTTGGATCAGATCCTTTGCTTCTTCAGCACTGAATCTATAAAAATACGTCTTATACGTTTCTTAAATACTTCATTAACTTCATAATGAATTTAATTAATAAATAAGATCTGTTGCAATCAAAGACACTTAACTACAGAGAGCACATCACTCCATTCTTAAAATACCGTTTGTTTACAATCATACATACTTTAACATTTTTAAGTTAAAAATAAGAGATGGGAGCATAAATATGACAACTCTGTTGATTTTCGTTGGCATTTCTATCTATTCAGTGGCTTGCTGTTTTTTATCCACAATAGTAAACATTTTGATTTATAATATATAATGCAATGTAATATAATAATTTCTGATATACCTACACATATATTTACTACGCCGTGTCTATAGGTACCCAAAAAACTATTAATAACAATAATGTTGAAAACGATGTTTGATCGGGATAAAATGTAAATAGTTTAGCATCCTTTAAGTTACAATGTCTTTGATTACAATAATGTAACAACCTGTTAACTCTGACACAGCATTTTACCTGAAAAACATATGAATCCTATCCACGTATCTGCAGTACAGTCTGATAGGATGACAGCTCTCCGTCTGCACATCCTGGAACGTCAAAAAATCGTTCGGCATCTGAGGCGGCCCTGCCATTTCACTGGCTCTTTGCAAACCCAAAATCAGCAAGTCCAAAACCAATCCATAGTATTGTGTGATGAATGAAGCAAACTGCAGGCCCCTGATAATGCCGTAACTGTTAGTGTGGTTCATGTCTTTGTAGTTGATGACTACGTTATTCTTGGCTGTCATGTAGTCGGCGATGTTGTGATCGACTATCAGACGCAGCAGTCGATTAAGTAGGGTTAGGTCGATTTTTTCATAGAGTTTTTCGAATTTCGATTCGAGCAGTACGTTACATTCGCCTTCGTTAACGTCCCAGACGTCCTGTAGATTATTTATACCTAGAAAGTACAAAAAAATACTAGATACTAAAATAAAAAACCTTAAAAACGGAAAATAACGTTTTAGTCAGCTGCAATGGTACAAAAATATAGAAATAACTTGTTGAAATCAATAAGGCAGTAAATAAAATAAAACTATTTACCTTGGCACCATTTATAAACCAGTAGAGGTGGTGGTTCTGTATCTGATGGTTTAATCCATGGGGGAAATAGTCGTCTTTTGTCTGCCTCATACCAAAGATACTGATCTAAATATGCATCAGTGATTTTTTCTAAAGGTTCAACGTCATAAACAGGTATCAGATGACTGTACAAATCCATAAATTCAATACCAACCTAAAAATTGTTATAAATCTTCTTTAAAAATAAATAACCAAAACTGATTTCTGGTTGAGTGGCTTATCACGTTATTACAATAAGCCCTTCAATTCAAACATATAAGGTCTAAATATATCACAATACAAATAATATAATTTTTCTTTTAAAACGTGCCTCAAAATTTAGTTAGCTGTGGCCCTGTATATTAAAAAAATATATCCTATTATTAACCTCATATTCAGTTAAAAGACTTTAAAATAGAAAAAATAGAGAATCCAGAAAAAAAATTAAATAAAGCTTTTTGGAAATATTTGGAAATATGAGTACACAATTTAAAGAAAAAAAAATGTTTGCCAATAGATATCAACTTACTTCTTTAAAAGCCCTCTGTGTCAACAAATGACGTTTAATCCTTGACAGCGCCTCGTGGGGATTGTCATAAGCTTGTTCAATCAGACCCAGTTCTTCTCTCTGACTCTGATTCAGTCTGGATTTGACGCTGTAAGCTTCTTTCAGTCTTTCCAAGGCTAGAATCAGCAATTTCGTGTCGTGCTTGTATGATAACGGCGGAAAAGGTATAGGCGCAAAACGTCTGGATTCGAGCCAATGGACTGTGGTGGTGTAGATTGCCACAGCTTCTTCTGGAGAAATATACGGACCGTCCTGTAAGAAAAGGAAGGTAATAAAACGTAGTGATATAGAAAACTGAACAAGTGCGAGTCGGACTCGTTAAAAATAAAAATCTGTTTAAACTTTGCCAATGAAGCCCTTTCATACAATACCCCACATGACATGATTAACCGCGCAAATCCTTGCATAAAGTAAAAAAAAAATAAGTAAAAAAGTAGAAGGTAATGAAATGTATAGCAATTATAGATTAAAACACTGTCATACAAACCTTCAAATAATTGTGCTGCCTCTCCTGTTCGGCCTTGAGATACAATCTCGTGAGTCTACCCAAATTTTTCTTGCAAACCGTTTTGTCCACTGTGGCACCTCTGCGTATTCTTTCCCTGTTGTAATGGGCTGTATTCGTCCACCAATCGGCTTTCATTTTGACGTATCTCAGGATCATGTTTTCGATGGGAATTGGCAAACCAGGAACCTAGATAAAAATAACCAAAAAAATTAAAATTTATAAAAAGTAAACAATTTAAAAAGTACCTTCCAAGGTATGTTGGCTTTCCAGCATCTCCAGGCTTCTGAGAGATGTTGCAGTATGGTTCTGGCTTTATTTTGTTTAATGCCTTCGGGCATCATGTCTACGATGTCGTGCATAACTGACGCACGCAATTCAAGATCAAAGTGTGATTCGACTCTTTGCTTGGTCACAGTTTTGGCCACACCTATAATTTAATAAAATAAAAAATGAATCCAATGATGAACAATGTTTCAGCTGGAATGATAAAATCGTGACAACAAAATACCGTGTAATCGAAAAAAAAACGGCGCTAAAGAGGGCTGGAGGGCAATCGATAATAATCTTGGTGAGGTCAATTTCCAGGTCGTTTACCAAAAATTGACATAAAACTTGACAAAAATCGACAGTAATTATAGAAAAATTAAAAAAGGATAGAACGTTTCCAGACACACAAATCTATTTCCAAAAAATTATTATTTTCTCGAAAGTTAAACTACACTATTTAAAAATCATTTTTTCTCAATATAAAAATAAATTAGATCCTCCTTACGGCCAACTGGCAGTAAGCGATAATAAAAATAAAGAGTACCGGCCGAGTAATGACGTCCAGAGCTTGACCTCGCCAAAATTATCATCGGCTGTCATTCCCTAACTGTCTGACGCCATTTTTTTTCAATCATACGCTATAAGGATTAACAATTATAAATAATATATTGAAAAAAAGACATAATTTACCTTTTGAGTGACGTCCTTCGAACTGACGGGATAGGAGATTACCCAGCCATCTTTCAAGCAGTGGTGTAATGCCTCTCATGAAGAATAACCATACTCTCCAACCTGGTGCCCAAAAACCACAGCCTGGACCCTTACCAACTGGGCCCTAAAATAATATATTTAGAAAATTACCAAAATCGTGGATAATCCTTTTCTACCGTAAAATATATGTCAAAAAGATAATATATATGTATGTATATACATATAAAAAAAATCTGAAAAAGGCTCTGGCCTTGGATTGCTTAAAATATACGTAAAAAACGAAAAAAACACCTAACAATTACGGATAAAAATACTAACTAATTGTAATAAAAATGTTATATGTACCTATATTATAAAACAGAACTTACTGTGTTGAATCTGTAATAGACCAAGTGTTTCAGATCTTTGCACATCCTGATCTGTCTCATCAGTTTGTATTTGTATCTGTACATCCCTGTCAACTGACCAACGTGAGCGAAAATATACTGCAAACCATCAGCCAATTGAAAAGCGTCCACATTGTTCAATCTATATTGAACGTGCGAATCAATGATCAGTTTGGTCAAACGAAGAATCTCTCTGCACAAGTGGAAAGCTACAAATTTAAATAAAAAAACAAGGTAAAATATTAAATACCACTGAATAAAAAGACAAAGAAAGGAACATTTATGTAAGTTTGCAATTCAGAAGCGCATTATCCAACTTGATATCATATTGGCCCAGAATCAATATTCAATATGACACAAATTGTCTACGTACAGATTTGTACACCTCAGGACCTCTGCGCAGCTCATCATCATCAATATAAAGTATATATTTCTGAATGAAAGCTAAAAAATGTAAAGCTCTAATTAGTTAGGTTAGATTATTACATTAGTGTTCTCTGTTTGGCAGATTCTACTCACAGTCCGTAAACTGATTTTTAGCGCAGCTGAAACATGCTGAAAAATACATAAATTTTCAATAAAAGCTGCAAAAACTGAACTTTTAAATTTTACCCCACTAACGCAGTTTAACAGCCACAGGGACTTGCCATGATCAGATAATCACTTTCTTGTTCAAAGTAATAGAGACGAAACAAGTTGCTGATTCCGATTATTTAGTGGTTTTAGTATTTTATTTATATACATACAAAATATATACAGATTATCGCCTATCCCTGCAATGTGTTCGAGACAACTAGATAACCGATCCATGTATATTTCACATAAGTTCGTCTGTTAGGCAGACACTGGCGCAACAGCGCAACTCCAAAATTCCGAATATCGATTAGCCCTTACTCTGAGGATTAGCCAATAGTCGAAAGGGTCTTTGATGATTTCTCTAGAGTTTTAATTAACATAAACTTACCATTTCCGAATCTGGATTTCTTTCTTTCTTTGGTCGTCAGAGTTTTGACAGGTTTCAAGTTGAAATTATAATCTAAATGGAGATAATTCAAATTCTTCCTGTGAATCAACAGATTCAACATGTTATAACCCTGTCTACAAACCTGTAGACCAGCCTCAACCCAATCCAACGTTGTGGTTTGGAAGAATTTCGTTGATTTAAAGGACCTAAAAATAATTTGACGATATTTTTGAAAATAAAAAAATAGGTTTAAAAAATGTATAACCTGAATAAGTAACGTTTCTTTTGTGGTTTGGGAGGTCGGTGTTTTAAAGCATTTAAAACGTAGTATTTTAGTAGTTTTTGGTAGCTGACTCTGACTTTAACTGGCTGACCAGGAGGGCAGTGTTCCATGTACCAACATTTGACAAGTGGTACGTCTATGGCCCTTCTAGTACGACCTAAATATCAAAAAAATGACAAGTGTCAAAAAATAAACCAATAATAATTCGTAAGGGGGCGTACATTAATTACGTAGGAGAATCGGGGTAGAGGGGGGTCAAGTTAGTTGAATCTCACTAATATGTAAAAGCATATATCTCACTAATAAAACATATAAGCATACTAATTTAAAGCAAAACATGTTCCTAGAAAGATCCACGTGAGATTAGGAGAAGGAAGGGGTCAAGACAAATCTCACCTTGCACCAGTGGGGGACAGAGGATCAAAAAATCCTCAAAAACGCCCTCACATAATTAATGGACGACCCTTATAAAATACGAATTCTTACCTGATCTCATATTAAATGGTCTTGGTGCCCACAACAAAGCTATACCGTTAGCTGTATTGTCAGTATACAAAGGCGTTTCTTGCAAAAACGCCTGAATATGCTCTTCCAGTACAAATTCTTCCTCATCGTCAGGCAAAGGTTCCAGACTTTTTACAGCGTGTCTATGAGATATTGGATTGATCAAAGGATCAAAATAAAACGCGGGCAAGTCTGGATCTTCCGTTTTAATGTAGACGACGTTTGGAGCGTGATACCTTAAAATTAAATCACCAAATTACAATATGATCGAAAAAAAAGGCGTCGTCGATGGTTATGAAATGAAAATCACTGACATTTTATATGTAAAATTATATATGGGGAATATCATCGATCGTCATTTCAAAGTCAACTAGACGCCGTTTTTTCGATCATACGGAATAACTCATGAAAAGAAATAATACAGAGCTGTACGTAGGTTATCAGCTTTTTCATTATAAATCTTTCAAATGAAGAACATATCTCCTACAAAAAAATTATTTCACACATTGCTAGTGCTATTGTACTAAAGGTAATATTGTACAAAGCAAAATTAATGTGATTAATTATAATTGTACATAAGCAATTACAATAAAATGACTATTTTATCGCTTTTAACTAGGGGCAGACAAAAATATCGATATTTTTTTAATCATCGATATATATCGCCGATATTATTATGCGCCATTTATCGATATTCAAATTTAAGTATAAGATAATAAACATGCCTATCCTCTACTTTTACTTTTTGATATAAAAATGCACGTAGAAAACGTAAAAATATCATAAAAAAAAGTAAAAAAAGATATGAATTTTCTCGTCATTCCTAACCAATTTCAACACAAAATTCGATACAATAAAATTATACAATATTATCAATAGATTTACAAAATATAACAAAATAAATTAATAAAACAAATTTTTATAACACTTATTAATTACACATCACAAATATCTATGGAACAGATCATTGTAACGTGTATTTTTTTTTCCTTGTGTTTTTCAAAACAAATTAAACATCACAAAGATATTTGCGATATTATTTTTCTTTGGTATCACAAGATCAATGGAATATATTTGTGATGTTTAAGTCGTTTTGATGTCACAAAGATCTATGGAATCCTCACAATCCATTACATTGATACATCTTGGTATTACAATAATGTATGTTGTGACATAAATTGTTACGATACAAAAATTTATATTTAATACCAACATTCCCAGATATATTGTATCTGTGGAAGAGATCTTTGTGATCTTTAATTTATTTTGATGTTACAAAAAATCTATGTAATGTTTGTGACATATAATCTATAAAAAACTGACACTGATACATCTTGATATTACTATAATTTATATTGTAACATAAATGTTTGCAATACAATTTGTTGTGATATCAACAATCCTAGATATATTTTCCCTATTTTGAGATATACAAATATTTCAATAATATTAGGTAATAATATTACAATAATATTAGGTATTAAGCCAGGGTAAATAGTTTTAATAACATAAGAGAGAACTCTCTTTCACGGATAGACTAAAAGGCTTTGTCTAACAACTCTCCATGAACAAAGAATTCGTCGCGATCTCATCAAGACCTTCAAAATCAAAAGTGGCTACTAAGGATGTGTCCTGAACATCTTCCATATCAGTGAAACGTGAACCTTAGAGGACATAAGAATAAATTGGACAAAAAACACTGTAATAAGCTCTTAACGTAAAACTTCATTACAAATAGAGTAGTGTATAGCTGGAACAGGCCAGTATGATCCAGTAAATGCTACAAGTGTCAATATGTTTAAGAATAGACTTGATGTGGAAATGAAGAGCTGGAACAATCTTTTTATTCACTATATGTGATTGTAAACTGTGATGTTAATTTTAATTTAAATTTATAATTTTGTGATTTGAATGTAGATAGTGCAATATTTATTTATTTTTTCAACTGGTACAGAAAAATATGATTATGCAATTCAATAGTCTCATCAGGTTTTACCCGCCTACTGTTGATTTTAGTAAAATGATAAGAAAAATAATAATTTATTAAAAACTTACCAAGAAAGATGTACAAAATGTGGCATATTATTGTACAAATAGGGAAAAGCTATCCTATATTCTGTCCTGATTGGCTGCCGAATGATAATCTTATTTATATCATTAAATTCATTCCAATCTTCATCACTAAAAAAATTATACCACAAAAACATTTTAAACAAAAATAAATAAAATTAACTCACGCTGGGTTCATATCCTTTATAAGTGGTTCAAATTTTGGACCTCCCGGAATAGCCATGTTCAATGCTTTAGCTGTAAAAAAACTTTTTGTATCGAACAAATAGAAATAATTATAATCCACCAAATCAGTGAGAAGCTGATTGGCCAATCTGTACAGCGTTGCCATCATCGGTAAACTTAAGTTCCATTTTCGGTAGGTAGAGCCATTAACATACTTGGTACCGACCTAAAAATAACAGTAAAAAGATATATGAATTGTAGTGAATTATTACCTTAAAATTCTCACTAAAGGTTTGTGATCATAAAACCATTTTGCGATTGCTGAATCTTCCTCAGCATCAAGCTCTATCTGGATAGCTTCTAAAGGTTCAACATCCAAGACGTTGTCAGCATAATCTAATGGAGGTTCTTCATCATCAAAAGGAGGAAAACGCATTCTTTTAAAGTGTCTACGATCCCTTTTTTCTCTTCTCATCATAATCCACATTGTACTAGAAAAAAATATATAAAAAAATGGCCAAAAAATTATCGACAGTATCATAGATAAAGTCTGAATCATATGGTATTTTATTTTATTTTTGATTTATCTCAAATTTGACTTAGGCATTAGCCTTATACCGTATGATCGAAAAAAAACGGCGTCCAGTTGGCTGGGAAATGAACATCAATGACATTTCCCATATAAATTTACATATAAAATGACAGCGATCTTTATTCCATAGCCATCGCTGACGCCGTTTTTTCTCGATCATATGGTATAAACAAGGGCATTAGTTTTTACTTTAAAATAAATTAAAAATTACATAATAAAATTTACAATAGTACACTAATTTTCAGCCATCTAGAATACTAGAATTTTCAGCCAATAAAAAATAAAATTTCATTTGGCACATTCAGGAATGGACAGCGGCTGAGTAGCTGAAAAAGTGACTTCCCTGAACAGTCTCTTCTGAGACACAGCAACGGTCAGCCGCTGAGTAAAATTCTCAGCGGTAAGTAAATATTTAAGCTGGGCAAAGTCAGCAGTGTTTATATCCACTTTTCTATGTTTATATCCTTATCTGTAGTCTGTAGTCAACAGTATGTAGAATAATTTATAATTTTTTTTATATACATATATAATTTATCAATTTTCAACTTCCCTATTTATCAAGATGACATTATGATATTCATATTTGCCCGATACTAAATGTCAACATTACTTACCCCCATTGACCAATATAAACTGGTTCTATAACCCATGGAATCTCATTCACAAAAGTGATAGCTCCTGTAATATGATATAAAACTTTAACATCTCTTATTTGCTCCCAAGGCATAGGCATGTTCTCCAAAAGCTTCATAACTGCATGGGGCATATATTTTAAAGCACTAGAAAAAAATTATTCCAAAACTTTTACTTCTAAATAAAAAAAAACTCACCCCAAGTAAACACGTTTATCATGTCTGTATTTACGACTACTCATATCACCATGATCCCTAATAATCTTCCTAATATGCTCAGGAGGCATGTCTTCCTTCTGTGCCTCAACAAAACCTAACTTACGCTTCTCAGCGAACCGTTTTGACTGTAAATGATGCCATTTTTGGGCTTTTTCTTGAAGTTTGTCTTCGGTCATTACATCAGGTTTTGGATGAGGTGGAGGCATCTGTTGCTGGAGAGCGTGGGCGTGGGCTTGAGCAGCTGCTGCTTGTGCTTGAGCGTGAGCCGCAGCTAACTGCTGCTGAGCCATCATTTGGGCCCATGGATTGGGGCCCAAAAGATACGGTGGCATAGACATTATTTACGATGTTTTATTACTCTAAAAATCAGTATAATAGCGTTTTAATAAGTGTATTAAGCGTCTCATATAGTAAAATCAGTTAAATGTACCGATATATTGACATTATAAATCAAACAAATGTGGTATTAAGGTTATGCCGATAAAATAAAGTTCGAAACGCTTTTGATCGTTCTAGTTAATATTTATTTACCAACGTACCTTTCATATCATGAAGTTATGTTCCAGCACTAGTGTAATAGTATTAAAATACGTTTAATCTATAAACAAAACTGATAATAGCGTGTTGCTTGTTTTACATTTACCAACAATCTGGAAAATACCGGCCATTTTAAAACGTCCTGTAAATGACGTATATCAAATAATTGATTGTATGTCTGGTTACCTATTCAAAAGTATTAAATATTTTTAAAAAAATTTATTCATTTTATCTTTTCTCTATCAATTTGATTTTTTTATAGTATTTAAAATGGTGGCTATGTTAACAAAAATAATAGAATTCGAACTAAATATTTTTCCTTTCTAATTATTTTACTGCTAAAAGAATTTAACTTTATACTTTTGATCGACAAAAAGTTCTAAATAAAAAATATAAAATATATTTTAATAAGAACTATTTATTTTGAATAAATACTAAATTACAAATGGAAATAAACAAATGCTTAAACATACACATATAATCTAGATATTAATACGAAAAATTTAAAACAAAAAAAGTCAAATACATTTCATAAAAAAAAATAATATGACTTTAAGAAGAATCCCCTTGTCCTTCCTTTTGTTCAATTTTCCTGGCAGGTTGTCCCGTTCTTACGACAGGTATTTGGACAAATTCTACCTGGTTAGCCTGAGGCTTCTTTGGAGCGGTAATACTCAGAACACCATCAGAAGACAGCTTGGATATAACTTGGTTAACATCGCAATCTTCAGGTAACAAATACTTCCTTACAAAATGCCTGGATATGAACCCATGTTCATCCTGTTTCTCCTCGTGTTTCCCTTCAACAGTCACCGTTCTGTCTTTGTTAACTTTGACGGTCAATTCTTCTGGCTTGAACTGTTGCACGTCTATAATTGCCTGGAATTTGTCCTTATCGTGCTGGATGGATAGGTTTTTTTCTAGACGATTTTTAAGATCATCTTCGGTTTGTTGTTTGGAGATTAACGCCAAAATATCGATGGGTTGGATTTGATCCAGTAATCTAGGAGCGTAAAAATCTTCAAGAAGATACGGTAACAAACTCATATTGATAGAGACTTTCAAACAAATATCGAACTTGATAGAAGCAAAAACTTTGCGATCACAGTTGAAATTTCGCTCTCAAGTAACTAGACAGCTTGTTGAGAGATAAGTTGACGGTTGCCGAGCAACGCGCTTATTTTATACGCCATAGAAATTGCGGGAAGTTTCTAGAACTTGCGTCGTATCGATTTCGAGCCTAGAGATATTTTAAGTATCGATTCAGTAAAAAATATCGATATCGTTAATTTAAGATGCTTTATGTACATTTTAACGCAATTTTGATTATTAGAAAGACAAAACAGGCCAAGGATTGTTTAAGAGTACAATTTAAAATTTAATTCAAAATTTTATAAAAAAAATTACGTTATTTTTATTCTGATTCTTTGTCAAGATCGCCTTTTCGAATTTTTTGAACAACTGCTTTTTAAAAGTTAAAAAAAAATTACTATTTACTGTTGCAAAATAAAACACTAACTCGCCACAATGCACCAAAACACTTTTACTTTTGAAATGGAGGCGTGTTTTGCAAACTATGTTAGCATTATCAGCAGATAATTAAAACTACTTAGCAGATTATTAAAACTTAGTTTTAATGAGGCTAGCATGGTTAGCGAAAAGCGCATCCAGCGTTAAAAATAAAGTGTTTTGTTGTATTGTGGTGAATTAGTGTTTTATTTTGCTGTTATAACTCCCAAAGGTTCCAATCCCCAACTATAATAATAAAATATTGCTATTTTTGTCGTTTTTATAGTTATCTCAACAGATGTTGAAAAAAACTATAAATTAAAAAACACAGCTTTTAAAAAAGAGATGTTAAATAATAATTAATGATAGGTGTATGTACCCTATTACAATTAAATTCTATTCTCTTTAATTTTTTAGTAGAAATTGAAGAAATTCAGTTCAACATTTCAAGTCTATCGTAAAATATTTCGTCTTTTACATATTAAAAAACATAACATAATAGTATAGTATAACATAGAAAAAGAAAACGATTGCAAAATTATATATTCAGATAATTGTTGCGATTAATTACGACAAAATATATAACGTTTGTTTCTAGAATTTCTACAATGTTTGTAACCGAATACTGTTCGAAATATTCGAGAAGCTCTCGAAAAATCCAAAATATTCTTTACCTCTCAAGATGCGCATTTCGCGCGGTTGAAACAGTTTATACAATGTTGCCAGATTTAGAACGATTTCTTTCTTTCGGTATATTTTATTATTTTTGAAGCAATAGAATATTCTGGCAGTACAGATTTTGTCTTCCCCCTTATAGAATAATCTGAAAAAATCCATAGCCTCTCTTATAGATAACATTTAGTACATTGTAATATATTCTATATTAGCCTTTTTTTGTCTATTATTATCTATATAGAATATTTTAAAAATTCGATTCGACAGAAAACGATAAATAATTGGTACTGCAAAGGTCTTTTTTTGAAGTAACACACTAAAAACAGTAATTTCAAAAATCACTCGGTATAATATTTATCATGAATACTAAATTTTTGCAATGGGAATTTTATGGCAGTACCTATCCACTGGGGAAACAAATGTATAGCATTTTATTTGTGTATTAATATAATTGAATCGCCCTATTTATATCTATAACTTTATCTAACAAGCGCTACTATTGCCCACTAATTATTTATAAAAAGTATGAAGTAATTTTTTTTTCTTAATTTTAATACAAATTAGATTGTTTTTGTGTTAACATTTTTGGTTGTAATTATGATTTTTTCTCTCTTAATTTTAATACGAATTTGATTGTTTTGGATAAACCTTTTTGCTGTGATTCTGTTTTTTTTTTTCATAATTTTACAACGAATTTGATTGCTTTGATGTCGTCATTTTCATTCGTGATTCTCCATATTTGTAATTTGTATTAACAAAATTAACGTTAATTTGAGTGAAATTAATAATTATATTAACATGTAATTATCTGCATCTTGAAGGAGTCAGAAATTGAAAAACATTAACTTATAAAAAATAGAAAATAAAACCAATAGATATAATATAAAAACAACTAAAAAACATCTATAATACAAATAATCTAGAAAACATGTTGATTAAAAAATTAATCCACTTCCATGATAAATTTTTGTTACATTTGGCATCCTAGCTCTCAATAAACCGTCCAATCATCGATCCTAGAACCATCTAGAGAATTCCAAACCAATGCCTTCTATTAAAAGATCAGCCTACGGGCGGACTTTTGTTTACTTCATCAGCTGTACATACTTAGATATTGGGTTAGATTCCGTTTCATATTTTGTCGGTTGATTTTTGGTTTTAACTCTTTGATTTTTGGTATTATTTATTATAGTAGTGCAAAAAACTAATTATTTTGGTGTTGAAGTGACATAAACTACTACCAGATATATGGTCACTCTCGATTTCGTATAAAAAAATAGAAATTTTAAAAATTACACGTTGTGCAAGTGATTTAACCTAAAAGTGCCCATACATTTTTTACTTATCGTGATTTTTGTGTGTGTTTTTTAAGACTCTAACAATTCATCAATAAAGCTTAAGTGGAGTGTGTTATTGGTGCTATGCCTCATCTTTGTTGTTCCTGGTGGAAAGGATAGTTACTAAGGATAGTTATTATACTAGGCAGCCTAAAGTGTCGGAAGAGCAAGAAAAGTGGGTACGAGTTATAAATCAAGAGAATTTTATTGAAAATATCTTTAATAAATTTAAAATAATATTCTCCCATGATGGTATTAATGAAAACTGGACAATTATGTTTATTTTATTCATATTGTGGAATCTCCACTCCAAGTGTTGCTGGTTCAGCTTCGATAGATTCAAACACGTAAGTAGGTATTATGATCTAGGGAAAAATATAAAGAATATATGTATTAGAGATCATGAAAAAGATTATTATTTTGAGTTCAAATTTTAAAAAGATTTTTGTAAAGACAAGACTGATACAGTTTAAAAGAAGAATGTGTTTTTGTTTGATAATATATAATGTATGTTAAGCATAACATATATTTGTTCAGTAATTTTTAATGAATAGTATTGATTATTTATAATACCAAATTAATATCAAATATTTAAGTGATGGCCGAATACAATATGAATAAAATAACAATAAAATTGGTATATTTGCATAATACAAAATTAAGTTTTAAGAATAAAGGTGTTACTAAAAATACTAAGAAATTCATATTTCTTTGTTTTAATTGGTCTAATGTTATTTACATTTTACGTAAGAATTATACCGTATCATCGAAAAAAAATCGGCGTCTAGTTGGCTTGGAAATGAACATCGATGACATTCCCTAAATAACTGTACACATAAAATAATTAACTAGAATTTTACAATCTTGGAAAATTTGATATTCTTGAACCTTGATTCTAAATATTCTAAATTTTTTGATTTTTTTGGAATTTAGGTTCGGGAAAAACGCTGATTGATTTTTCATTTGGTTTTTCATTATTTTTATTTGGTTTTAAAAAAACGGTTCGGCTAACATTATAGCCTCCATCAGTGTTGTGTCATATGAAAAAAATAGTGTCGAATATAATCCAAAAATTGCATATAAAATATTCACACTATACACATAATGTTTACTGCGTACTCCATAGTCAATGTAGATAATTTTAGTGTTAAGAATAATAATTTTAAAAATATGTGGTCATCTTTTGATAAGTTTATATTAGTTTATTAATTGCAGTAAACATTATGAGGTGTGAATTATATTGTATATGTAATTTTTTGGATTATATTCGACACTATTTTTCTCATATGACACAACACTGTGAAGGCTATAGTTAGCCGAAACGTTTTTTTTTAAACCAAATAAAAATAATGAAAACCCAAATGAAAACTTAATCAGCGTTTTTCCCGAACCTAAAAATCCCAAGAAAATGAAAAATTTTAGAATAATTTAACATATAAAATGCCAACGATCTTCATTTCATAGCCATCGCTGACGCCTTTTTTTAGATAATATTGTATTATTTGTAAATATAATTTTTCGAACATTGATACTTGCAAAATATACGTATATAAATTTTGTGAATGCAAATAATAATACATCACTATTAGTAGATATTAAACGTTTTTTGTTAAATTAGATCGATTTTCAAACCCCAAAATTTAAAATATATTTACATTTTACCCATTATCTTATGTACCTATACATTATTTGTACATTGTAAAACATTTGCTGCATTTGTATGGTTCATAGTTTATTTGCCAAAGTATTTATTACTATAAATAGGTATATATGTTGTAGTTATTAACTGTATATTATGTATATTTCATTTAAACTATATCATTTTTAAAATACAAACTAAAAATCTGAGGAATAATTATGTTTTCCATGTATTCTACAACATATTTATTAATCCGTTATATCTAACTAGCGTGACGTCATAAATCTCGTCCGTTGGCTGATCTTTTAATAGAAGGCACTGTCCAAACGAATATAAAACTTGACATTTCGCGTCTTGTTTTTTATTCCTCGATATTTCGTCGAGCGCGCTAAAACCAAAAGTGAGTTAGACTTGTGAATTTTAAACGAAAAACATTTTAATTTTTCTCCAGAAAAAAAGTAGCAGCTAAATCAAGATGAGTTTATTCCTACAACCTTTTTTCTTCAACGATCCAGTTTGTACCGTTGCTGTTAGACCATCCAGGATTCTTGACCAGCATTTCGGGCTCTCCCTCGATCCAGAAGACTTATTGCAGCCTCTGAACCTGAACAACCAACAAATAACTCATACCCCAGCCGGTTACCTACGCAGATGGCGATCCAGGGACTCTTCCAAGGACTCGGGCTCAGTTGTTAAGCTGGAAAAAGACCAATTCCAGGCAAATCTGGACGTGGAACAGTTCAAACCCGAAGAAATTACTGTAAAAGTTACCGGTGAGAATGTCATTACTGTCGAGGGAAAGCATGAAGAGAAACAAGATAATCATGGATACATTTCAAGGCATTTTGTACGAAGGTATGTGGTCCCGAAGAACTATGATATCGGCAGAGTGGAATCCAGGCTGTCTTCAGATGGGGTTCTGAGTATTACAGCTCCTGTTATTGAGAGCAAGGAGATTGAGCATAAGGAAATTCCAGTGTCCCAAACAGGAGAGCCAGCTAAACAGAAGTTGGAAGAGAAAAAATAAAGTATGTTTTTGAAAATAATCAATATTTATCTCTAGAAAATGTTTTTGAAAATAATCAATATTTATCTCTAGAAAATAGTTATAAAATTATATGTAATTTGTTAGTTAGATTGCTAATTTTTTATGTGAAGACTGAGATGTAAGCTACAGTTTTGTTGGTTTGAAAATATCAAAGTACCTATTTCTTTTTGTAATTTATTTTAATAATAAATGTGATATAAATTAAATATGAGTTTGATTTGACAATGCATTTCAGTGTTTTTTTCTTGTACGAAAATAATAAAAAAAATCAGAATTATTTATAGACCATATCTGTTCATAAAATCAGGGGTTCATTTCTTGAAAAAAATCTGTTTTTTGATGTAATTTTAACAGAACGTCAACGGTTTATAATCTATCTGCTAAAAACTAAATTATTCTTGAACAGTTGTATTTAGATATTAAGTAGTTTTTCTTGAGTTTTTTTTTTCTTCTGATGAGGGGATGAAACCTGAAATGATTAAGCATTTTTGTCAGTTAGACAAATTTGTTTTACTAGTAAAAAGCAACTGACAAGCTTCTGGATTCTATGCAGTGCTGTTTACAAAAAATAGCATTTATATTTTGTAGATTTCCTTCCAGCAGTGGTGAAAGCCCAAAATTTTTTTCAAGATAGGTACATATGTTTGATCATATATAACATATTTTATAAGAATATTGTTATAATAGATGGATTGTTTATAGAGTTGCAATAAATCATTATCTGAATGTCTTTAGACAAATTATTAAAACATTAAACATCAGAATTAGGTACTAAAACAATTTTTTATATGGAGAAAGTGTTAATGGAATTGGAAACTTACAAGTTGATATACATTTTGTAAATTAAAATCTTTATTTTTTAAGTATAAATATTTTATTATAAGTATAAATATTATTATTTTGAGTAATTCAGGATGGTAGAAGAAACTACTAGTGTTTATTAGTAATGGTTAAGTTTGGTACTTAAATTATTTCTTCTCAAAAACCAAAGAATTACTTAAATGACAATCTTCTAATCATACTTAGGTCTTCACTCTCACTTTAGTTAAATAAAACAGTTATGTTTTACACATTAAATGTTTTATTTTTTATCAAAAGTACATACAAAAATAACTTACAATCTAATAAAAGCAAACAGGAACAGAATATAAAAGAACTATGCTGAGCAAACACATTAATACTTATTTTAACTTAAATGATATGACTGAATTATTGATAACAAAAAAAATGCAAAAAAGAAAACATTTTACTTATGACCACGTGATTTCTTTGCCTTCTTATCAGCCCTAAACCCCGCATCCAAGTGCTGTAGCCTCTTCACACCTCGTATAGGCTTACCAGTGTGGATGATTGGGATCTCCTTGTAATCCTGCTGAGGCTTTTCTTCTATTTTTGGGGCGCTTATGGACAGTACACCGTCAGAAGAAAGTTTAGACTTCAGTTCCTTCAAATTACTATCCTTAGGAAGGACGTATTTACGCACAAAATGTCTAGAGATGTAGCCATGTTCATCAGGTCGTTCCTCATGTTTTCCCTCGACCAAAATCGTGTTATCGTCGATCAGTTTTACTGTTATTTCTTCAGGTTTGAATTGTTGTACGTCGATGGAAGCCTGGAAATGATCCTTGTCCAGTTCTATGGTGGAATCTTTCTCAATTTCACTCAACTGGCGAGTTTTGTCTTCCAAGTTTTTTAGAACAAAAGAAACGAGTTCGTTTTCTTCTGGATCAACTAAACTGGACCAATGATTGCGTCTAACTAGGGGCCTTTCGAAAAGTAACGGTAGTAACGCCATATTTTGGAAATTAATACAGAAAAAATCGTTTATTTTCACTTCTTTATTGGCTTTCAACCGGCTTTCGACTTCGACGCTGTTCGACGCTTTCTGGCAACTGTCACATTCAAACTGATGACGCGCATGATTATTATTGGTGCTTTTCTGCTTTTATCGGCCAATGGAACATCCTAGAAAATTCGCAGTCTATTTAGCAACGAAAATATTGAGGAGCTGCGTCGAGAACATTCGGCAACTTTCCATACAAGGTAATGTTTTACTGGTTGCCAGCAGATAATCTAGAATTCTGAGTTGTACATGTTTTCTGTTACAAAATATGTTTGTATTTAGATTTCATAACAAATTATGTTTGCTTGTTTTATTTATGCACAAATTCATTTCCTGACCTTCCTCATATCTATTTTTAAGTTGTAAAAACATTTTTCCTTGAATTTATTTGAACTTGATCTATTTATATGAATAATACCACAATAAAACGACAACAAAACTTTAAACAATTTGATTTGTGTGTGAATCTTTGAAGGATAGATATTTAAATCAAACATGCATAAAATATCTTTAAAATTTAAAAAATTTTGAATTTCTATCTAAAATTAGCAGGAATAGTCATTTTATAATTATAAAATTATGTTTATAATTATAAAAATATTTTTAGGTACCTAAATTATAGGTACCTCTATCTGCAAAGATACTATTAGGTACCTATCTGATTTTGACATCAAGTTCAATGACTGTGAGCGTTAAAAAATATAATATTATTCACACAACAGGCTTAGCTTATTATTTACATGTTATACACTTATGATATATACTCGCGTGTCTAAAAATAACTGGGGAATATTATAAAATAAGCTTGGATGATATATCAGCTGATATATAAAATAATGTTGTATTACACAGTTTTCTTTAAAGATAAAATATTAAAATTTCTTTTACCATAAATAGGTAAGTAAAAAGCACTATGGTAAATAAAAGTAATTTATTTGGCCTGATAATATATAAAAAATAAATAAAAAAGAATATTTACATAAGAAACATTGAAACATATTTACAAATTAAGAAAAAGAAATTGTTTCGATAATAATTTTTAGATCACTGGTACATGAACATCCCTAGAAGGTCCAGTAAGATTAATCGGTACATCCCTATACTGCACTTTCTGGTAGTTTTCTTGTCTGGATTCGTTGGTACTTTTGTAGGAGCCTGTGACGTTGCCAGATCCTTCTCTGATTTCTGATTTTTTAGATTCTTCTTTTATTAAGATACCAGATCCATCACATCTTTTTCCCGATGTACCAACAGGAATATTCCTAGTTGCTCCAGTATTATTTTCATATTTTTCGGAAATGTACTGTGATTGAGTGGTTTGGCTTACGTTTACAGGAACATCAACATACTGTTCTTCGACTTTTTTGTAGGAATAAGTTGATTGACCTCCTAAGTTCCTTTTTTCTTCTTCTACATTCTTGTAGGACATGTTAGATTGGTATGAATCTCTTCTAGCTTGAGAAAAACCCAATGGAACATCCCTAGTTACTATTTTTTCTTCAATATTCTTATTGTTGAATTTGGAGTCGTAAGAACTGTTATTTAAGTTGGATGAGTCTCTGGCATACTTTGTTTCTTTTTCAACGTTCTTGTAGGACACATTGGATTGGTAAGAATCTCTTCTAGCTTGAGAAAATCCAAATGGAATATCCCTAGTTACTATTTTTTCTTCAACATTTTTACTGTTCAATTTAGAGTTGTAAGAACTGTTATTCAAGTTGGAAGAGTCTCTGGCATATTTTGTCTCTTCATCAACATTCTTGTAAGAGCTTTGGGATTGATGACTCTTATTCACAGACTCAGAAAGTTGAATTGGGACATCTCTAACGTTCTTCTTTTCCTCCTGAACATTTTTGTAAACATATGAGGAATCTCTGGAGTCGGAGAATGTCACGGGAATATCTCTAACTTGTTTGCGTTCTTCGACATTCTTGTAGTTTGATCTAGAGTCATAAACATTCTGCTTTGATTCTTGAACGTTTTGGTAAGACTGATAAGATTTGTTAACAGTTTCCGAGACATTAATAGGGATATCTTTAACTTGCACTTTTTGTTCTATATACTCTGATCTAGAGTCAGAAAATTCATTCTTCCGGTCATGACCAACATCTTTTTTGTATATTCTTTCTTCGTCGAAGTTCTTAGACACCTTTTGAGTATCATAAGTTTTACTGAATGTCTCAGGAACACTTATGGGGATATCTCTGACATTTCTTCTGTCTTCGTTAACGTTTGTGTATATTTTAGTCGACTCAAATGTATCCGAATAATTTACCGGAATATCTCTAGTCTGTTTTCTTTCATCAACCTGCTTGTAGTCCAGTCTCGTATCACTAAATCCATTAGTTTGTCCAAAAGTGTTCTTGGTGTGCTTGATTTCATGTTCAACATTCTTGTAAGCAGTTTGGGAATCATATGAATCAACTCGGTTGATAGGAACATTTCTTTCTCTTGCCTGTTTTCGCTCTTCGACATGTTTGTGGTCCGTTCTCAAGTCACTTTCTCCAAAAGCGTCTTTGGTGTTCACATTCATTTCACGTTCAACATTCTTGTACGCACTCTGAGAGTCATATGAATCAACACGATTGATAGGAGCATGCCTTGAGTCCTCTTCCACACTTTTATAGACGTTTGTACACTGGTAAGAGGTGTTAAAAGCATCAGAATAACTTCCTGGAGTATCTCTAGTCTGTTTCCTTTCTTCAACGTGTTTGAAATCACTCTTTGAATCAATAAACCCGTTGTTTAAGGCATCTCTGGTGTGTTTGGATTCTTGCTGAACATTTTTGTATGCAACATTTGAATCAAACGAGTCAGCAAGTTTAATAGGAACATCTCTAACATTCCTTCTATCTTCTTCGATATTTTTTTGGAAGTTTTTAGATTCATAAGAGCTGCTAAGTGCGTCAGTGTAACTTACTGGGACATCTCTGGATTGTCTTCTTTCTTCTACATGTTTGTAGTCACTTCGGGAATTGTATTCATTGTTTGAGTTGGATTTATTCTTAGACTGTTCCTCTACGTTCTTGTAAACTGATGTAGATTCGTAGGAGTTGTTAGGTGCCTCGGAAAGACTGATTGGCACGTTTTTGATAAGGCTGTCTTCAGATTCGATGTTTCTGTAAACTGTTTTGGACGCATTTACAGATTCTACGTTCCTGGATTGGTGTTTTTGCTCGAATTCAGAATCATAATTGCTGTTATAAGAGCTTGAAACATTCCTAGTTTCACTGGACTCAAGTTTTTTGTTGAAACACCCAGAAAATCCATCCCTGGATGAAACAGAGCCCGTGGGTGTGGCAGGAACCTCTCTTATCTGGACTCTATCCTCATCAGACTTGTTCTGTCTCTCGGAAAGACTGATTGGTACGTTTCTGATAAGACTGTCTTCAGATTCAATATTGCTGTAAGATGTTTTGGAAGCATTTACAGATTCTATGTTTCTTGATTGGTGTTTTTGCTCAAATTGTGAATCATACTTGCTGTTATATGAACTTGAAGCATTTCTGGTTTCACTAGACTCGAGTTTTTTGTTGAAGGATGCCGAAAATCCATCTCTGGATGAAACAGAGCCCGTAGGTGTGGCAGGAACCTCCCTTATCTGAACTCTATCCTCATCAGGCTTCATGGGAACAGAAAGGACTAAAACACCATCAGAAGACAGCTTGGTTTGCATTTTCTGTGCGTCACAATCGTCAGGGAGTGTGTAGTGTCTGGTAAACTGTCTGGAGATGTATCCTTGTCCAGGTTTCTCTTCGTGCTTGCCTTGGATAGTCACAGTTCTGTCGTTGTTGAGCTTCACTGTGATCTCGTCAGGTTTGTAGTGCCTGACGTTCACACTGGCCTGGAACTTGTCTTTATCCACGGTGATTTCTTTGTGGTGTTCGGTTAATTGGCTCCAAATACTTGAAGATCGGAGGGGTTTGAAGAAGTCTTCATCCTTGGAGATAAGTGAGGGCCAGGAGAAGATAGATTTGTCTGGGTGGATGTCAAAGATGTACGGTAAAAGAGACATTTTTTTGGGTGTAAATATTAATTTCACGCACTACTATATAAAAAAAGTTTCACTATACCGAAAAATAGATTTTTAGGCGAACTATTCGTTTGAATTCAGATGCTAGACTGTGGCTGTGATGTTGCTACGCGTTGGTTTTATATTCTAAAGGAAAATCATCGTCAGTGGAAATGTAGGTAGCGCGTGAATGTATAATTTCCTTAGAGTTGCCAAAATATTATTGGATCTGAATCAGCGGGCTATGTCGACTGTTTATTTCGGAGGTGATTAAGAATTTCTGCGTTGGTGTTGGGTATGACGAGACACAATAACAAAATCGGATTTATTTGGGAAAATGTGCCGTATTTGGCAAAGAAACTGAATATTGCGTATGTCTAGAATTCGAGAATGGGTTTTAAATTAAATAAGTTTTATTATATTGGGAACATATAAGGAAATTATCTAGAAATTTTGAATATATCACAATAGGAGTTTGTCGATTTCAAATATAGTAAAGAGTATTCATATCTCTTAAATCATGTCGTGTGTGTATGATGGCTTTTAGAAAATTTATACAGAGTGGTCTACTTTCTAGTAGGACGACTTTAACAGGCGATTGACGTGTAGATATTCGAAAAACGTCTATCGAACGAGTCAAGAAAAATTTTAAAAACCGATATCCAGAAAATAACACCAAGTACCGTATGATCGAAAAAACGGCGTCATTGACGGCTGGGAATGTCAATCGATTGTAATTTTAGCGAGGTCAATATCTAAACGTCATTTACTAAAAATTAGCATAACATTTGTCAAGAATAATTAACACTAAATATAGGAAGATTAAAAAATGATAGAACGTTTCCAGACTCAAATGTATTTCCAAAAAAATTTTTTTTTTGAATTTTAAACTACATACTATTTAAAAATCATTTTTATTCAATATAAAAATAAATTATTACAACCTTCTTAAGGCCAACTGGCAGTAAGCGTCATTAAAAAATAAAGAAGAGTACGCAAATTAATGACGTCTAGGGCTTGACCTCGCAAAAATTATCATTGATTGTCATTCCCCAGCTATCTTTGACGCCATTTTTTCTTGATATATGGTACAACTTACCATCTATATAGCAACAATCTCGTATTATTTTCAGTATTTTCATATTTTTTTAATTTTTATGAAGAATACATTTTTCTCAAAAAGTTAATATGTAATAGGAAAGTTTTTCCTCTTGTAAAGACAAATCCGGGGGCATACTGTACATCCAGAATTTTATTTTTATGTCTTTTTATATAAACTATTTATATTTTTTGTATCTGTTAGTCATAATCAAAATCAAAAAGAATGATTTCACTTAAATGTCTAATAATAAAGAGGCGTCAGAATTTAAAAGATAAAATAATAAACACATTTGGAAAATCTGTCAAGGAAAAATAACATACCGACATTTCACTGGTGTGACTAGACAATACAGAACTGTTTATTAGCCTACTTCCTTCTTTTGGCATATTATCAAAAACATAAAAGATATTTTTAAAAAGATGAGATTGAGATTGATTTTATTTTCTATACTCTGTTTTAATCTGTTAATGTTTAATTTTATCCAATGACATCTGAATAAATAGACGTCATTGATTTCATTCAGTGCATTTAAAAATAAGTGTTTGGCCTCTTTCAATATAATTCAACCAAACCAAACCATATATGTTATTTATATCTTATGATCGAAAAAAAACCGGCGTCATAAACGGCTAGGGAATGACAATCGATTCAGAAAAACTAGTCAAAAATTAACACTAATAGTTATAGAAAGATTAAAAAAAATAGAACGTTTCCAGACACAAAAATCTATTTCCAAAAAACATGTTTTCTCGAATTTTAAACTACACCATTTAAAAATCATTTTTACTCAATATAAAAATAAATTACAACCTTCTTAAACCCAACTGGCAGTAAGTGCGCTGTTAAAAATTAAAGAGTACGGGCCAATATATTACATCTAGGGCTTGACCTCGCCAAAATTATCATCGATTATCATTTCCCAGCCGTGTTTGACGACGTTTTGTTCAAACGTATGGTATAGTATTCATGATCTATTAATTCTAACCATTTAAATATAGCCTACTAAGTAAAAATAACCGTTTTTTCTGTTTCAGATATTTGATGCAAAAAAAATTAAAACTTTTGACAGAAAAGTGTAAAAAATTTTGTCACTTGTCAAAATCATATACCTTGACACAAAGATAGGTACAAAGACAAAATTATAGGTACTTTTACTGAATATATACCGTATGATCGAAAAAAACGGCGTCCATTCGGCTTGGAAATGACGATCGATAACATTCCCCATATAATTTTACATATAAAATGACTGCGATCTTCATTTCATAGCCATCGCTGACGCCGTTTTTATTCCATCATATTAGGTTTCATTTTTTCCTTACATGACGTCACAAATATGATTTATGCTGGTTACGAGATACGGACAAAAATTCCGTATCTATGTGCTTTATGGTTTAAAGTTTTTTAATCCCTTATTACCTTACTTATTACTAAGTGACGTCACAATTATAATTTATGCTCGCTACAAGGTGTGGGTATGGTATGAATCCGAGTCTCTTGTTTTATATTCTGAAGTTTTTAAAACATAATAAAACTGAAATTTGCGAAAATATTAAGATTTAACTGAAATTATTTGTCATGGATATTATCACCCACCGGGTTACAAATTGTTTTCAAATATTTTCGGGTTTAAAAATCGAATCTGGCTCATATAGACAGAGTGCTGTGCAAAACACAATATAATTTTACCAATATTGTATTGACGTAAAATTAACAATATTGCTAATAAATCTCAAATTAGTACTTTCTTGAACGTTACATTAGCAACGTTTCAAGAATATTGTGAAATCTTCTCACGAGGTTGTGACAAGGTTTCAATAAACTTGCATCAACATTTTTTTCAACCTTGCACTGCAATGTTATTTGGCGGAAGATTAAGCTAACCTGCCACCTTGTATAAACCTCCCTACAATGAAAAAAGCAATAATGTTACATCTTGCTTTGCGAAGTTTTGGCAATGTTCCAGCAATAAATTTTGCTTGTTGGGAAGGCCAAAATTAGTAGGTAACAAATAAATTGGCCGATGTTGGCCTTGTGTTTGGCGCACATGTGTAGACAGTGGAGTCACAGTGGAGTGATAAACTGGTTAATAAATAAGTGATGCTATTTTTAGATTATCTAAATTACTGCACAAACATAACGCACCGGCACAGCACCGGCAGATACATCGTCAAGTCTGGGAGAAAAAAAATAATTTACGAAAATAAAAATTGTTTGTTGTTTTTACGGCACACACGCGTTTTTATTAAAAATATTATTTAAAATTCCAAATTTATGGTAGACGTACACACGCTCAACGGATTTATATAAAATTTATGTGATTATAAATTACATATGATTTTTATTGGAAAAATTATAGATATTTTTGTATTTTCTTCTACTCCTATTATGGAAAATTAAGTGAACCAGATATTTTTATAATATTTGGTACATATAACACATACACTGTGGTACTAATAAAGTAAAAACATTTTAACAGTTAATATACAGGGTGGTCCGAACTGTATTCCGGAAACTTCGGCAGCATATTCTGCAGATAAAAATAAGTAAAAAAGTTCGTATAAATGTATGTCCTAAAATACTTAGTTTCGGAGATACAGGGTGTAGGAGTTTCATTTTTATTTTAATTTTTTCCAAATAATTTCTAAAGTAACGTCATTAATTATTTGGATGAAAAATGGTGTCTATAGGAGTTTTTTGACTCCTACTTGTAGAGGGCGCCACCTGCACATTTTTAACTGGTTTGAAGAGTAATAACTTTTCATCCGTACCTGTATAAAACTACTGAGTAAAAAAATATACATTTACGACTTTTTTTTACATAAAAAAGGTCTCTTGGTAAGAATCGCTGAGAGTAATGGTTCTCGAGATATTTGGAATCGAAATTATCAATACCTGCGTCGTCATTGACATAAATAAAACATGTTGACTAAATAGTTATTAAACTGAAATCATAAATTTGAAATGTTTTTGTGTCAAAAGTTCAACAGAAACTTTTTTATCATCATTTTTTCAAAGAAAAATTTATGATTGATTTAAAAAAATAAAAAGTTCCCAAATTTACTATTTCAGTCAAATAACTTTACTCAACATGTTTATTTTTTGTCAATAATGACATGAATTGACTATTTTCATTCTAAATATCTAGAGATAGGTTGCTCGTAGCCATTTTTACCAAGACATATTTTATCGTAAAAAATCACGGAAATGTATATTTTTTCACCCAGTAGTTTTATACAGGTACGGACGAAAAGTTATTACTCTCAAAAACAGTTAAAACACATGTAGGTGGCGCCCCATACAAATAGTAGTCGTATTGACATCAAAATCAAATTTTCTTCATCTCAATATTGACGTTACTTCAGAAATTATTTGGAAAAAATCGAAATAAAAATGAAATTTCTACACCCTGTATCTCCGAAACTAAGCATTTTAAAACATACATACGAACTTTTTTACTTATTTTTACCTGCAGAATAAGCTGCCGAAGTTTCCGGAATACAGTTCGGACCACACTGTGTATGTTATATGTTTGTACCTGACATTGACTTTTCTGAGATCGCAAAGCATTGATGCGGCCTGCAGAAAACAAAAAAATATAGAAAACCAAAATTGTACACCGGGTATTTCAAATTCGATTCTCAAAACTGGTATCTTGGAAAAAATAAAGATACAGGGTGGCTCAAACTGGGATAAAGTTGTCTGTCGATGAGCCCTTAGGATGAGCCCAATGAAAATCCGTTAATTGATCTATATTTTTTATTTCCGGAAATATGGCGGGAAAAACGAGTTTATTTTGACCATTATCAACTTTATTTTTTTAAAACAGAAAAAATCAGGTTCCTATTAAAAATGATAGTGATTCCAGAAAAAACGAAACGCCGTAAGTGATTTTTCACACCACTAAAAGATGAAATTAAAATAGTTGCTTTGAGAAAGTGTTTATAGATTTTTCTAGCTGTCGAAATTTCGTAAGAAAATGAAAACAAAAACCAGAAATTTCAGTTTTTCAAAGTTCAAATAATTATCATCGACAGACAACCTTGCTCCAATTTGAGCCACTCTGTATCTCTTACCGTTTCCGAATTATACAGGGCGTCCCAATATCCTATGGACATGTAACATATAACTACTAAGGCTACTACCTATATTTCAGAAAGTATGCGTTTTAAAGAGACAAAAAATGTAGTAAATAGTGACTTATTTCGATTCCAAAAATGCGCAGTGGTTCTATGCCCCCGGAATATAGGGGCACCCTGTATATTCCAATGGTGAGAGTCGAATTTGAAACACCTGGTATAGACATATAACAGCGTTTTCAGATGGAGCGGAGCGTCCGCGACCATGTACCATGAGTTTATATGAACGATTTGTAAGCTTTAAGCTTTTAATATCTGCCCAATATGGAATAGGCAGACAGAAATGGTAGACAGAACGAGTAGACAGAATGGGTAGACAGAGATAAAACAAGCATTTGCCAAAAAACGGTACATCCGGTAATTATTGACACAAGCGTCTCTCTCTCTGTGGTATAAATATTTTCGTTTAATACCACACCGCTAGAATAATATTCAGGAACGTACTCAAAACGTTTAAGCCAGACGTTTTATAATCAATTTTTGCACGTCACCACAAGTATAAAAACTCGCTTGAAACCTCCTGCAGATCAGTTCAAATCTAATCGTCTAAAACGTTGTTTTTTTCTCCACAACAAAAAATGTCTCTTCTACCCTATCTCCTAGAAGACTACCCTGTCTACACTCGACCATCCAGGCTTCTAGACCAACAATTCGGCCTGGGTCTAGCTTCAGAAGATTTATTCCAGCCACTTCACCTCAACAGCAGGATTCTTTCAAGAACGCCGGCAGGGTACCTGAGAAACTGGAGATCGCCTGCCGGAGCTCAGGACGAAGGCTCTGTGGTGAGTTTTGACAAGGACAAGTTCCAGGCACGTTTGGACGTGCAACAGTTCAAGCCTGAGGAGGTTACTGTCAAAGTGACAGGAGATAACGTGCTGACAATCGAGGGAAAGCATGAGGAAAAGCCTGACGAGCACGGGTTTATTTCTAGGCATTTCGTGAGGAGGTATGTGCTGCCCAAGAACTATGATATCGAGAAAGTGGAATCGAAATTGTCTTCTGACGGGGTACTGACAATCAGTGCTCCTCAGATACAGGCAGAGGCTGTTGAGCACAAGACTATTCCTGTTAAGCAAACCGGGGAACCTGCTAGAACCCAAGCTGTTGAACAGAAACTGTAAAAAAACTTTTGTTAATGTTTAATGTTTTAAAATATTAGTTTTTTGTGTTATTTTTTCTATTGTATTCTTATAGTTTTTATAAAACTTATATATGAATGTTATGTATGCATTTATTTTTAATAAAGCTCTTTTGAAATAAACTATAAAGGGGATTTAACTTTATATTTTGAATTTTTATATAAAAAAAATAATTCCGGATATATATTTGAAATAAATTATTAATTATTCAAAAATTCTTTTCTGTTTATTTTATTTTTTGTAACAAAGGCAACAAAGGTATATAAAGTTTTATAAGGTAAAAAATAACAGAACGCTATAATTTTTATATAAGTGATTTTTTTATTTATATAGGAATCATTAATTACATATACCAAAGAATTTTATACTAATATTTTTTGAATCAGTTAATTTTACTATTTTTATTTTCACTTAAAGACACTGGAAATGACCAAAATTTATTGAATATATTTAGTAAATTTGGTCTATATGAAGATAATCTACATTATATAAAATGCTAATGTTTATCTGTGTGTCGTCTCTATTGAAGTAACGACTTGCTCTAGAAAGTTGCTTTTTTTACTAAAAGATAGCTAATTGGCTCTTCTAAAAACTGTCGTCACCGGATTTTTTGTTTTTCATTTAATTAAAAAAACTACTTTTATGATGTCGTGGCGGATGCGCCAGGCTTCAACTAGTTAATTAATAATAATATACAGGTTGTTAATTTGTTCATTACTCGCGGCAAGAGCTTTATGGTTGAAATATGGCAACCTCGGGCGCTCGTCGATAGACGACGCGACGCGACGGGACGAGTCGGCAGAAAAATCAATAATGCATGCGTTCTCAATAGGCAGTGTTGCCATTCTGTTCCCCTATAAGTAACTGTCGAGTTAACAACCTGTATACGATCACTATAAGAAGCCTATATAAGCGTTATAAGCTAATTTGAGACCTTTTTATGATTATGCTGTATTTTTAGAATGCGCTATGCAGAAACTACAGATGAAGGAATCTATAGATAAGGGATGCTGTAGATATTCCCGTAGGGATAAAAAAATGAAAGAGCGATATATGTTTACTTATACCTTTATTTATTTATAAGTCTTGAAAATTCAGAAACAATATAATGTATGCATGTAAGTAATATTATATTTAACACCCCATACACAACACTAAATTATTCCAGTGTTCTTTGGTGCAAAACATCTACTTCTTCTTCTCCACTGCCTGAGTTTGTTTGGCAGGTTCCCCAGTCTGCTTGATCGGAACAGTTTTGTGCTCAATCTCCCTGCTCTGAACCACTGGAGCAGTAACACTCAGCACCCCATCAGAAGACAGCTTGGACTCCAACTTCCCCAAGTCACAGTTCTTCGGCAGAACATATCTTCTCACAAAGTGTCTGGAAATAAACCCATGTTCATCTTTTTTTTCTTCGTGCTTTCCTTCGATGGTCAGGACATTATCTCCAGTAATTTTGACAGAAATTTCCTCAGGTTTGAATTGCTGGACATCCAAGTTGGCTTGGAATTGGTCTTTGTCAACTTTAACAACGGATCCACTGTCCTGTTCCGATGCTCCTGACCTCCAGTTCCTCAAATAACCTGCTGGAGTTCTGGTCAGAATACGGTTGTTCCAGTCCACTGGTCTAAACAGGTCTTCAGGCAACAAACTCAACCCAAATTGCTGGTCTAAAATTCTGGATGGTCGGGTCCACAAGGTATCAGGATCTTCGAATAACAATGGAATCAAAGACATAATTACTGACTATTTTCGCTTGAGAAAATATGAGAAAACTCAATTAAACCTCTATTTAACTTTTTGGCGAATGCGCTGGAACCTGTCCGCTTTTATAGTATGGCGGAATGTTCGAGTAGGTTCGCGTTTTAACGTATAGAGTGCGTTTACAGTCGAAGCGTCTGGAAGAATCGATCTGACCTTGAACGCTGTTGCTGGTTGTGTTGTTGTAGGAGAAGGCGGGGTAATTTAGGTCGTTTTCTCAGTCGTACCATTTGATTTAAAGCGGAGTTTGCTTGATATTTCTAAAAAATTATATTTCCTGGAATTATCAGATGATGCTTGCGTAAAGTCTTAAAGCACTCGAACTTTATGAATTTAAATAATATATTTTCAAAAGAAAAGAAAAAAGATTAAAAAATTATTTTTATAAAAAAATAAAAATATTACCAAAAGAAAAAAAAATATTTTACATTATAAAATCTATTATTGGATTACGCTTGGACTATTCTATCTATAATAAACTGTTAATCATAAAGCCCCATTTTATACACGATTGTTGTTTGTATTTGGATAAATAATAGCTATAACTAGCAAATATTGCATATTTTGTTGCTTATCTAATATTAATCTGTGATATTAATAACATAAGTTTCTAAAATCTACAGATGTGTGTGCAATATGTCTTTTTATATCTGTGTATATGCCTTTTATCTGTGGCTTTAATATGCCTTTATCTGTGTCTATTGCTGTCCTCCATTCGCGAATTTCGAGTTCCGGGCTTTACGCCCTGGGGCTACTCGAGAACGGTTCTGAAAGGAGCGGTGCGCGATAGCCTGGTGCCTCCATATGGCGCGGAACAGTTCTGGAGCTTTATGACTCAATTGAATGGAGTGAGAGTATCGCGTTCTTGAACAGTTCAGAGCTGCTCAACTGCGTGAAAAGAGGACAGTCAGTATATGTGTATGCATATTGCACACACACATATGGATTTTAGTAACATATGTTATTAATAAGCAGCAAAATATACAATTTTTGCTAGTTATAGCCATAACATATTGGTTATAGCTTTGGGGTTATAGCTTGTCAAACCAATCGCTAAGTCGAGCATAGCTGTACCAAAACCATCCTTTTCTCGAAGCATCAAAGCAACTTTGTACTTTTGATCCCTCTGTGACTTCGTTATGGATAAAGCAAGAATAATCATTTTTACTAATCAAGACAACACACTGGCTATACCGGGTGCGTCTCAAAAGTGGCTCACTCTTATAACTTGTTTATTTTTGCAGATAAAAAGACGATATTTGGTATGTAAGTATATGACATAAATTAGGATTGATTGACGTATTTAATTGTTTTTGGTTACTTCCTGTTTCGCCGAAAATTACTACAACTTTTGATTTTTAAATGGCACCCCCGGTATTTTTTTCCGGTGAAACAGGAAGTGACCGAAAACAATTGAATACGTCAATCAATCCTAATTTATATAATATACTAACATACCAAATCTCGTTTTTTTTTTAACTGAAAAAATAACAAAGTTACAGGAGTGAGCCACTTTTGAGACGCACCCGGTATATGACTTTCCAGTCGACAAAAAGTTAGGATTAATCGATTTGATATAATCGGATTTTATTTTTATATCAACTTAACATCAATAAATTAAAGTTTATGAATTATTGCTAGCCAACTTCTATAATTTCGTGACTCACTTACCGTCATCAAAGTTCTAGAAGTCCCACAAACTTCAATTTTTGAATTTTAGATATTGTTTAGCCTACAAAGAAAGGAAAAATTCGATTTCATTATTCATTAAATCAAAAGTAATGAGTGCCGTCATTTTGTACATAAAATAATATGGGGCAAGTCACTGATCCTCATTTCCAAACCAACTGGATGGCGTTTTTTCAATTGTACGGAATATAGAATAAAGATATTTTTTTTTTATTTAGGACAATACCGTATGATCGAAAAAAACGCCGTCCAGTTGGCTTGAAATGACGATCGATGACATTCGACATATAATTTTACATATAAAATGACAGCGATCTTCACTTCATCGTATTTTTTTCGATCATATTGTTTATGTTTAAAGAAAAAACTACTGAATACTGAGACGACATTCCTCTTTATGGGATTTATGGTATTGTAATCTAGTAATCTTTTTCTTATAAGACCTATAGGTATTTTGATTTTTTAGTTGTGTTGGAACGATTGTGATAGAAAGATACACAAAACATTAAAAATAATACAACCACAAATCTTGTTTAGTAGGTACATTATCTAATATTCATAAGCAATTTTTCAGCAATCATACTCTATCGTATTCATTAAAAATAAAACAGAACTGTAATAAGTAAGAAAATCATAAATCAATTAACAAATTTCTTAACCGTATACAAATCGTTTCTATAACATTGCATAGTGTCCCAATCGATAAAAACAGAAACGTTTTCTAAACGATTACAAAATTTAAACAAAAATATCTACCCATTCCAGAACGCAGCTGTTCAAAACATTGACCGCGTCCCTAAATCAGGCACTTCCCCTACACCTGACCTAGGGCAATCCGGCGCCTTCGAAAATATTCTAGATGCCGGCTCGCAGGCTTCGACGCGAGTATAAAAGCGCTGGCAACATCGCCACCCGGCATATTTCACAGTTCGCATATTCGATTTTCGCATCAACCGGTGAAAGTGAAGTCTATTCGCTTCTTTTCAAGCGATTTTTTAAGTCAAATTCTCTGAAAAAAAATGTCTCTTCTACCGTTGTTATTCGATGATTTTCCCAACTGTCGTCAAAGAGACTGGATTTCAATATTTTCTCCTGGCGAGTTCATCAGACCCGTGAGTAGCGCTTTGAATCAGCTAGCCCAGCTGGAAAAAGACGATTCTATCACAGTGGATAAGGACAAATTTCTTGCAAACATCGATGTCCAGCAGTTCAAACCTGAGGAAATCACTGTAAAACTCGCTGGTGATAACACTGTAACTGTCGAGGGCAAGCACGAAGAACAGCAGGATGAACATGGATTCATTTCCAGACATTTTGTGAGGAGGTACGTCCTTCCTGAAGGTTGCGATCTCAAGAGGGTTCAGTCTCGCTTGTCTACCGATGGGGTTTTGAGCATTTCCGCTCCCAAATTACCAGAACAAAAACAGTTAGAACATCGGGAAATTCCAATTACTATTACTGGACCTATCAAGAGGGTTGAGCAGGTGAAGCAAAAAGCTGAAACTAAAGAAGCTTAAAAAAGTGTTTTAAGTAAATATTCTTTGCATTATTATGTCTTGAAATATTTCAAATATAAATTAGTTTAAGACTGATGAGTTTAGATGTATGTTTTTTGTTGTACCTACTGTGTTAATTAACTAGCTCTGTAATTGTATTATGTATTTTCAGTTAAATTTGTCGTTAATAAAAGAAGTAATTTAACTCTATATATTTGTTTTTTTTTTAAATATCTATCGTAGAGTGGTAGATATTCTCAATATAATGGACAAGAAAAAAAAAAGAGTAAAAACAAATAATTTCTTTTTTGCTGGTTAAAGCCACATAAAAAACCATAATGATTTTGCTATAGATCGAGGTACCTACAGCTAACTTTTCATAATAGGGTATTCTTGAAGTTATGTTATGTTATACCCAAGTTATACCGCATAATCGAAAAAAAAACGGCGTCCAATTGGCTTGGAAATGACGATCACTTACATTCCCCATATAATTTTACATATAAAATGACAGCGATCTTCATTTCATAGCCTTCGCTGACACCGTTTTTTTTTTCGATCATATACGGTATAATCTATTAAGGTTCTAGGTATTTTGTCAGCGTTATTAATTAAAAATAAAAATAATAAAAATAGCAAATTTAAGAAATTAAGGTGAAATTAAGAAAAAAAACTGTAGATTTCCCTGTTTTTGAATTAAGAAATAATTCTAGAAGATTCTGTTCTATATAACTATTTATTATAAATTCAAAAATTACAAACAAGATCTCTGAACAAGATACTAAATTATTTAAAGGAAGTACATATATAGGTAGATAAAAATTTCTGGCTATTTTAAATAAGTGATTTAAAAAAATAGTTTTCCTGAATTATTGCAATAATTTTATACAGGGTTAGTCTTAATTGAGATGATATTTTTTTAATTTGGTATTTTTCGAAAAAAAATTGTTTTTTTTTAATTTATAGTTAAAAACAATATCTTGATAATATGGCAACATAGGTAGTAAATTTATCCAGAAATCCTCAAAATTTAAGCAAAAAATATATTTTTTTTAATTTTCAAAGTAGGCAGGTAAAATAACTCCGTTAATTTTAGAGATATACTAAAATAAATTTATGTTTTTTTAGATTCAATGCACACCTTCCTTGTATATTAAGGTTACTTCGTTTTCTATGAATTAAAAATTAATATATGAATCTTAAGATACATTTAAAAAAAATAACTATAAGGTATAGGTATTTTCATTTTATTGAATTTTCTGGACAGAATCTCCGACAGAATTAAATTTATAGGGATACCCGATACAGACTATACTATGTCCACTGTTGCCAGATATATACAGTTTATTATCTACAATATATAAAATGCTAATGTTTATCTGTGTCGTCTCTACTGAAGTAACGACTTGCTCTAGAAAGTTGCTTTTTTTACTAAAAGATAGCTAATTTGCTCTTCTAAAAATTGTCGTCGCCGGATTTTTTGTTTTTTATTTAATTAAAAAAAAATAAAAAGTTTTTTTTTCTGATGTCGTGGCGGATGCGCCAGGCTTCAACTAGTTCAGTTTAATTTCCCAAAAATTACCTAAAAAAGTACTCAAAAAATTAGAAGATTTTATTTTCTTCTAGTTAATTCAATAAACAATTAAAAATATCCTAAATTAGAGTGTTGATTATATTAAAAGTTGAGAACAATATAAAAAGTATCAAATAAATATAAGAAGTAAATTAAAATAATAAAATAAGCTGCAAAATAGATGATTTTTGTCTTTATCACCCTGTATCTCAAAAGTTAAGATCTTTAGGACATACATATACATATGAAATTTGTTTCTTAAAATAGGACCAAGAATCACCCCCTTTATTAGAGTGACATTTAAGGAATACATGTATGTTTTTGATAGCTTTCACTCTTTAAAATACTTTTATTTTTTATATACCTACACACAAAATTCAAATATAATAATAATTAACAGCAATTTTATTAACTGCAAAATATACAACTATAAGCTATATCTTTTCTTTTTGCGACAAATCGTGAATTAGGAAAAACTTGGATATTGTGAATATATGAATGACTTGCTCTATCTATTTTTATTGTTAATCTAAGGGAAAAACCTACATGTAAAATCTGGCAACACTGTTTCTGCTGTCCACCCAGAAATTAGAAAACAAAACGTTTATTGATGTTTTTCATATTTTGCAGTGTTTTTTAAATAATTTAGACGCTTTCAGTATTGTGGTGTTGTTTGGTGTTTCGACCGATAGGTTCATTAATGATAAGGTATTTTTAAGCGTAATACAGGTCGAAAAATGTCTCTTTTGCCTCATCTACATAATGATGCACTTTTTGGAAATCATTCACATTCCCTGGGCTGGCATAGCTGGAGTGAAGAAGATCTACATGACTGGCCTTTATTGCTACCAACAAGGTAATTTATTTTTCATATTTACGTAATATAAAGATTCTATAATGACTTTTTTTAAAATTAGGTCAGTAGATCATTTGAGGGACTTGAGAAACCAGCTAGCTCACCTGGACAAAGATACAACGATTACAGTGGATAAACATCATTTCCAAGCAAACATCGATGTACAACAGTTCAAACCTGACGAAATAAGCGTCAGACTAACCAGAGATCACACTATTACAGTTGAAGGCAAGCACGAAGAACAAGAAGATGATCATGGACTGATTTCCAGGTACCTTTTTTTTGAATGACTAAAGAATACATGCAGGCACCAATAACACCAAAAAACCAAATTGTTAATGCTATAAAAAAATGCAGAATTAAATAAAAATTGCAATTTTAAATGTTTGACAATTAATTTTTTTAAGTTATTATTCCACAGGGATTTTATACCTATTTTTTTTAGATGTCTCTGCCTTTTATAATAAAATGGATTATACAATTTTTTAACTTACAAAATTTGTTTATTAATTAAGCATTAAGCTAGTACTTACTGTTAAGAATTATTTGATTTATTTAGTTAAGAATAACCTATATTTATATTTTTGATAAAAGTTTTGCCTAAATGTATGGTGGCTGCTGCTTTTTTCGGTGGTATTATGGCGGTGGTAAGATTTTACTCTAGCGAGGCCTTGTATTCTTTAGTGATTGCTTAGTTATTTTAAGATAGTATACTGAAAATTACCTCTTTAAAGGCACTTTGTGAGGCGTTATGTGCTTCCTCAAGACTGTGACGTTACTAAAATTCAGTCAAGTCTGTCTTCGGATGGAGTTTTGACTATAACAGCTCCTAAAAAACCGGAAGATGGGGACACTGAAGACCAAGAAATACCAGTGATTCATACGGGCAGGCCCATTATTAGGAGAATGCATTTGTGGCCCAGTCGTAGAGGTGATAGAAGAAGAAGACTTAGCGCTTCGAAATAAGTACATATTAAAAATGTGTGTTCTATAAAAAAAAATGCCATACTTGCTTATATCATGTGTTACTATTGAAAAATTGTAATGTATTTAAAAGAATTTTGAATGTAGAATTTTTATTTAACTACAGAGATTGTCTTTACCAGAGGAGAAACTTTTTTATTATTAACTTGTGAGGAAGATGCATTCTTCATAAAAGTTTTTGCTTCTTCTAAAATGTTATCCAGTTTATACTTTTCCAAATTTCCATACCGTTTTAGAGAAAATTAAAAAAAAGCATGTACTAAAAATCAAATCCTGGAACTAAACAAATTTTTTGCTTCTCTAACATATTAAAACAGCAAAAAATAGAACGTTAATATAATCATCTATCAAAGAATAAAACCCTAAAATTATTTTTTTTATTTTAATTTTCTCTAAAACGTATGGCTATTTGGAAAAGTATAAACGGGATTAACCATTTTAGAACAAGCAAACAATTTTTATGAAGAATGCATTTTTCCCAAAAAGTTAATATTAAAAAAATGTTTCCTCTTGTAAAGACAATCCGAGGACATACTGTATATGAAGCACCGATTTTTCTGATGTAATTTTTTTTGGAGGCTAAAATACTAAATATCTCAATAAGTATCTGTTATTCATTATTAGATACTTTAAAAAATACTCTTTTAAAATGTAAAGCATTCCAACGAATTTTTAAGACTTTACATCCTCTGTGATCGAAAAAAAATACGGCATCATAGTGGGCTTTGAAGTGACATTTGATAATTTAATTGACCATATTTAATTTAGAAAGAAGGTAAAAAGTTTACAAATCTATTTTATAAATGAAAATTTCTAATAGATTTGTAAATAATTTTTAAATATTGTTTTATCCCATGTAAATACTAATTTATGATAATTTTTTCTGTCAATTTTTACTAAATTACGTATAAGTTTGGCCTGACAGAAATTATCATGAATTGTCAGTTCAGAAGCTATTATCCATATAGTATACACTATGGATATATTGTACTTGCCTGTTTAAAATATTACTTATAAAAATACGCCAGAAAAATTGTAATGTAGTTTGAAATTCCATTTATCTCAGGCACCCATTTGTTAATATTTTAGGTAATATCGTGTTATCGAAAAAAAAATGGCGTAAAGTTGGCTTCGAAATGACAATCGATGACTAATTTTATATGTAAAATAACCCTAGATCATAAATAAGTATATGTATATGATTTAGGATAACAGCACTCTTCAATTCCCAGCCAACTCCGCCGCCATTTTTTTTGATCGTATGATTATTTAAATACATAATAAAAAAGTTCTTTTTAGATGTAGGTAGATATATATTAAAAAGATAAATCTATTCCGGATTTTTTTTTTAATTTTATTAAAAAGAGTATATATTATTTTTCAAAAATGTATAGGGCACCATAAAAAATTATGCACCTTTGCTATTAATAAAGTATTTTTTCTCAGTAAATATTTTGTTTTTTTTTTTGTTAAAACTCGTACACAAATTTTTCCTAATTTTTAAATTTAGATATCTATGCATAAACATTCAGTATTTTCTGTATAATTTTTGACTATTAATTTTACAGTTACCTATAGTAGTTAATTTAGTAATTTTTATGAAAACCAAACTATAGAAGCAGCATTAAAACTTGAAAATATCTTTTCCAAAAAATATATACATTTTGAAATTATTGTTGAAGAAAATCAGTTTATTTTTAAAGTAAAGTTTCTTTTTTATACACATATTGCTTCCTAGCTGAAATTATTTTATTCTAATCGGATTTGGATATCACAGGTAGGTACACGATCTCGATTTCTGGTTGATTTTATGCATTTTTTTGAGTCGATCGATACATTGTAAACTCGCAAAAAGCATTCATGTGTGAAAAAATCACATACCTACCGGCCAAAAACCATCAGATTCGTTTGGCAAACGTTTAAAGGATTTTAACGGTTTTGTTCAAGGGTAAAAGAAGGTCACAAGGGTGAAATCTTGTAACTATATACCATTGGTATTTTGATCACATATAGGGCGTAGATAGATATAGGTATAGGTATAGTCTGTATTACGAATCAGGGATAATTTCGATAGAAGACATCCAAAAAATTACAGAAACTGCAATGGTTTATTTATTTTTACATAGAAATTCAAACTTGAGTACCTATACCTATATATACGATACCTACTGATTTTATAATGCAATCAGAATATTAAAAATACCGCATGATCGAAAAAAATGGCGTCCGGTTGGCTTGGAGATCGATGACATTCCCTATATAAAATGACAATGATCCTCATTTCATAGCCATCGCTGACGCCGTTTTTTCCATCATATTGTACGTATTACATCACACCTTAAAAAACATATACAATTTTTTAGAATTTTTACTGCCATTTTTAAACTCAAGTAGGAATTAATCTAAGGATTTAATCAATCAATTGCAACAAAATAATATAAATATTTGTTAGGTATAATAAGTTATCAAAGAACATAAATGTTTAGATACGAGAGTTAAATTCTGCAGTTTCAGTTCTGCGATAAGCTAAATTATAGGAGGCGTTTGTGCTAAAAATAGCACGGTGCAACTTGCAGTATAGTCGATTATCCTGTTATAAAATCGCGAATATTTTTCATGGTGCAAAAGCTAGACAAACACCAGAGTTCAAGGCGGTTCAAATCGATCGCCAGATCGCCAGACAGCAATTTCCATTTCGTTTTTAAAACGTTTCTATACGCGAAACATATAGAGACCTCTGGAACGTTCTAGAGAAATCAAATTCGCCGGCCGGTAAAATGGTGTATAGTAGAGGCATTGCACTAGGCAATTTATATACAGAAATAAACTGAAATACTCCAAAAATTACGAAGAAAATACCGAGAAGATTAATATGCAAAGGTAATTTTGTTTATGGATGTGTTTTTTTGTTCTAAAACTTTGTATTTTATGTTATTTAAGTTTATTAATTAGTGTAACAGTTCCGCTACTATACAATTCGATCGCAGCCACACCGCAGCTGTCGATAATTTCTAGAAAGATCTCTGTAATTCTTTCTATCCCTTCCCGTATGTTCCGGACAATTCCGCAACCGTATATAAAGCGAAACCGGCGTTTTTCGCCCGCAGTTGAATTTGAAATTCGATAAGTTAATATTTTCAGCATTTGTATTGAAAACTACACTCAGAACCAAGTAAAAATGTCTCTTCTACCGCTGTTATTCGCCGATCCATTCGACTATCATGTTCCCAGTCGCCCATCGAGGATTTTGGACCAGCATTTCGGATTAGGACTGCATCCAGAGGACCTATTCCAGCCCCTAACCCACAACAACAGGGTTTTGTCCAGGACTCCAGCTGGATACATGCGTCACTGGCGCCCCAATTCCTCCGTACATGATACTGGATCAACCGTTCATTTGGACAAGGATAAATTCCAGGCAAATTTGGATGTGCAGCAGTTCAAGCCTGAAGAGATCACCGTCAAGGTCACTGGGGATAACGTCTTAACCATTGAAGGAAAGCATGAGGAGAAAGAAGACGAGCATGGGTACATTTCCAGGCATTTTGTGAGAAGGTACGTGCTTCCAAAGCATTGCGACATTGGGAAGGTCGAGTCCAAGCTGTCCTCCGATGGAGTGCTGAGCATTACAGCTCCAACTGTGCAGAAAATGGAAATTGAACACAAGACCATTCCTATCACTCATACTGGGGAACCAGCCAAGCAACAGGCTGTGGAACAGAAGAAGTAAAAACTACATTTTTATCAGTAATATTTTTTAATTTGTTTTGTACTGATTTTTCATTCGAATATCATGTTTCCATTGAAAGGCATTTACTATTCATAAGGCTGTTTGTTTGTTATTTTTATTCATAATGTAATCTTAATATTTAATGTTTTTCTTTGTGTGTTAAGCTACCTAGTTGTAGATTCGACTAGTCTAGCTTCATTATAATTAATCGTAAATAAAAATAAATGTGTTCATGAACTGAAATTTTTGTTTTTTTAACTGAAAAAATAAATCTTCCCTCATAAAAATACTTTTAGATCTTGTGTAAAACCAATGGGGAATTAAAAAAAAAACTTGTTTTAATCAAATAGCATTTTATTATACAGGAAATTAAAAATCACAAAATAACAAAAAAGAAAACAGTTTTTATTAAATAAAAAGTCTGAAATATGAAACTATATAAATAAAAAAATAATACTTAATTTGGAATGAAGAATTTTACATCAATACAAAAATATTAAACTGCACGAAATAAATATTTTACATTTGTATATGGATAATAAATAGTTTACAATAACGTTCCTCCTTAAGAGCTGTATGATTGAAAAAAGGCGTCTAGTGGCGTTAGAAACGTTAAAAACCTACCAGACAAATCTATTTACCAATTTTTTGTGTAGAATGATCATTTTTTTTTGATATTTTCCATTTAAATATTTATTTCTGACAAGAGTTTGTCAATTTTTAATACATTAACATAGCATACAAAGTGGCATACAATCGAAAAAAAAAGCGACGTCAGAGTTGACTTGGAAACGAAGATCGCTGTTTAAAGTATAAATGTCATAGATCCTCATTTCCCAGCTAACACCATTTCTTCAATTATATGATATATATATATATATATATATATATATATATATATATATATATATATATATATATATATATATATATATATATATATATATATATATATATATATATATATATATACATATATATAATATAGTAGGTCGACATGACATAAATTATCATTGATTGTTTTATTTCAAAGGTCACTGTGACGCAGTTTTTCTCGATCATACGCCATAATAATTATTTTTTTTGTATATTTTTTAACACATCATATATAATATAATGAGATTCTTTAAAAAAGGATCTGTGTAAAAATATAATACAATCTACAGAGGGAAATCACAATTTACTGATAATTCTAACAGATCTATTTAAACTATAAATTAAAAAGTTATGACCATACGATCGAACGAAAAAACCGCGTCAGTTGGCATGGAAATGAAAAAAAAAACGCTCTCATTTTATATGTAAAATTGTATGGGATCGTCATTTCCAAGCCAAATTGACACCGTTTTTTCCGATCGTATAGTACAGATAGCACCTTGTGCTTATATTACAAATAAAAATAGAATATTTATTTTTGACATTGGAATGAGTTTGTGTATAATATACTTATATCAAATTATTGTCAAAATTAATAAATAATTAATATATAAGATTCGAAAATATTCAGAGTAATAATTTTTATAACATATTATGATCGACAGAAAAACGGCGTCAGAGATGGCTTGGAAATGAAGATCGCTATTATTATGTATGCAAAATTATAAACAGAATATCATTGATCGTCATTTCCAAGACAACTGGACGCCGTTCTTTTTGCGATCATACGGTATTAGTTGTTAATAACACATCTAAAAAAAGTACTCTATGATCAAAATTAAATACAATTAAATGTAACATAAAATACTTTGTTGTTGCAAAATATAGAAATTATAAGAAAAATATATTTAAAAAAATAATTTGTAAAAATTCTTTCACAAAATTGTGTTTTATTAATTATACAATTAAATGTAACATAAAATACTTTGTTGTTGCAAAATATAGAAATTATAAGAAAAATATATTTAAAAAAATAATTTGTAAAAATTCTTTCGCAAAATTGTGTTTTATTAATTATAATTAATATCAATAATAGATTTATTACTTTTTATTCTTGTTCTTTTAATCAGATAAATAAACTTTAGAAAATAAATGCCGGTAAATATTTGAACAATACCATGAGATTAAAAAAACCATGTCACAATAAGCATCAAAATAATATAGTTCGAGTTTTCTATATCATAATTTTTTTGAAAACTATTTTTTTTAACTCATATTTATAATCAGCACGTCATTATCATGAACATCAGTGACATAGACATAATAAAGCTCAAATTAAAATTTCTACGCTTACTATGGTATCATTTTCATAAAATCCCAGGGTATATTCTGTGTTACGAGTATAATTATTGGTCGTATAATATAATCAGTCTGTAATAATATGGGAGATTCATAAACATTTTAAGAATATTCGGGAAAAAAATAAAAACTTGTACTTTTAATTTCCCCAAATTTATGCGTAACAAGGTCTCTAGATGACGTTAAATATATGTATGGTATAGTAACCTCAACCGTAAATATATACACATATATAATATATAATCGGGAATCTACACATATTTTTAATGAGTTCAATATCATTTTGTGTCATTTTCAGTGACAGGACATAACAATACTAATGATAATTGTTCATAACAATAGTTTTTTAAATTTAAAATGTAATAGAAAAAAATTGGTAATTATTGAAAAATGCTTTATATGTGTGTATTTACTTCAAAATTAATAGAATTTATTTTTTTATCTAACTGAATGCAAAAGAAAGACAAAAAGTTTTAAAAAGAAAAAATATTTTCAGGTTTTCTAATAATTACCAAAATTCAAAATTAATATACAATATATACTAGATATCAGTAAAGTATTTTTTAAAAGAAAATTGTATTTTCCTGTCATTTTCTGAGCTTCGCCTTTCAAAATCTTAAATTATATAGCTTGACAGACTATACAGGGTGTCCCGTGAATCTTAAGCAAATTTCTTCTTTTACTCTCTATGTACTGAATATCTAATAAATATTGTATTTGTAGTAATTTGTAGCAATAATACTTGTGTATAATCTCAAAATTCATAATTTCCATATGAATATAAAATGATTAAAAAGTTTTATAATATTTTATGATCAACAAACTTTGAATCAGAAGATTTGATAAGAATTCAACTAAAAAATGACATTAATATAATGACATAAATTTGCAATATCTTTAACTGTAAATATTTAAAAACATTATATATGATAAAAACTTTGTGTCCATATACAGGGAGATCTAGTTTTTTGGTATTGGTAAGAAATGAGATTTTCTAAAAAAATCTATTTTTTTAAATTACCTGAATAAAAATAACAGAAAATCTATTTTATAATTATCTTACAAGTCACAAGAACTCTTGAGTTGTCTGATTTAATTTAATCTACAGGTACTCCTAAAAAAACTGGAGCACCCTGTATATCATATCATGTAGTAATCTTAAACATTGCTTACCAAAATTTTATATATCTATATAAATGAACTGACATTTTTAACATTACATTATTTGTTTGAAGACTTTCTAGGTGGTAGGGTTGATAATATAAGATCTTACATTTTCTTTTGCTATACAGTGTGTTCTTTTAAAGGCTCCGTATATGTTTCGATCTCCTTATCAACAGACAACTGGACGATAAACCGCAAGATAGTTTGGCTAGTTGGGTGACATTGACAGATCTTCTGGGATAGTCGATTTTGTCACCAAATACCTTTAAGAAAAAGAAAATTCCATTAAGATTGTTAAAGCCACTGAATAATAAATAATATCAATCACTAAATAATATCCAACAGTCTAAGACACTCAAAAAAATTTCTCAGGACCTAACACTCTAACACCGATAAAAAAACGAAGATTTTCCTTGATATAAGTAAGAACGGTCATCGGATTGTCACGGGGTTGTTAACAAATCACTGTCTCCTCAATGAACACCTCAGTAGATTAAAGCTAAGAAACAACAGCGAATGCAGATTCTGTAGGGACAATGGGGAAACACCAGAACACCTCATCACAGAGTGCGCCGAGACGACAACCATTTGTGCCATACTCTTTGGTATGACTTGATATCGGAGATGGAGAGCTAACCTCTGTAAAACCGTCTCAGATAATACCATCTCTCTGTAATACCACCTCACGGCTTTTGTCTAAGCCGTGAGACTGTATGATGAGTTATAACTCAAGAAAAGGGCACATCACATAATAGATCTATAAGGTCGCGGTGAAAAACTTCCCCCTAAAACAGATTTTTTCCTTGGCGTTAAAGTCGATCTTGTGGGTGTTTGTTTTAGATAGGACCCTTTAAGTAAAGGAAGCAAACTTTTTTATTATTCACATTTTGACAAAAATGCCTTATTCGTAAACGTTTTTCCTTGGTTTAAAATAGTTAATCCCGTTTATACTTAAGAGAAAATTAAATAAAACATGAAAATATTGTTGAATTTAAAAAAAAATTAACTAGAAAAATTTTCTATTTTATTTTTCTTACCTTAAATGACAAAGGTATTTCTTCTGGCGTCCTATGTACAAGGGTCCCGTTCAAATACAAAACATTGGCCGCCTCATCCTCAGGAAGCGTTAATGTTTGGTAGTTGAAAGTGGCTTCTCTTTCCATACGTTTCAAGACTTCCTGGGCTTCTTTACCTACACCAACGCACAGTAAATCTGGACCACCCATCGTAATATACGATTTCAGGTGTTTGGCTTCAGGAACCTATAGAATATCTACTATTAGTTCCTATCACGGTTGGAAAACATGTGTTTTTATGGATTAAAACAATTTTGTTGTTTTAAACACGGTTTTAACTTCAAAGTCAGGATTATGTTTAAAACACTTGTTTTAAACTACATAGTATAAAATTTAAGTACAGTAGACTCTGATGTCAAAAGTCGACATATGATATGTCATTCGATTCAGAATATCATTTTCTAGCAAATAAAGTAAAAAAATACCGAGGGTGCCATTTAAAAATCAAAAGTTGTAGTCATTTCCGGTGAAACAGGAAGTGACCAAAAACAATTGAATACGTCAATCAATCCTAATTTATGTGGTATATTAATATACCAAATCTCGTTTTTTTATCTGAAAAAATAAAAAAGTAATAGGGGTGAGCCACTTTTGAGACGCACCCGGTATAAACAAGGATAATACATATGAAAAAAATATATAGAAAACCAAATTTAAAAAATACGGATTATCCGAGCTAGGGTATAGGACATATCGTATGAAATTTACTATGGTTTAAACTCCTAAGTCAACGTTATGTTTAAAACTCTTTGTTGAATTGAGTTTGAAACAAATAATTAAAACAAGTATAAAATACCTGTTTTTAAACAAAATGTTTGAAACATAACAACCCTTTCAAACAAAAAATTATAATGTTATTAATTACAAACGTTAATCGAAACCCTAAAAAAAAACAAATAAAAGCACAGAGATATTTTTATGAAATTCCTGTAATGAAAACAATTCTAAAATTAGATGTTTTTAGTCGTGAACCCCGATCCGAGCAAATTTAAAGGTCATTAACAGTGGCGATGATTCAATAATTTTGACCTAATTTTTGTGGAAACTAATTTAACTTTAGCAGGTGTGGAATTTAATGTGTTATATAGCTTAAAATAAAAAATATGTATAAAGTGCCATATTATCAAAAAACAAAAATTACTAAGTACAAAAAAATAAAGATTTTTTAGTTAAACTTATTTGGTTATGTATGTAAATCATTAAAATAGTAAAAAAAAACAGTAGACCACTGTATCTTAATCAAGTATCTATTGTTTATATTATACGTTGATTTATTATCAAAAATATGTAATGTCATTATTACCAATAAAGTGTCCAATGATAGATATCAAAAACGAATCTAAAAAAGTAATGTATTTTAGGTTAACGTCTCTTTTTTGCTGCTAAGGCTAATATGGACGTGGCCTACTTTGTTTACCAGGAATCTGGTCCTCGGCCATTAATTGCCTACCGACTGGGCAACTGCCTAAATCGACTCTTTCTCACGAAATATCCAATCACATCCGGCGTCGAACCGGCGTAAATAAGTGTGTGTCAATAGAATTTACATATCTTGTCATAGAACAGCACACTCGACAGAGTTTCCGCAGACGGTCACCCATCCATCCACTCGCATCGTCTAACGTCGCTTAAAGCCTCGTTCTCAGAACAGCGACACGACAAAAGAACCAATCAGATTTGTACAAAATTCAAACAGCTGTCAATTTAAAATTTAGTACAACTCCCATTGGTCGTTTGAAGTGTCAATCAGTGTAGCTGGCGACACAGTTTGACATTTCAAACAACCAATGGGAGCTGTACTAAATTTAAAATTGACAGCTGTTTGAATTTTGTACAAATCGGAATGGGTCGTGTCGCAGGCGACAGTCGCAGTTCTGAGAACGGGCCTTTAACTGTCTGTCCAGCAAGAGAAGAGACAACTTTGACAGGCCACGTCCGAAAACTGACAGAAAAAAATAATCTAATTTTAAATTAATATAACAGACAATATTGAGATTTTGAAAATATAATAAAAACAAGGCACAAGTTACCCCAGAGGAAGTATATTTTAAAACGTGCATTATTAAATAATATGTTAATGTATGTTAAGTCTTAATTCGTTGTTAAAAAGAAAAACCACTTGAATAAAAACCCTCCAAATCAGCTTCTTGTTGGAGTAATAATGAACTCACTCATGAGTGTTTTAGATAGCAGTGCATAAACTCTTCAAATTCTCTCTAATTTTTTTAAATGAACACCCTTACCTTAATTTTACCCTTCAGATTTTGTCTTAAATTTCTGGTAATTATTTTTTCTTGTTTTACCTTAATGGGAGTGCAAGGGTATTCTGGAAATGCTGCCGCCACTGCCCTCGCTCCAGCCTCATTGGTCCACTGGGACAAACCAACAAAAAATTCCCTACCTAGAAAAAACATGTTTTTCTTTCAAAAAAATCAGGAGACTTGACTAAAAAAAAGGAAAGAGGCTCCAAAAATAATGATTTTTGTTGGTGAATCAAGGGGGGGGGGGATAAAGCCGAGTCTGATTAAATCTCACGTGGGGGAGAGAGGGGATTTCGGCAAACATCGCGTAATTTTTTTTGGGCAAAAAATAGTGAAAAAGTGTGAGAAAATCAGAGTAATTTAAAGTAAAACATGTTCCTAGACTAAAATATATCGAAAGTTGACACAATTTTTCTGTATATTAAAATCCACGAATAGATATTTGGTACTGATATATCGAAAATGTGGTCCCGATTCTTTACTGGTAGAACAATTAGGGCGCGCAGTTTAATTTTCACAAGACACAAGTAACAACGGTTTAGAGTGGCTTAAATCAGAGCGAAGGTGATGGAGCAGATGGTTTTACTGAACATCACATAGATCTGTTAGTACTGTGGTTAGTACCAATTAATAGTCACTCTTGAGAACGTGCACTAGTTTTACATGAACTAAATTAATGTTCCCTATTAATTTTAGAAGTTCCCATTTAAGTATTATTTAATGTTATAACTATTTTTAGATTAGGATCTAAACAATTTCAAATAGAAGTCTTTACTAGTCTTAATAATAATAAAGCAAATTGTGTGTTTTTTTTAAATAAATCCAAAGCATTTAAATTCAAAATACAAATTTTGAAAGATCTCACATGGGATTAGGAATTGAGACAAATCTCACGACACATCTTCAGTGTCAGTGGTGGAGAGGGTGGGGCAAAAACCACAAAAAATAACTTAAGTAATTTATGGATAGAACATAATAAAATGATTATCATGTGAATCCTTTACAGAATGCTCTTACCAGTAAATAAAACATCTCCACCATCAAGTTTAGCATTGGCGTCGGACATTTCTATTATTGGAAGATCCAACTCTTTTTTGAGCACCACCCTAATTGTTTCCACCTAAAATCAACAAACATTTCGAAATGTAATTAAATCTTTATTAAAGCAAATTATACATCATAAATTGTGGAATTGCTTTTCAAATCATCAAAGCAGTAAAAGTTCTAAGAATAAAACTCGTTTAGAAGATGAATGAAACGTCTAGCACAAAAATTTGTTGCTGAGAAAGTTTGAATAAAATTCTGTTTATTTTTAGTAACCTGAATAAAAGAACAATAGAAAATAATGTATTGTGATGCTGAAAATAAATCCTAGAGCATTGCCTAGCTTCTCTCTTCACATAGGACGAAATAATAGGCTTTAAATAGTTTCAATTGGTTACATAAATTCAATGATGTATTATGTAATCAAAGGCACTTAAAAAGATATGTATTTAGATAAATAACTTTTATTCTCCAATGTGAATCATTGAAATATTGTCAAAAAAAAGTTATAAGAATAAACTTCTACAGAAAACCTATACATATTTCAGTATAAACCATAAATAAAATATTTTCTATGCCATATTGGAAACTCTAAACCTAAATACCTACATATATTTATTTGATATGACGAACTATTTTTATTGATATACAATTTTATTCTGTAAGAAGGCAGAAGTGAGCTTGATCGACATGCAGCTTTTTCAAAAAAGATAAAACAGCCTTAACACCAGCATATTTTCTGATATTAGCTGCCTATAGACCAGAAGGCCCGGCCTGCAGTCCCGACCTTCGGATTAAATCTTTGCGTTTGTGGGACAGACCAAGTCTTTGGCAGGCCAAGCCTTTGGAAGACTAAGCCTGTCAAAGGCCAAGTCCGCGGACTATACAATAATATTTGTTGTTGTTGTGCTACGGAGTACAATAATAGTTGTCAAACATTTAATAATTTATCTTAAGTCTATTTAGTAAAAAATTATTATATTAATCATTAACAATGAGTAAAAAATCAACACTTATTTATATACAGTTTGTCCCACAAAGCAAAAAATGTGTTACAAGTTTATTATATCAATCCCGTTCAGTTGTTGTTCATTCTTAAAACATACAGACAAACGCTGAATCTATTAAATATGAGTGATTAAAACTTTTAGAAATTTTAAAAGATCGTCAGGCCAAAACTGCTATAAAAGGTTGAAAGATCTAACTAGCAGACTAAGTCCGCAGTCCGGGTCGCAAGGCCAGATCCAAAGGCTAGGCCTTCTGATGTATGAGGGGCTATTAATTTAAGTTCCTCAGAAAATAAAATAAAGAGAAGAAACATTAGAAGAAACTAGTTCTGCACTAGAGATAAAAAGTCTTTTTTAGAAAATTTTACCACCCGGTATCTTAAAAGTTAAGATGATTAGGATATGGGTACATTCATATGAAGCTTTTTCTTAGAATAAGTCCAAGAATCATCCCCTTAAATATTAGCAGTTAATTAAGGAATACCCTGTAGACTTTATATAATATATATACCTACCATTAGCTGTGCCATTAGAATAAAAGTGATCCATATTTTTAAATGTGAAAAATAATGTTTTATATCAAATTAGCCATAGATCCGGTGTTGACTGTTAACACTTAATTAATAGTTAAAAAACTAATTTAATGACATAAAACCATTATGATAGCCATAATTGGGAATTCTCTATTAATTCTAAATAACTAGTTTTAAATTTTATTGAACATTTCTCTTATTTAATCAATCATTGTATTATAACTTTGTTTATATTTGTAATAAAATTTATAATGTAATAAAATATTTCTAGGAAAGAGGATACACTTGAACTCTTGCTTCAATGCATTTAAATTCTAGTAAATTGAATAAACTTTGCACAAAGCAAAAAACTTATAATATTTTAAAAACTGGTTTAAATGGGTGGTTCATTTTAGTTAACACTATTATAATAATATAGCCTTGTTAAATCTTAAAGTACAGTGATACAATGTTTTTAAACCACTTGATTCTATTCGTGTTTTGCTAACACAAGCTTTTGGGGCATGTCCTTTAATGATTTTGGACTGACCTACCTCTTTCTGACGATGTGCAGCCCCCGGTCTAGTTATAAGTGCGGCCCCATTACAAACAACCGCACAGTCTTCCACAAAAACACATTCGGGCAGGCCTTCGTCTGGTGGTAGTTCGATAACATCCAATCCCAGTTCCCTCAAAAGCCTCACGTAGTTTTCGTGTTCCTTTTTCGCCTCTTCCAAGTCGATTTGGCCCCGCGTCCTCAAAGAAACCGGGATTCTGCTAACCACGGCGTGCGTATAACGAAACGCAGCCATGTTTTGATTTATGATCTGCTATGTTTATGATTTCGGTACGATCATAGGATTTGTTATTCTCTGATCTCTGATCCACAGCTCTGATCATAGACAATACCAGAACAATACCACAGGACAACACGATAGGCAATTCAAAATTCACGATTTCGGTTTGGGCACAGAGCACAGGTCGACTGGACACTGGCCGAATGACATTTTATCTGATTTTATATTTCTCTATGGAATCACCTATATAAGTTCAAGCCATTTAAAAAGAAAGAAGAGAAATTCTAAGTCAAATCTGTGGTTGCCTATTATTTGAGCCAAAATTATAAAAAAGAAGAAGAAAATTACTTCTATTCTGTGGTTACGGTTCGTTTAAGACCTGAAATCCGAAAAAGAAGAAGAATGCAGGTGGCGCCATAGTGGAAAAAGCAATGACTAAAGAATCCAAGGACCAATGACTAAAGAATATAAGGACATGTAACGCCCCTATACGGGCTGCAGCAGAATTTGTGACCTTTTTTTTGTTTTGGTGGCAAACAAATGAGTCATCATTGGGTCACCAGCGACAATTTTAGCGATTTTTAATAGTTTGTGTGTAGTAAACTTTGTATAAACCAGAGATATGGAAGTGGGAGAATGAGCTTCGACGAGTGCGCATCCAAATTTTTGTCGACGGCAAGATGGCAGACATCTTCCAGGTCTCGCTGTCACTTCCCCTCTTTAATTGAAATCTGTTTGTTTTGTTTTGTTTTTCGTTTGTGTTGTTATCTAGTTAAAATTTATTATTATCTCAATTATTCTTAACACTAATTCAAAAAGGCTTGTTGTATATTCATAGTCATTCTAAGAAAGCTAATACGCCGGGAATAATGATTAGTTTTCATGTGTAAGTTTATACAACATAATCGTGTTTACAGATGATTCAAAACTGTTTATTTTTAGTTTTCCTAAAGGCGATTTGTAAAAATCGTGATTGTAATTGCTTCAAACAGCTAGGTTAAGAAAAATATGTGCCACGGCACTGTTTGATGGCATCGTTACAATTTGCACTCGGGTGTTATTTGTCCTTGGATTCTTTAGTCATTGCCAAGGACAAATAACACCCGAGAGCAAATTGTGACGATGACACCAAACAGTGCCGTGGCACATATTTTTCTCAACCTAGCTGTTTGAAGCAATATTTATATTTTTTGATAATTGTTTTGACTACGCCTATGGTGTATCATCCTAAAGCCGGAGTCTCATGCATCCGAAATCCGATGGTACGACATCCGAAATTTGAAGTTATCGTGTGAAATAAAAAAAGCCTGTCACATACATCCGAAAGTTCGTTCCGAAATTTGACAGTTTTAACATTTTTCTGTTGCGCTGAATAGAGATTCATGTCATGTTTTATTGGAGAAACACTTATAAAAATAACTTCCTCGCCAAATATCCCGAAATTGCCCACTTCCCACTAAACTTGTTTTTAAAAACAAATGTTTTCAAAAAAAGTGAGGTTAAAAAACACACGATATCGTACAAAAGTTAAACAAAATTTAACTTTATACGACGTCGGATGATTAGTTAAAATTATCGGATAAAAATTGTTGTCAAAATATTTCGACCAATAGGAGCACCGTCGGATCGTCGTGTCATCGGATTTCGGATGCATGAGACTCCGGCTTAATTAATTACGAAAAAAACGTATTAAAATGTTAACAAAAGGTACAAAACTAGTCCTCGACGTATAGCACATATCAAGTACATATAGATATTAATTGAAATTGAAGAATAATTATCGAATTCAATAAGAAAACGCTAAAAAGTTGGAGTGGAGTGTTTATTTACCTATGAAACGTAACTCCTGGCTCTTTCTTATCGCTGCTGCTTTTACACTTGAAAGCTGAACAACTAATCACCATTATAATAAAGTTTATACAAAGTTTACTACACACAAACTATTAAAAATCGCTAAAATTGTCGCTGGTGACCAAATGATGACTCATTGTTTGCCACCAAAATAAAAAAAAAAGGTCACAAATTCTGCTGCTGCCCGTATAGGGGCGTTACATGTCCTTATATTCTTTAGTCATTGGGAAAAAGTGAAAAAATTTTGAACGAAAGTGCTTCTAAGGTTGCCAAATGAATAACGAAATACTGAAACTAATATTTTTGTAAATCTAAAATGAATTGAACCATTACAAAATCATGATAAATCTAATAAACAATAAACATTTATTACAAACTTTGTTTCAGTAGAAAAAATAACATATTTCCTTTTCGACACAGCATTTTTGCAAATACACATACACAAGAAGAAGTGCTAGCCATACCAAAAGCAAAAGACATATGTCAAAACTATTTTTTTGTTATTAGATAATTATTAGGTTTGTTGCACATTTTCTATCAAAATTCTAAATAAATGTTTTCCATTTATTGTAAACTAACAAAAGCTTTGAAGTTTTTTTAAAATATTTATTATTTTATATATACAATTATTTTATCCGGATTTGTATGAGTTATACATCGATATCAGTTATATTTAACGAAACTACTACAATATAACATTCTACTACAACATTTTAATCAAGGATGTACATAAAATACCACCATAACTCTTTTTTCTCAATATTACAGAGCCTTAATACAGCAATTAATATTCAATAATTATTAAATCAGTCAGATTTAAGTCCACACTTATAGATTCCTTTGAAAGAAATATGAAAATTAAGTCCAAACTTTAAAAATTCATATATATGATGCAGGCCCCTTATTAGATAAGATAAAAATATCTTAATTATATTACTTAGTAATCTATTCCAGAATATTTACAAAGCCATATTTCTTCCTTCTATGGATATTTCTACTGCTCTTCTTGTTTGCTTTAATCTTTTGCTGTCTAAAAAGTTCTTATAATGTTTTTCAAATCTATTCAAGCCTTTCTTGGTTGTCTGCAATATTAAAATAATAAAAATTAGAATAAAAATCACGTTTCAAGCAACACTAATTATAAATATTATTAGTTATATGTGAGAATTATTATTATTATTTATAGTTAAACGTAAACATCCATTTCAATTCAGGTTTCTGAGGTTAAGTATTTTAAATGGTCAAGTTTGCCAATGCGTTTAACATATTTTGTTACTATGAATAATCAATCATAATACAATATTTTATGTTATCCATATTTTTATTTTTCCCCAATTTTATAAAAAATAGTCAAAGTCTAACAATTTAAATTCGAAGTAAAAGAATCTGACGTCTGACGTCAATGAATGACCTGATGAATGAATGACTGCCTGATGACACAAAAATAAATTCTTTCGCTGTTCTAAACCCAGGCTGAACCGAAATGGCAGCGTGCGCAGGGTCATCGCGCATTGAGAGTTTCTCTGCTGTTTGTTGTTTATGCTGTGGCCAGAGGATGTACTCACATACATTTGGACAAGATGTTTAGAAGATTTGATAAATAAATATGGTACTTACACGACTAATATCTGTTTCGGAAGTCCACTTGGGTCTCACTAAATAATCTTTATTTGATGGTATAGGCACTCTTGCTCTGGCTATCCATCCTTTGTCACCTGGTCGAAGAGGTCTGAAATTTTATTTTTGCTTTAGAATTAAACACACTCAATTTTCATGTTTTTATAATGAGCAAGGGGCTTGAGTTATAACACAAAACAAAGTAGTCATACATATTTCTGAAACTAACTAGAAAATAATGCTTTTAAATTTCTTACTTTCCATCTGCATTTAGCGCCTGTGATAATTCTTTTCTATCCTTTTCAGTCTGTTCATCAGATTTCCTCCTTTTAGATCCCATTTGTTCAATGTCTCTCTGCAATCTTTCTTCCTTGCTTAGTGCTAGAAGCAGGCAAAAGACAAAAGTAAATTAATTCCTTCTAAGTACAATTCCTCACAAAACCTTAGCTATACAGAAGCAAGGGTCGGCTGCTTTAAAGTGTGTCCCATTTACTTTGAATTACGTTATGAAAATTACAATCAAGTGTTGCAAAAATTACGAAAATTTATTTTTGTAGAACATTCTAAGAGAACGAACCATAATAAACGAGCAACTGTCGAAAGAAAAATAGGTTGGAAAGTCAATCAGTTACTTTTTTATATTTTATTCTGATTTTTTTTATTTTTTCACATTATGATCAAGAAAACTGAGAATTTTGAGAACATTTAGAGTAAGAGAGAAAAAGTGATTTTTTCTTATTTAGCTTGTACATTTTGCAAGCACTTAACTGTTTGATTTTTAACAAATCTCTAAGCTGTCGTCAGGGACATGAAGTAGATCTACAAAGCATTAAAACAAATTTACCTTTAAAATCTGTGGATAAATTAAAAATTGGTCTAGCCCATTCACTTATTAATCGTCCAGCGCGTTCTTTATTCTCTTTTGTTTCTTTTGGATGTTTATATAAATACATAACAGCTTTCCCAATCCCAGAATGTTTTAAAGTTTGTTGGTCAACTCTTGGAAACTGCAATTTTATAGAAATATGATTATAAGTTATGAATAATAATTCTAATTAAATTTAAAAAATGGAGGAAAATGTTATAATCTTAAGTTAAATTCATATACATATTTGGATTCAAATGATATCCTGTGTACCTAATATATTAGAATAGTGTTCATATTTATAGAACAACGTAACTTATTCAAGTATGTTAATTACTTAAAAAACTATTTGAATACTTACATCTGACAATAATTTTAAAATACTTTCTCTGACTTGTAAAGAGGGCATAGACCTATCTGGCATCGGAGCTAACCAATCAGTTAATACATTTAACACATTATGTTCAATAAAAGCCAGTTGTAAATCATGCTTCTTTAACTGCGACATTACTTTTAATAACATGGCTATTTTCTTTGTTGCTGGTTTGTGTTCTTGATTTAGTCTTCGATCTTCCTATAAGTTTCGTATCAGTCAATTAATTCATATTGAATAAAGCTCATGGACAATAAAAACTTACCTCTGCTGCGTGCCTCATATCAGAAAGTAACTGAGCAATAATATCATCATTATCATTAATTATATCAATATCTTTCCTCTTCCTTCTTTTGGACTGCTCTTCTTTCTTTTTTTGTAACATTAGTTCAAAATCAGAGAGCCCCTCACTGTTTTCTGGTCTACTTCTATCTATACCTTCATCTGAGTCATAATCATCTGGAGGCTGTTGTTGGACAACCTCACTTTCGTTTTCTTCGGTTTCTTGTTCTTGTGAAGGGCCTGGTTGTTCCTCTTCATTATCACTGTCAAGAACTTTCTGAGACTTAGTATTTCGTTGCCCTTCATCTTCAGAATCTGAATCTAAAGCTCTTTTCCTACTTTTTCCAATTTCTAGTTCTTCACCAGATTTTGAACCAGAACGTGACCTAAGCAACAACCGGAGAAATTATACCCCAAATTTATTTGTGCCTTTTAAATTTAATTATAAAAAATAAATAATAATTGATTTGGTTAAACTTCTACTAACAGGAGACTGTATACTGTGCTGTTAAAATTAAAATATTGATCATAATTCAAAAATAAAATACCTTGATCTTGGTGAACCAGATTTGGATCTTGATCGGGACTTTCTAGATCCAGACCTGGATTTTGCTGATCCTGATCTGGATCGTCTCGAACCTGATCTGGATCGTCTGGAACCTGATCTGGATCGTCTGGTACCTGATCTGGATCGTCTGGTACCTGATCTGGATCTTGACTTTCTTGAACCAGACCTTGATCGAGAACCCGACCTTGATTTCCTCGAACCCGATCTCGATCTGGCAGAACCTGATCTTGATCTTCTGGACCCTGATCTTGATCTATTGGAACCCGATCTTGATCTCTTGGATCCTGATCTTGATCTATTGGAACCCGATCTTGATCTCCTGGAACCTGATCTTGACTTTGCAGAACCTGATCGTGATCTCTTGGAACCCGAACGAGATCTTGCAGAACCAGATCTTGATCTCCTTGAACCTGATCTTGATCTCCTTGAACCAGATCCTGATCTTCTTGAACCTGACCTTGACCGTACAGAACCCGATCGTGACCGTTGAGATGCTGAACGTGATCTTCGAGAACCTGATCGAGATTTCCTAGAACCCGACCTTGATCTAAACATTACAATTGTGTTACTTATTTATAATGTATATAAAAATACCTGGACCAGCATAACAACTAATTCTCAGCTAACAGCCGATATTTGATTGTAAAACATGGGCATGTGAAATATATTTTCAAAATTGTGTTTTGATAATTTATTTCCCTTAATTAAAATTTAGATACTTTGTTAACAAATTATTATTACAACATTCTGATTACGACGCAACACAAATTGAAAAAAACGGCGTCCAGTTGACTTGGAAATAAGGATCAATGACGATATATAATTTAACATAGAAAATGACAACAATCTTCAATATCATTATAAATTTATAAAATTTTATCAAAATATTTTTAAAACATTTTATGTGTATGTGCATAATTATTGTTATTTTATTATTTTATATATGTACCTGCATATAATTTGACTGACTAGTATAAACTTTGTACTAGCATATATGTAAATGTAGTAATAATATATGATGAATAAGTCGCTCAGTATGAACAAGGTCTGAACTTTTTTATAGATAAATATTTATAGTTACTTTTAAAAATTAAAAATAGTACCTATTACAAATGTAATCAATTTCATTATCTTTTTAACACTAGTATAAAAAAACGCCACTAAAACTCAAGCTTAAACATTCACTAAATAATATTATGCAGTGCCTATATGAGTATACTTGGCAAACATTTGTTATTGGCATACAGGGTCCGGCGATAGTGCGTCGGGCATCTGTAGCTCCTATAATAAACAAATTTAGTATAAGTTCAAACCTAAAGTATGTAACGTATAGTATGTAATGTACAGTTTTCATTTCAGGACATTTCATATATTTTTAATAATTTTTTTAAAAAAGGACGAAAAAATATATTTTTTTATGTATATCAAACTATCAAAACATATTTAATAATATCTTAGGATTATGTAAAGGAAGCCAAAAATGCAATAATATAGTGTTTTAAATTTAAAAAAAATCATCCCGATCCACTCACACATTTATAAGTTAAAAGATTTTCCTGAAATAAACAAATCCTAATATACATACTTTTGGTTTGCACTTATAGTTGTTTTATTATAAGAGCTACAGATGCCCAATACCGGACCCTGTATAGTTTTCCAATAACAAATGTTTGTCAAGTATACGAGTCGTCAGATATACTTTGACTATACCATAATTTTAAAACTGGTCCAGGTATAATTGTTCTTTCAAAAAAAAAAAATATATATATATATATATATATATATATATATATATATATATATATATATATATATATATATATATATATATATATATATATCAGATCTTGATCTAGATTTTATTGAACCAGATCTTGATCTAGATTTTATTGAACCAGATCTTGATCTAGATCTGTGTGATCCTGAATGGGACCTTGCTGAACCAGACTGTGATCCTCGGGAACCTGATCGCGATTTTCTCGATCCAGACCTTGATTTTCTGGAGCCAGAACGAGATCTAATCTCCGATTTAGATCTCGATCTTGACTTTCTTGACTGTGACCCTAAAGAACCTGACCTAGATCCTGACCTAGATTTCCTTGATCCTGATCTAGATTTCCTTGATCCTGATCTAGATTTCCTAGATCCTGACCTAGACTTTCTCGATCCTGACCTTGATCTCCTTGATCCTGATCTCGATTTCCTTGACCCTGAACGTGACCTATGTAAATTTGATACTAACTTATAATAGTAATAATAAAATGCCTTTATTTTTTTATTCAGCAAAGTTCAGCATAGCTTTGGCTTGAACGAGCACACAAAAATATGAAACTACAGTAATACACCGCTTTATAGAAAATCTTTAATTCCCTCTTTATGGGTTACTTTTCCAAAGAAGCAATAGTTCAGACCATAGAATATATTTTATTTCTGAGAATACATTGGTGTTAAATAAATTATATTAATAAGTAATAATATTTATATTACTTGAAAATAAAGAAATACTTTTAAAATGGAACTTAGTTGTAGGCTAACAATCTATAGTAAAAAAAAATAACATCATCTGGTCTTTCTCTAATTAAAGCATGTAATTTAATTCTTTCTTTTGACAATGATGCTTACAGTTTTTTCCAATAAATTAAAATCACGCGCAACTTTATAGTAGTTCTAGCACTATTCCCAATTTGATTTATAGTTTTACGCTAATTACGCTCACGCTTACTAGTAGACAATACGAATTGGTATCATTAGCATGATACCAATTATGCAGCCTCTTAAACAAAACTAAAAATAATTTGATTCTTATGTAAACAGACTACACAAGGATGAAGGATATACGCCAGGTGGGCGGTAGAATGGCTTATTGCTAATATATCCAGTTTTTCACGTAATACCAAAACCATTACTGTCCATATATCTCAAGAATCAAACAATACAACCAATGTGATATTATACTGCCAATGACCATTCAAATCTAGCCGAACAATATCTGGGAATTTTATACATGATTTTATTTCAATGTGCTCTCTTATGATTTCTGATGTATCGTTTGGAACCTTACCTTGATCTGGATTTTTTAGTAGAATTAGAACGTGATCTACTTTGATGCGAGCCTATAGGAGATCTGGATCGCGAACCGTGTCTTGAACCATCCGATACTAGAGGAGCTGATCCTGACCTTGATCTAGACCGTTTGCCATCTTCCTTATGATTTTCAGCACTGCCGGACCTTGATCTGCTTCTGGATTTTGATTTATTACTGCGATTACTAGTCACACTACCTGCGGATGGACTTCTTGATCGAGAATTGTTGAGCGATTTACCATTAACATTGGGGGAGGCGGAGCGGCTTTTTATAGATTTATTAGACTCGGGCGAAGGCGAACGAGGTCCCTTATTATCATCAAAAACTTCTTTTGGTGATTTAAGTTCATTTAAATCTGTTCCCTCTGTAAAATATGAAGAAAAAGCATTAGTTATAAAGCAACATTTGTTTAGTAATAAATTTATATCTAACCTGTTTCACTTTCCATAACAGCGTAAAATAAATATTACTAGAACGATTCGAAAACACACTTGTCTCAGTTATGAGCAAAGAAATGATATCAATATTTAATTTTTAAGTACCGAATAGAATATGAATTAATGTATATATGCAAAGACAAAATTCGACAAAATTATAATAAAACAATAATGGATGACAACTTGGGATGACAAATGACAATTGGCGATTGTAATACCATAGAATAAATAAGATCGCTGTCAATTATCATACCATAGAATAAATTGGAAAAAATACTAACAATAGGAACGTTTAAACGTATCGATATCTGGCAATATCGATATACGTACACAATATATACAAAATCTCAACAAAATCTACCTTTTTACTCCTGTATCTATGGTCACGACCATAGTTTTGACATTTTATAATGCTGACTCTATGGTCACGACCATAGACAGAATCATCCACAATCATATATATTTTAACTAACGATGGATATGTATATGTCCACAATTTTTTTTATAATCTGTGACTGAATAGTGACGTATTTTCTATGACGTAAAGCGCCGTTTATTTTAACTAGATTAAAAAAAGGAAGAGGATTCTACATTTACATTTTTTAATAACATTAGATAAAATTGGAGCAAAAGTAAGTTTTCTTTTTCAGTTTTTCTACACGATTTTTCAAATTTATACGTGAATAATAATTTACATAACTTGCATAATTATTTTAGATGCCGAGAACCAAGAGGATTCAAAATAAAAAAAATATAGATGCTCCTTATACAAACAAAAAAGATTTGATGTTGTTAATTAAGGATAAAGGTAATAAGTTTTACTTGAATATACATTTTATGATTAAAAATTTAATTGACTGTTTTAGAGGCAGAATATTTAACTTTATTGGACAGGGAAAGGGAAGAACAATTACAATCAATTAGTTTGGATTACATGAATGTGAAAGCAAGTATAAAAGAATCTGTGTTAAATGCAACTGTTAAAGATATTGTAAGTAATATCACATTTCTTTGTGCAACTATTTATTACTGTATTCACATTTTTAGATAAGTGGTGAACTCATAAGTTTTTCCGAAACTACAGTAGCTCTTTCTGATTTAACTAATACATTAGAATCGACAAAAAGCTCCGCGAACCAAACGAGATCAGGTAAAAAGGGAGTGACATCGGAAATTAGGACTCAAAATCGAAGTGCATCAGTAGATCCGAAAAAATCAGTTAAAAGAAGTATATCATTAGGCTGTCGAGATGAGGGTAAGTGGCTCATAAATTGTATAATATAACATATCTGAGAGGGAAGCTTTCTCATCTTTAAAATCAGCTTATTCGTGAATTTAATGTTTTTAACAGTTTTTAACAATTCGTGAATTTAATGTTTTTTTATTCTATTCCTAGGTCAGAATTGTTATTAAAACATGTTTTGTAATTTAATAATAATAGAAAATAAATTATATATTGTTAGTTTTACATGTAGTAATGCTTTTTAATTTACAGATAGTAAATGATTATATTTTTTGTATCATGCTTATTTGCTACAGTATTCAAGTTACTAACACAAATGATTCAGTAGAATTAGGTATATCAGTTTCATACAACACAAAGAAATCAAGCAATATTTGAGATATACTCTATTATAGAAGAGTAATATTTGGATTAAATTCTAACATATCAGAGATAACTACATAATATTAAAGAAAAAACTTTATAAACCATTGAATAAATAAAATAAGAAGTTATATTCTACATATTTTTATACTAACAGAGCTTTGTTTAATCATTCTTTTGGCAGCTCTTGACAAATTTGAATTTTTGCAAAATTCGGATATTGTACATATAGTACACTAGTGATGTAAAAATTCTAAGTAATCGTTACAAAGTAACAGTTACTTTACGAGGACTCGAAGTAACGCTTACTATTTGAATTTAGGACTCGTTACTCGTTACTAAGCTAATTCGTTACTTTTGCGCCGGCAGTAATCGTAATCCCTGGAAATGCACGAACCGAGGACTCGAAACTCAATACTGAAAGGCTTGGACGTAGGTCTAGTTGTTATCAATATGTTTATCTGTGATGTTTATGTTTAAAGTGTTGACTTGACGCCGGCCGGTGTTTTGGATGGCAAATGTGTGATATTTTTATTACAATTATTATGATTGGCTCATGCCGACCCGGCGAGGTCTGTCCCTTTGCCGTTTGTTGTCGCTTTTTATTTATAGAATAGAATTGTTTATTTAGATTAACATGTCTTAGATATTAATTAAAAATGGATTCACGTTATTCACAAAAAATGTTAACATCTGAAAAAGCAGAGCAAATATTTTTTTTTTCAAAAGAGAATAGATATTTCGCCACTTACACTGTAAGAAAATCTACAAAATAAAAATAGTAATTTTTAGTAAACACATGGTAAACACTAGAGATGGGCAAAAGTAACCGGTTTTTTGAATAACCGGTATTTTCCTCTAAAATAACCGGTTATTTAAAGGTAGTTTTTTTTTCACCAATTAACCTAATAACCTTGCATTACCTTCAATAACCTATAGCCGGTTATTTTTAAAAAATCGTACTTGTATAAAACAAGTAACAATTAAATATTAGCTGTTTGAATCGTAAATTTCGAAGATGCGAACAGCACGGATCTCCCCGATATTACGACGATAACGGGAGATCCCGCTCCCAAAACGAAAATATATGACATCAACATGACATCAAACATCAAATGTCAAAATTAAATCAGGCATCAGGCGAGCCCTGATGATAATAATCAAAACAACGGCCGAATGGCCCTGACAGGTCAGGCCGTAAAACAAAGTACCAATGTCATAGACTACTACTAGCCACCAACTAGCCAAGTGATACGAACCTAACTTCAAATAGATTCTCTAAATTCTATATTTAAATTTTAACCGACTTTAACGGATTTTCAACGGTTCTTCAAAAGTTTTCCATGGTTTCGCCCAGTTTCACCCACGTTTCACCGTAAATATATTTTATTTGTAGTTTGAAGTCTCTCTTGAAGCTTAGACTAAAGAATACAAAATTAAAGTTCAAGTAATGAATGAAGATAATCTTTCATTATTTATTCATTCAGTCTCCTTATTTTTCTTTGGTATTCGATTAAAATAACTTGGTTGTAGGTTGTAGAACTTGTGAGTTGTGTAGTTTATTTGAACGTTAAGTAATTACTAGTTTTAATATCATATCCATGTCTACTCAAAAAAGTGAGGTTAGCATTTTTATTTAAATTCATTTTGGACATATACGTACTTACATTGCTACAATATCTATTTAATCATGCGATTTAACTAAGTTTATTATCTAAATTTGAAGTAGACCTATAGAGTGTAGAGGTAAGTAAACCTATAGGAAAACTAAATGTTTAGTTTTGCTAGGTTAGGTTATTTGAATAACCGGTTAATTTGTGTCGGTTAATTTTGTTAAGTTATTATTTTTTAAAGATAATTCCGGTTAACCTATAACCGGTTTTTTACCAATAACCGCCCATCTCTAGTAAACACTGCTAATCCAAAGGACTTTTTTGAAGAGATGAATCTGCCACAGAGGAATATACATTGTTTTAATATTTTTACATTTTAACAAAAATATATACATTTTTTTTTAATTTTCACTCTTTAATGTTGTTTGCCTATTTATTAATGTAATATAAAGAGAGAGAGAGAGAGAGAGAGAGAGAGAATATAAAAAAAAATACTTTATATTTATTATACCAATGACTAAAGAATCCAAGGACAAATAACACCCCAGAGAAAATTGTGACGATGCCATCAAACAGTGCCGTGGCACATATTTTTCTTAACCTAGCTGAAGTAAGGTTTGAAGCAATATTTATATTTTTTGATAATTGTTTTGACTACGTCTATGGTGTATCATCCTAATTAATTACGAAAAAAAGCGTATTAAAATGTTAACAAAAGGTACAAAACTCGTATCGACGTATAGCACATATCAAGTACATATAGATATTAATTGAAATTGAAGAATAATTATCGAATTCAATAAGAAAACGCTAAAAAGTTGGAGTGGACTGTTTATTTACCTATGAAACGTAACTCCTGGCTCTTTCTTATCGCTGCTGCTTTTACACTTGAAAGCTGAACAACTAATCACCATTATAATAAAGTTTATACAAAGTTTACTACACACAAACTATTAAAAATCGCTAAAATTGTCGCTGGTGACCAAATGATGACTCATTGTTTGCCACCAAAACAAAAAAAAAAGGTCACAAATTCTGCCGCAGCCCGTATTATTAGCCCGCGTTAGGGTGCAGCCACACTATCCTAAAAACGGCGTATCGGCGTAACGGCGTAACGACCTTGAATCGATTTCAAGTAATTCTATTGGCTGAAATTTTTGACAGATGAATTTGACAGATAAAATTTCTGACAGATGAATGTTTCAGCCAATGGAATTACTGGAAATCTATTCAAGGTCATTACGCCGTTACGCCGATACGCCGTTTTTAGGATAGTGTGGCTGCACCCTTACATGTCCTTATATTCTTTAGTCATTGTATTATACACATATTTTCTTTGTTTGATTTGTTTTCTTTTATTTTTAATTTTATTAATAGTACATAGTTTTATTAAACATATCATTATAAAAATATTATACATATTATTAAAAACAAATTATTCAGTACTTGAATACCGAGTATTGACATTATCCTATTAAGCCCTTACACTAGAAGAAAGTAGAAACCCCTTATAGGTTAAACCGAGCATGCAACGAAGATCGCCGCGCACAATAAGTAACGAAGTTCCACGTCAAGCCCAAGCCTTCCAACTTGTACACAAAACAACGATTATAAAGTAACGATACTAAGTACCAAAGTAACGAGTAACTAAAGTAACGAGTCCAAAGTAACGAGTCCTATTACCAAAAGTAACTAGTAGTTACGAGTCCATAAAAGTAACTAAAGTTTACATCACTAACGTACACAATATGTGTAAAACATTGGGTACAACTATAACAAAACTTACTCTACTGAATGATTGAACTTGCTATTTACTTGCTTTAACACATACATTTTATCATCGTCATGGTTTTGGGATCACATAGGTTATAGAACAGCTGAAAGTACCAGTAGTACTACTTCAGGTAACACCAGGATGTCAAGATCAAAAACGAGGACTGTAAAACAAGTGTCTCGCTCTGTTTCAAGAAATGCTGGCAAATTGGCTGAATACAAAACACCTGCTAATAAACAACCAATACCTTGTAATTCAGGGACTATTACACCAAAGGTAATTAAGTTAAAACCTCACCCAAGTTGCGCTCAAATTATTATAGTATCACAATGAATCTACTATTTTAACATACAGTCGGTTGCATCGCCAACATGAATATGTATAGGAAATCCCGTGTACATTTGAAATGATGAATAAGTTTTCCCAGTTTTATTTTACAGAAAAATTTATTTGAAACTTTTTAAAGAACTTCTTTAAATGAAACTTCTTCTTTTTGTAGAAGCTTGGAAAACTGTTCATTTTCCAAGCTTCTACAAATGCCTTTTGGAGTTATGAAAGATAAAAAAATAATAAATTAATTATTATAAAAATTAATCAGGTGAAATAACAAACGTGGCATGTTTTCTCTTCTTCTTCAGATTCTATTTTTGAATGCCAAATTGACGTTATTGTTGCCAAAAAGATCATTTTTTGTCAAAGTCATAATAATGCCAACAAACAAAAAGCCACCGATTTTTTGCCATCATACTGTAGTTAAGGGATTTCAACGTTGGTGACGTGCGCACAATTTTGTCGTTTTGTGTAAAAATTTAATTAATCATTGATATCAATTCTATTTTAGTGTAAACCAAATACACCACAAGTATTTCTTCGACGACCAAAAATTGGAGAGGTGGCATGGTCTAATCAAGGTAAAATATTTTTTTATTTTTATCTAAGTATGATTAGAGTTCTATTAATTATTTAAGGTTCGCCCTTACTGATTGGACCAGTCGCACCCGAAAGCACAGCAAATGTTAACATACCTCTTAGTAATGGTAACTTGGTTTCATTATTACCACAAAAAGGAATACGTATGTCACAAATTCCAGACGTTGATGCACAGACGATTCACGAACTTAAAATTCTAAGGGATAATTTAATTAAAGTTTGCAGTCACGTTCAGAAGTAGTATATTCGTCGTCTATCGAACTACTATATTAAATATAATTAATTTTATGTTAAGTTAGTTATATCCATTCTTATAATTAATTGTCGCTGGTATTTTTGTATGTAATATATAAATGTACTAAAAGATGTATTAAATGTATGAATGAGTTTTAATATTCACAAGTATACGGGATCGGCAAGAGAAGATTTTTGTGTCAGTATTTTAATTATTTTATGTGTGGAAGTGAATCACTGTCGGAAAAAGTACAATGAGGTAATGGTTTAGTTTATGCATTTGGGAAAATCCTTGCTCTTCTCTTTGTTCAATACATTTCATTGTATTACTCAGATTCCAGATTCACTAAATTATTCCTACACAGGGAAAATCGGTACCCAAAGCCGATCGTTGCCAACCGTGTATATTACATTGCGATGTTTTTTAGAAACCCCACTTAGAGAGTTTAGAAAGTTTTACTCTATAACATTATAGACCCACCTGGGACCAACTCATTATTAAATACAATAGTCTTCCCATATAACACAACACAATCCTACAGATATCTTGAGAATATCCACCAAGGATATAGTAAATATCTTAGGGATATCCAAAAACTAGAGGAGGATATTTATGGGATATCCAGATGGGACAAAAAAAGTCATCTTCAAGACATCCCTAGGCAAACCTTTTACGATATTTTGGGATATTTATAGGATAATACAAGGATGATGTTGGGAACATTATAGAATATTTTTAGGACATATGAGGACTGTTACTTGACAATACTTCATCCTTAGTTTATAGTAAAAACGTTCGCAATTTAGTTTTATTTAGCCACATTTTGACGTTATTCATTAGATATTTTTATTAACAGCTCTAAAATATACCTACATATTCATATTATGTCAATGAATTTTGCGTCAAAATCATGTCAAAATTTAGAAGTTTATTTGTATGTGGTGTTTGTATGAGTTAAGAGCTTTCAATTTATACTGTACCTTCGAAAAAAAACGGCGTTCAGTTGGCTTGAAAATTACGATCGATGGCATTCCCCATATAATTTTACATACAAAATAACAGCAACCAAACCAAGCCACCTCTGACGCCGTTTTTTTCGATCGTATGGTGTTATACCAGATTATACTACCCTTTATGGAGTCTAGCAGCAACAGTTTACATCAAAGTTAGCACACAGGGGCATAGATAAAAGACTTATACTATTAAATAGATAGGCAACTTATAATACATTTTATTTTTATTATACAAGGGCGCCTCTGGTAGTCGGAGGAAGAAATACTTATGGAAGAGAGGGGTGCGGGGAAGGGGGGTTGTTTTAGTTAATTTAAAATAAATTTAGACATACATGTAAGAACACTTTGTGTGCTTTTAATTAGGTCGAACATATTATAAACGATAAATCAACTTAATTAAAAGCATACAAAGTGTTCTTATGTCGGATATTAATTAAAAATATATAAAAAGACTAGAAATAGTATATATTAAGTTGTTACAGTTATAATTTAATCTTTGGCGGTTTTCAGCAAATAGCAGGCAGTTTTACATAATTTTCCTCCCTTTGAAGTGAATTGGAAACGGCTATATAATTTTGGTGTAGGCAAGATTCCCAGTTTGTTTCCGTTTGAGACCTGAAATAATAAAAACAAATTAAATTAGATGTAATCATCTGCTGATCATGCTAATATAACACAACGCGTCCTTAATTCACCGTAAAAAAATTAAATAACTGCTTAGCAAGTAGCATTTATTAGCAGTACTAATTTAAAAAATCTATAACTGTAAGTAGATATGTTTAATTTACTTACCATTGTATCCTTCGGAAACCAGGTGTACAACAATTAAACTCCATGATAAAAAATAATTAAGAGTCTATACAAAACACAAATGTCCCACCATTTTTAAAAAACATTGTCTAAAACAGAATACTGGCAAAAACTCTGAAGGAATTTAATTTTACAATAATTCGATAAATCAAAACGAAATCAAACCGTAAAATCACAACAAAAGCGTCTCTGAGTGACAGTTAAAAATCAAATTTTATTATTGTCAGATATTGACATTTGCATTGATAATATTGACAGTTTTAATATTTTGCGCCTCTGCACAGTGCCTTCTATTAAAAGATCAGCCTACGGGCGAGATTTATGACGTCACTCTAGTTAGATATAACGGATTAATAAATTATATGTTGTAGAATACATGGAAAACATAATTATTCCTCAGATTTTTGGTTTGTATTTTAAAAATGATATAGTTTACATGAAATATACATAATATACAGTTAATAACTACAACATATATACCTATTTATAGTAATAAATACTTTGGCAAATAAACTATGAACCATACAAATGCAGCAAATGTTTTACAATGTACAAATAATGTATAGGTACATAAGATAATGGGTAAAATGTAAATATATTTTAAATTTTGGGGTTTGAAAATCGATCTAATTTAACAAAAAACATTCAATATCTACTAATAGTGATGTATTATTATTTGCATTCACAAAATTTATATGTATATTTTGCAAGTATCAATGTTCGAAAAATTATATTTACAAATAATACAATATTATCTAAAAAAAGGCGTCAGCGATGGCTATGAAATGAAGATCGCTGGCATTTTAATGTAAAATTATTCTAAAATTTTTTATTTTCTTGGGATTTTTAGGTTCGGGAAAAACGCCGATTTAAGTTTTCATTTGGGTTTTCTTTATTTTTATTTGGTTTAAAAAAACGTTTTGGCTAACTATAGCCTTCATCAGTGTTGTGTCATATGAGAAAAATAGTCTCGGATATAATCCAAAAAATTACATATACAATATAATTCACACCTCATAATGTTTACTGCAATTAACAAACTAATATAAACTTATCAAAAGATGACCACATATTTTTTAAAATTACTATTCTTAACACTAAAATTATCTACATTGACTATGGAGTACGCGGGAAACATTATGTGTGTGGTGTGAATATTTTATATGTAATTTTTTGGATTATATTCGACACTATTTTTTTCATGACACAACACTAATGAAGGCTATAATGTTAGCCGAAACGTTTTTTTTAAACCAAATAAAAATAATAAAAAACCAAATGAAAACTTAATCAGCGTTTTTCCCGAACCTAAATCCCAAGAAAATCAAAAAAATTAGAATATTTAGAAACAAGGTTCGAGAATATCAAATTTTCCAAGATTGTAAAATTCTAGTTAACTATTTTATGTGTACAGTTATTTAGGGAATGTCATCGATGTTCATTTCCAAGCCAACTAGACGCCGATTTTTTTCGATGATACGGTACAATTCTTACGTAAAATGTAAATATTATTAGACCAATTAAAACAAAGAAATATGAATTTCTTAGTATTTTTAGTAACACCTTTATTCTTAAAACTTAATTTTGTATTATGCAAATATACCAATTTTATTGTTATTTTATTCATATTGTATTCAGCCATCACTTAAATATTTGATATTAATTTGGTATTATAAATAATCAACACTATTCATTAAAAATTACTGAACAAAAATATATGTTATGCTTGACAACTTGACATACATTATATATTATCAAATTGTTATCAAACAAAAACACATTCTTCTTTTAAACTGTATCAGTCTTGTCTTTACAAAAATCTTTTTTAAAATTTGAACTCAAAATAATAATCTTTTTCATGATCTTTAATACACATATTCTTTATTTTTCCCTAGATCATAATACCTACTTAGGTGTTTGAATCTATCGAAGCTGAACCAACAACACTTGGAGTGGAGATTCCACAATATGAATAAAATAAACATAATTGTCCAGTTTTCATTAATACGATCATGGGAGAATATTATTTTTAAATATATTAAAGATATTTTCAATAGAATTCTCTTAATTTATAACTCGTACCCACTTTTCTTGCTCTTCCGGACACTTTAGGCTGCCTAGTATAACTATCCTTTCCACCAGGAACACAACAAAGATGATGCATAGCACCGAAAACACACTCCACTTAAGCTTTATTGATGAATTGTTAGAGTCTTAAAAAACACACACAAAAATCACGATGAGTAAAAAATGTATCGGCACTTTTAGGTTAAATCACTTACACAACGTGTAATTTTTCAATTTTTCTATTTTTTTATGCGAAACCGAGAGTGACCATATATCTGGTAGTAGTTTATGTCACTTAAACACCAAAATAATTAGTTTTTTGCACTACAATAATAAATAATACCAAAAATCAACCGACAAAATATGAAACGGAATCTAACCCAATGTCTAAGTATGTACAGCTGATGAAGTAAACAAAAGTCCGCCCCAAGGCTGATCTTTTAAAGAACGGCAGTGCTCTGCATCTTGGAGGAAAAACTATTTTTAATGAACCGTCATTTCCATTTAAGTTTCTCAGCCATGCACAGGGGATACAGGTACAATTTCTAACACCACACCTTCCAGAAACTCACAATTTAAACACAAAAATAGGATTTCTGTTCGAATAGATCAAACACGAAAATGGGTTCAGGGATAAAGAACAAGCGCTTTTCAACAAATTTTCACCTATAATTTTGTCACAAATTTTTCATTGTGAGACCCTGAGTCGTTCGTCGTTTTTCGACATTAGTTGAGGTTAGGATAGAATTTCTGCTAGAAGAAAAGGTTAGAACCAGTGTTGCCAGATATACCATTTAAATGGTATCTATACCATTTTTTCTTCCTTGATACCTGCAAAAATTTTGAGTATACCATTTTCCATTTTTCTACCATTTTTTGAAGACGTTACCATTTTTCTACCATTTTTTTAGAATCCCAGCGATCTACATTTTTTAAACTTTTTAATGCAAACCAATCTAGTTTTCACATCTACTAAAAATATGAAGCACATCTCTATTAGGCTATCTCATATCTCTATTATTTTTTATAGGTATTATTTCTTGAAAAGTTTTATTTTATTCTAAGTCTATGGTTTTACCTATATTTTCAGAGCCAAATATGTAGATTATTAATGCTGAATTATTAATAATATATTTTATGTTACCTATCTATTTAAAATGTTCCCATTACCTTATTATTATATTAGGTCTGTTCGTTTTCCTGTTATTATCGATTCTGAATTGTCCAAGAACTCTCCAGCGCATGCGCAAATGAAATAATGTCTTCATATTTCCTTCTGCGCATACGCATCACAATTCTAGGACGGTTCAGAAACGGTAATAACTGGAAAACGAAAAAAGCTATTAATTATACCTATTTCTTTTATTATTATTTTGCATAAATAAAATGTTAAAAAAAATTTAAATGCCTTGCGCAAGAGTTCAAAACTGATGTGACAACCAACAGCTACGATGTTTTCAACCAAATTGAGGTTCGTTTGGTTTTTGGGGTTAATCCACGGTTAATCATAGTATCAAAATTATAAAAATATTAAGATCCTCTTTAAAAGTAAAAATACCATTTTTTTCAGTCAAATACCATTTTTTTAAATACTCGATACCACTTTTTATTTTTTCCATCTGGCAACACTGGCTAGAACTATGGGTATAAGAAAAAAACTAAGTCAAACTCAACCAGTTTTGTTAGTTTCAGTCATTTTTAAGCCCATTCAACATCGACAAACGACCGAATTCACCTCGAATTTCACTAAATCAAAGAACTGAATAATACACGATGCAAAAACAAACAACTGTCTCTGCAACCATACAACCACCCTTAGATTAAGAATAAAAACAACCACCAAACACCAAACACATACACAATCTGCAACTGTCGAGATGGATTGTGGGAAATTTTTTGAGCGGTCGTTTTAAATTCTCTGTCGCATTACTGAAAGTGGCCAAGCTCATAAATATCCAGATTATCGAGAAGATACCAAGTTGCCTTGACGTAATATATATCTATCTGTATGGTTTATTGCATTTTATGTAATATAAAAAGTAGTAAATTATTTATTTTTCCTAAATATCTAGACCATATTGTTAGGATATTTTATTATCCTGAGCATGTTTGGATATCTCAGCTGGATGTACATTAGATATACGACAGATATATCCATAGGATATTCTATTCTGAGACATCTACAGGATTTCAGGATGTCTAGAGGATATCCTATAGATATCTTTATAGGATGATCCTGTAGTGGGACATTCCGACATTCTATGGATATCCTGCGGATATTGTGTGTTATATGGGTTTTTATCTGCAATAAGGCTCGTTTACGTTAGTATTGCAGTGGCGGCTCGTGACCCCTTCTGACAAAATTGTAGGGTAGGCGCCGCTTAAAGATAAAACCAACTTACTAAAAGCCATTTGCGTCATCACCGCAAGACAGCCTTGTAGAAGTTGGTTTTATCTTTACCTTGCCTACCCTGACGAGCCCGCCACTGTCGTACTTATTCATTATTATGAAGGCTAGAAGCCGTCTAGCCTCCATATTCATTATAAATCTTTTAGGATGGACGATTCATAAAAAAACGGACATTGTTTTGGTACTTTTTTATATATCAAAAGAAATACATACAATTCTTTATAAAAAGATAATCAAACATATAATTTTACAAATATAAAAAAATAAACAGTTGTAAAACTTTTACACTAGACACACTACATTAATTTCACTATAGATGAATTATTACAAAAGTAATTTTTAAATGTAATGTAATGATTCATAAACTTATATCAAATAAATCAAATTATTTTACATATTATAAAGATTTAAAGTGGTACCACTAGTTATATACAGATATTAAAAAAATGCTAATTATTATATAATTAGCATTTCCGATTAGTTTTATACACCCAAGAAATATTGTTCAGGTGTATGCTCCAACTGTTGCTTCGAGCGATGTTGAGATTGACCATTTCTACCATGAAATTCTCTCCAAAATATTCCGAACAAAGACCTAACCATAATAACCGGCGACTTTAATGCTAAAATTGGAGATACAACTAATAACGAATATATTAAAACTATTGTTGGCAAATATGGCATTGGTATGGGGGGAATGCTTACTTTGCAATCGAAAACAATCTAAATGTAATGAACATAACATTTCAACATCATATCCGAAGGCTCTACACATGGATTAGTCCTGGATACAGAGCACCGCAACCGGATAGATTATATTCTCTCTAACTCGAGATGGAGAATCTCGTTCAGGACAGTGGGGATTCATATAAAGTTAAAAAATGTTGTAAGAAAACCAAAACCGAAGCAGATGGAGATCCACGACTAATACATTTTCAACAAGAACTACTGAAAACATCGTGGAACGTCAATGAGAACACGCAACCGCAACAGATTTGGATAGACTTTAAGAACTGTCTCAGTAATACCACTTCTCAACAACTGAATAACAAAAAACAACATTGGATTTCTGACAACACATTGCTAAAAATTGAACAAAGATGAACATTAGTACAAAGTGGTTTAAAAACACAATATGAAAAAGATAACTACATATAGAAAAATAAAAATTGACGCAGCTGAGATGTACTGCTGGCGAGGAATGCTCAGAATTCCCTGGACTGCCTGATAAACCAATGAAACCATAATCCAAGAACTGAACATCATAGAACGTCTCTCACCTTCTATACAGTCACGTATGCTTAAATATTTCGGTTACGGTATATGAGGAGGGATGCTGATTGTATGTAAAGACTCATTATACAGGCCAAGGTTCCAGGAAAAAGACCAAGAGGCCGCTCGCCCATCCGATGGATAGACCAGTTAAGGACAAGACAGGGAATTATGGAGACAAACTACACACACATCAGTTCACCACCACATTCCTCTTGTAGGAAGAAAGACAGAGAGAGATTATTAGTTTTATAGTTATAGTGGTTATATATTTTGTACTATAATTGAGTGTCCTTACTTATGACTATTTTCTTTTTGCACAGAACGTTGGTAATTTATTTTTTCTTTTCTTGCCTTTATTTTCATTAGCTGATAATTCCCCAAAATCATATTTGATTTTTAGCCGTTCTCGTATAAGCAGCCCTTGAATCAACCTTTTCCAATTTTTATAAACACGTTTATCAATTCTTTCTTGTTCTTTCCGGTCCAATTCATCTTGCTCCTAAATAAAACCGGTAAAATATATGTAGGTAAAGTTAATGTGAATTAGAGTTGGGCTAGAACGTGAAATCGCATTAAGCGGTATACCGGTGACCGCGATTTTTTATTCGCTGTAAAATTTACCTGTGAACGTGAATTATACCGTTAATGTTAATTTTTACCACGGAGGAATAAGAGAGGGGAGGCGCTACAGCTGTTGCGGAAACGATATCAGCCGGTCATATTGATACTCTATGTCATTTGTGCATTTTTCTTAAAATTAAAAAAGTTCCATCGATAATTTGAGTGTTTTCTATTAAAAAAAAGCATTAAAACCATGGTATCGTGTGGGGTATAGTTTATCTGAAGTCAGTTGGAATAGATTGGGACTCTTAATTTCGGCACTGTCTTTCTCGGTGCCTTTGTCGGTATCGACGGGACAAGGGAATTAAGAGTCTCACTACTTCCAACTGACTTCGGAAATACTATACGCAGTTGTAGGAGCCAGCAAGGTATCGACTCGAAGAAACTCCCAAAAACTACAAAATTATCGATAAAAAAATAAAAATTAGATTACGGAATTACGAGGTATAAGTTTACTACAGCATAACGGACATACATTTAGTGGATCATTATTACCTTAGTTGAAGGCCTATTTTAATCATTGTTTGCTTTTATTATTTGAAGTTTTACCTAAACCGGTCCTGTCGAATTACTGTCCTTTGTTGTATCAGTTACGCTTTAGCCAATCAGGGTTTATTCTTATCTTGGTAACGACCATGAAATGCTACTGTTATTTCACGGTGAAAATATCACTAGGTAGCGATTTTTTGCCCAACTAATGTGAATTAATAACGCTAATAATAATTATATCTGTATAATATTTACCAATTCCCAGGCTTTAACTAATTGATCTTCATATTCTTTGCAAACGACATAACCATCATATACAGGATGACTCCAACCCCCATGAAAATCAAATCCGACTATAGCTGCTGCACAGTCAATATTCAATTTCCTTGCAGTTTTATTTAACCCTGAAACTAAATGTCAGATATTAATAATAAATGTTTCAAAATGGTAATATTAAATTGTTTCCATACGTATTAAATGAACAGTTCCTTTAGGTAGCATGCAAGGTTTAAATAAATCCACATTTCCAAATGCATTTTTGGGCACTATGCCATTTTCAGCAGTTGGAGGATCATAATCTTCCACTTGCCAGGGCCCATATATTTCAAGCATTTGATCAGTAATTACCTTATTTGATAACTGAAAGTGCAAAATTTTATCATATACATTCTGAAAATGATTTTATATTGAATGTCACTTACTTTATCATATTTAGGTCTAGCCTTGACAATCTTATAAGGTTGTTCGCCTAACTTTACAACCTTAGCTTGCTTGAGCCAAATATCTCTAGAATGTAAAATATAAACGCAACTTCTTGGATAGACGGCCTCTCCCCTAATAAATCCTAGTGTTGGTGGTTGTGGTGGATACAGACCTTCAAACTTCAGTAAATGCCTCTTCAATACATACAAAGGATGACTTTTGTATCTGAAATAGAACAATATGTATGTACTAGAGATGGGTAGATCCGGTATTTTAAAAAAAGTCGGATCCGGAGTTACATCATGTTTCATAGACCATCCAGGTTCCAGTTATGCCGTATCTATATCATTCTAACCTTTAATTTTAATTTAGACCTTTTTGTTTTGAATGAAGCAATATCCGCGTTCAAAAGTTTGGTAGTCCGTTAAGAAAATCTGATGTTTGCGTTTTGCCAAATCCTTATCACCTGATAACGTAAATTCCCTATGAACGAAAAAAAAAACCGACGTCAAATACGGCTGGGAATTGACAATCAATGATAATTTCGGCGACGTCAATCTCTAGGCGTCATTTACTAAAATTGACATAAAACTTGTCAATATTAACACTAATAATTATAGAAAGATTAGACAAGGACATTATTCCTGGACCGCAGAGGATACGTTTCCAGACACAAAAATCTGCTGCGACACGTATAATACAATTAAATCAAATGGTGCAACGCGCACTACCGTACAGGCCGTTGCGTTAGCTGGTCGCTGCGACCTGGTTGTCACTGTTGCCAGTGCGTTTGAGCCTTAAAAGTTACTATAAGTGCTATATATTTTAATGTAAAAAAAGTTGACATCAGGTTCAGTCATTACAGAACCATGCGTCGAGCCTGGTGCTGTAATGGAAGTCGCTCAGTGTGAACAGGGTCTTAAATGAGAAATGTTCTTATTGGTTTATGTAATTTCAAAGACCTTAAATAAATTAAAGAAGAGAAATTATTTTTAAAAAAGCATGGCCTGGTCAAAATATTTAGAAACCCTGGTGATACTTTTTGTGTGGTATTTATACCAAACCAAACAACAAACATACTCAGAAATCGATTTAGGTAAAGGTTGATCCAGTTGTTGCCTTTCTAGATCTTCATCTTCCTCTTCATCTCTAGGTGTTGATATTCCTTTAAAAGGGTATAAACTTTCATTCCACCATTTAGAGTTTATTCTTTCTTTTCTTGTAATAGTATTGAAATTAGGACAATATCTTGAAGTTACATCTTTAATATTATTGTTGTTATCCCATCCAAGAATATACACAACCGGATGTGAAGCCCTTTGCTAAATTATAAAAAAATTGTAGATTATGATTAAACACAAAAAGGAAATCTTACATAAAGTTCTTTTACACAATGTAATTTTCCATTTGCCACATCAACACTTATCCATTTTTCTTCAGCATCGAGAAAAACCTCAACCCATACATCATTTTTATTGTTCTTCTCTAATTTTGGTTTCTCTTCGACTATTTTTCCAGGTACTTGAACTCTTCTCTTAACTTTAACTTTTGGGACAAAATCGTCATCGCTACTATGATATTTCTTTCTTATAGGTGTAGGTATATCACTATCGCTGTCATTATCAGGCATAGATTTTCTTTTTCTTACCATTCTAAGGGCATATTAATACTATAATATAGTAATAAATAAAATGTCACCTAAGTGACAACTACCTTACCTACTAGAATCATTTCTTTTTTGTTCAGTAATTCTTCCTTTAACAAGATTGATAATATCCTCACGGACATCAAGCTGTCTAGATTTTCCTTTACTCTGAGCTTTTTCCAAGTTAATTGGTACTTTTTTCCCACTTTTACCATTTAATAATGGTGTATTTTTTCTTAGTTCCTTTAAGTCTGGTTTTGAACTTGACTTTTTACAACTCCTCGTTCTTCTCTTATCATCAAAGTCACTGTCACTATCATAGTTACCATCCAGTTGTGGTATAGAAGTACTTTTATATCTTTTTGAATTTGTTTTGTTTTCAATGTTTTTTTCTAAATTCAAAGGTGTCTTTTTAAGCTTCGTTAAATCCAATTTAGTTTTTCTTTTAGTAGCATTAGAGACTTTCGTTTCACTTTCAGAAGCAGATACTTGTTTTAAGTTAGTATTTTCTACTTTTTTATTTATATTATCTTGTTTGCTTTTACCACGCTTTGCAGAATCAGAACTCTGAGAGGATGTAGATTTATTTTTTAATTTACTAGATGTCGAGTCAGCTTCTGTAGTTCTCAAATGAGTATTAATTTTCTTGGTAACTGAACTTTTTGATTCAGTGGTTTTATCCTTTTTTAGTTGACTTGTTACTGTGTTATTCAGGTGTTTTTTGACATCTTTAGAGATTTTTGAAGATCTATCGTTGTCTTTATTTTGTAACTTTTCTTTTAAACTGATGTTAGACTTATTAAGACGGATCTCTTCGTTTTTAACTGTACTAAGTTTATTTTCTTCTTTTACATTTGTTTTTGACTTACATGAACTTTCTCCTAAAGTGACTTGCTCATTATTTTTTTTAGTTGGTTTATCAACAGCAGTTTTTCTTTCTGATAGTAATTCATCAACTGGAGGCCTTAGAGGTTCAACTTGAAGTGACATTACAATTCTGCACTGAATACCTAATGATCTTATTATAGCAACAAAAATAAAGGCTAACATTTTTTTGTTATATGCCTCTTTTCTACTCATTTGCAAGCAAAGGCATTTTTCTAATAGTATGTCACTAGGCACCGGCTTCTCCAAGACATCCATTGTCTTCTTATACCAACTTAGAATACTTTCTAAATAAGTCAAATCAGGCCTTTCAGATGGATAACTCTTTACTGATGGTATAAGAGATAAAGCCATAGCTAAAACTTCTGTTTTATTTAAAATACTGTTAACATAGTTTCCGTGTGCTATCCAGCACAATAAATGTACTTTGTGTACTAGAACTTGATTTTCCTTTCTGACACGATTTAATCTTCTTTTTATTTTTGCAGCATAATCTATATCTAACAAAAAACTCATAAAAAAATAGTAAATTTTATATAATATGTATTACCTTTCTTTTTTGATGTGCCTGGCAGATCAACAATAACTTGTATATCTTTTAATGGCATACATTCAGTATTTTTGCTTGCAAGTTTAGAATTAATGTCTTGCCATTCATCACATGAATTTTCTGAATCAGATGATGTAGAATGTTCAAGACCTGAAGATTTTCTAACGTCATTTTTTTCTCCTGCAGCTAGTAGCTGTTCTACATCAACTCTTTTGTTTTGAACATTTTTTTGTGCTTTATATTTCTCTACTACTTTTTTTGCTTCTTCAATTTTATTCCTATAATCAGACAATTGTGTGAAGACTATTTTAGATGAATTACACATAGGAATGTTTTCTGTTTTTAATGAAGTACTATTTTCTGAATTTTCACCTGTCTTACTGTCATTGTCTGATTCAGAATCACTAAGTGTAGCGAGTGCTAAAATTGTAATGTCACTGTATTAGAGTTTAATTCTAAATTATTAATTTTTATTGAATTTTAATAATGTACTTTTTTTAAATTACTCACCTGCAGAAGTGGGTTTTGAAAATGTACTTAATTCAGTTACATTTTCTCCTTTACTCTCAAATAAAATTGAGTCTAAATTTATATTTCCCGGTTTTATAAAATAGTTCTCCATGTCACTCTCACTTGACGACTCATGATGAAAAGCGGAAACCATTTCCTTAGAAGACTTTTCATCTTCACTCTCACTTGAACTTATATACTTTCTAGTAGTGTTTCTGTTACGTCTCATCATTTTCTATTAAAACAATTAAAACAATAAAAAATGTTTATACCTCTGTTGTTCAAAATATGTTTATTCATCTCTTCAAAGAAGTCCAATGGGTATTTAGCCACTTGAACTACAAGAAAAACTACAAAATAGAATAGTTAGAGTAGAAAAAAATATGTTCTTTGTGTTTTCTGGCGACGGGAAGAGTTACTTCCTGAAACTTAAGCATTTTTTTTATTTATTATTTTGTTTATTAGTAAATTACTCCTGACAAATTGGTCTTCTTTGGATTAACGCATCAGTGTTTACAAAAAATACCTATTTTATTTTATTTTGTAGTTTTTCTTGCAGTACAAGTGGAGAAATACCCATTGGACTTAATTACTTTATTTCAAATAGAAACTTAAAAACCAAAAAAATATGCTGAATAATTATGCAATATTGGTTCATAAACTGTTTAAACACACCTTAGGTATATAATTGTATTAATCAATCCCAACTGCTTCTGAGGAACAAAAATGGTATATAACAAAGGGTTTTTGTGGCGTACTTCGTTACTTGTTTTTTTGAAATATCTACCATTACCTAAATACTGTTTTAATCTCTGCTACCTTTAAACAATTCAAAAAATTACCAAACCTTCAATGATATAATACCAAAATAACACCAAAAAAGGGTACAATAAAATATGTATTAAAATTACCAGTCATATTTTTTAAATTGTTATTCATTCGGAGATGTTTTGAAAAAGATTGTGCTAAAATTCAAAATATTCAAAACAGCAAACATTTCACAAGCAGCTGATATCGATACACTATCGACAGGTGACAGGAATGACGTACCAAGGCCAATGTCTTTGGTTCCGTGCATCAGAGATATAGGGTAAGGACAGTTAGCTGTTATATTTTGGTCAGAAATTCAGTAAATTCTAATCATGTTTAGCTGGCGCTAGCCTGGCGTTAGCTGATCCTCTGGCTGGTCCATAGATTACTGATCTAATTTTTGATATATATGGAGAGGTCAAAAAGTTGTATCATGGATCATGGTCCACAAGTCCACAGTTCACACTGAAATTGATAATTTGTCATTTTGTCTTCAACACGTCCTCAAGAAAAAGGTTTATCTTTTCGAAAGACCGAATTGATATTTGAGACTGACATTTAGCAGGAACAAACTCATTACCCATCTATAATAGACGACCAAAATAATTACATTGTGGAATTCTTGTGGAAGGCGGTCTAATGATTAAAAATATAAATTGATAATTAATTAAAAAAACTACTGTCTGTATCTGTACACCTTCAATTTATAAATTAGGCGCCGCTTTAAATACCTGTATTCCCTAAAAAGTATATCACTCTGTATCGATATCGATATTTTCCCTTGATATTTTTTGAAAGAGAACAACTCTATAAAGGAGACAAAACCACGGACAAAACCGTGACAAAACCACAGATCTGACACAGAATAAAATTTAAAATACATATGCTGTCCTCCTTTCACGCAGTTGAGCAGCTCTGAACTGTTCAAGAACGCGATACTCTCACTCCATTCAATTGAGTCATAAAGTTCCAGAACTGTTCCGCGCCATATGGAGGCACCAGCTATCGCGCACCGCTCCTTTCAGAACCGTTCTCGAATGGAGGACAGCAATCAAACTCGATCTTCTGTCCTTCAATACTGGGACATAAATTCTCTCATTGCTCTTATGGGGAGGCCGCAGTATATTTTAATTAAAACGTATTTGACAGCAATAATCTCTGACAAAACTGTCAGATTACCGGTAAAGTAGATTTCAGTTTTAGGAATGTTATATTAGCATCCGTAAGATGACCATACCCCAAAAATGGAAATCTGTGTCTATGGAAGTGAGTTATTCAAAGAACTTTAAGGTTAGATGGCGGAACGCTCGACAAAACAATCGAAACTAACATCAAACTACTTGGGCAAAAATTAAACAGTTTTACGCGTGCTTTCCGAGTGGTTGGTTGAGTTACGGATTTTAGTGTTAGCCCGTTTGTTTCAAAATGGCGTTCAATGGAGATGGACCTCATAGCAAAAGACAGAGGACTGATACCGACTCCGCTAATAATAGAGTAAGTACCTCACTAGTCAGTTTCCCCTGTATATCTTCGAATCATAATTAGGCGCCGCTATAAAATGTTAGGTTATGTACAACAACAATCGCTTCTTAGGGGATGATCCCTTTAAATCGTACTCTAGGAGGTATTTACTTTCTAGAGGCGTTATTCATCTGCTGATTGGAATACTTGCTTTTCTAGTCTTTTCCCATATAATTGATTTGTTTTTTTGATTTAAAGAAAGTTTTCAGTGATGTTTTCTTTATTTTGTTTTGAAATTCGCTCGCTCATTTCGCACATTCGAAAAACTATTTATTTGACATAAAATTATTTTATTACTAAGTTGTTAAGAATATTTTTGATTTAATTTTTCGTATTAATTTATTATTCATTATACTATAAGATATGCACATTTTTGTAGTAACTTCTATTAAAAAATAGCCTTTTTTACATACTTGTTCGGGTTGCATATCTGCTTGTAAATTGTAAATAAATAGATTCGAATGTTTTACAAGGATCCTACAGTAGGTACGCGCAATAAAAAAAAATAACCTTAAAACCTATCTAAAATACATTTTGAAAAATTTTATAGACCAATGTGCCGTTAAAATTGTGAGGTATTTTACCTTCAGCTGTTTCGGAGAGTATCTCTGACAAAACATTTATTTTTTTTTATCTTTGGAAATCGTAAACACTTAATTTTATTTATAGGTAGATTTGTAATACAATTATTATACAGTAAGATCCCAGAGCGATCAGACATAACTTATTTTCCCAAGGATGAAACCTTACTTACGCTCTCAGTAGTTCTCTCATGTGCTTTGAATAGGTACCGGCTTGGCAGATACTAGGTGAGAAAGGCAACTAAAAATAAGAGTTACTTAACTTAAATTTCAATTTGTATGGATGATTTTCATATATATAAACATATATTGTAGAATATTACTTTGAAATAGTATCAAAAGTATCAGACATTTTTCATGGACCAGAACTTTTATCAGACGCTTTAAAGCTCCACAAGAAATAAATGAACTTTACTTATTTTTATATGTATTGTCTGTAAAATGCATGCTGGTCATTTAAGTTTGGCGGTCACTTGTCGAAAACGTAACGAAACGACCAGAACTTAACAAAAAAAAATATTCAACGTTATCAATCTTCGCTAATTAGTACATTAAAAGACTTCAAATCAAAAATAAAACACCACAAATACGTCTCTGGCGAGGTCTCTGCTTAACTCACTGAAACCCAATGCCCACAACTGCGGCTCATTCGACGAAACGATTGAATTGAACAAGTCAGGGACTATTTCGACAGAGGACATCCAAAAATGACAGAAAATACGATTTACTTGTGGATTAAAATGACAGATACAACTGTCACTGTCATAGATCTTCTCGTTAGATAGATTATAGCCGTCGGTCTAAGCGCTGCCGTTGTGCGTCCTCTATGAGAACCGCGATAGGCGATGCGCAAAATTTTATTTGAGTGAGAGATTTAGATGTACTTAGTTGGCGAAAATGTTTTACGATACTATATACTTTGAAAACCTCTTATGTACCCGAAACCTATTTTCGTAGGAGAAACAAACTTTCAAGTGAGCCCTATTTCTATTAATTGTAAAAAAATTGTGCACAGATCGAAATAATTAGATTTTGTCTTACAATAAAATAGACTATGAAGTCTCTATCGAAATAGGCTATAAATATAACTTTTCCCAAAAATTGAACTTACGAGGTTTTCGAAGTAAGGTATCGTATATCATTATAAAATGTTCAATTTACTCAGTTTGCTGAATGCGTATACGATAACTATTTTCTATTTTTTACGAATGAAGTTTAAATTTCCCACGAATATGGTGTTTTGGGTTAGAATTTCCCTCTGGATCTCGAAATTTCCCATGAATCGGGAAATTTCCTGCGAGTTGGCATTTGGCATCACTGCCCAACCGTCTTTGACGCCGTTTTTTAATCATACGGTATAAAATCCTTTTATATATGATTGGTTTTCGAACATTTTTCAAACAATCGAACATATTTTTATCTGCGAAAATTTTTAATGGCTGAAATGTATAATAGGATGCTAAAAATCTGTTTTCTGTCTCGATTGTCCGAATTCCGTTTTATACGAGCTGCCCGCGAGCAGTAGCAAACTACCAAACTAGAAATTAATGTTTTTAAAGATTTAAAAGAATGCTTTGTATGATGACCACTAAGTTATTCCACTAATTTCGAGGTTGAGAATGAGGCTCTAAGTTTGATTCAGAACTTCGATGGAATAAATTAGTGGTTTGAATTAGCGTATAAGTTTGTTTCTCTAAAGCTGCATTCACAACCTCGCAATTAGTGGAATAAATTAGTGGTTTCAATTACACTTTATACTTTTTAGTTTACGATCATTCACAATATTTAAAAAGCACAATTAAAATTAATAGAATATCCTAGCAACCGCTAGTTGTATCAGTTGTATCCAGAGAAAGCCTAATATTTAGATTATAAAACAATCAACTTTTGATTTATAATCACAATTTCTCTTGGCAGAAGGTAATCAAAGGCGCCAAAATTACATTTCTCGCAAATTTTGTAGTATAAGTTTTGTAGTAAGTATCTACAATTAGTGGAAAAGTTAAAAGTTTGATAACTTTTTCTACTAATTGAAATTGTCTACTACTAATTTTGACGTTATAAACGCTTACATTGAAATTAAAGGAACAAACTTCTACGCTAATTGAAACCACTAATTTATTCCACTAATTGCGAGGTTCTGAATGAAGCTTAATTTCAATGTGAACATTCAAAACGCCAAAATTAATGGTAGTACTTTTCAATTAGTAGAAATAGTTAGCGTTAATGCCATTTTGGCCTTTAATTATCATCCGCCAAGAAAAACAATTTTAAAAAACCACTAATTTATTCCACTAATTTCGAGGTTCTGAATGAGGCTTTAAATATACTTATTTTTCAAGTTAGGTATTGCGATAAATCTATATGTCATGTTATCGTTGATATTACAAGAAATTAAAATACTGTCATTTACATTCTAATGATAAACATATCCTGCTATATGTAATGAAACAATTTTCTTCCCGCTAAATAGTGCGGAATGCTAGGTAATAGAACCGCATGCAGAATACATAAGTTATAGATTAAAATTCGCTCTGCTCTGGGAAAGGCGTATTCACGAGGACATTGACCTTCTACCAAGGAAGGTTGACCAGATGCAGTTCAATCTGGTTGATTTTTTTTTCATTTGCTCTTCCATTCTCGTAATTCTGCTTTTATTTATTTCTGTTTTGCGAGAATCTGCTGCATTTTGAATATCGAATCAATAAGCAATAAGGTACTATATTCTAAAATATAGTTTTTGATATTTATGTTTTGGTTTCGATAACTAAATTAAGAGTTAATGGATCATATTCTTCAATAGTATTATGATCTATCCATTCAGTTGGCTTGGAAATGAACATCGATGACATTCCCCATATAATTTTACATATCAAATGACAGCGAGTCATTCTTCATTTCATAGCCATCGCTGACGCCGTTTTTTTTCGATCAGTAGTAGGATGAAAATGTAGTATGGGCTAAGGATATGTTTTAGTGTTCTCGGATTTTCTTCTTTGAAAAGATATCGCCACAGATATTTTTTTTAAGTTTTTTTTATGGAAATAAGTATAGTAGAGCATATTATTTTAGAAATCCCATATCAAGCCAAATAAAATGAAAAAATAATATACAGGGTTTCCCATTTAGAAAACATAAGTTTGAGTCACGTATTTCGAGAACGACGACAGCTGCTAGCGAGAAACTAGTTACGCCACTGGTTTCTAAGTAAAATACTTTACGGAACTCAGTTTTCACTTTTTCGCTAAGATATAACCAAGATACGGAGGGGGTTGAAACATGCAAAATTCTCTAATTTGCCATGTATTTCAGAAACAAAGGGGGCTAGGACAAGTCTGTGTTTAATATGTGTGTTTCATAAAAAATAGCACAGTGATGTGAAAACCACATCTTTATATCTCTACTCATGAACGAGAAACCCCATAAAACACACGAAAATGGGACACCTTGTACTGATGCCTCGTATTTTTAATTTTTTTTATTATGACATACATATGTATGTCATAATAAAAATATATATTTATTTAAGACATACATATGTATATACAGGGTGGCCCATCGAAAACGTTCCGCAAGACATAACGGCCAGGGTATTTTTATTTCAAAAAATCCAAAAACACGTCAATTTTGTTTGTGAGGGGGACAACTTTTGCCCCAAAAAGATTGCAAAATCTTCAACCCTCTAAGCGGGGGTGTCATCTCCCAACTTTTTTCAAATGGGAAGGGGGGCCAAGTGGCGCCGCAATGAAAAGAGCTTTCTATTCTCTATATTTCCCCGCTTCGTTTTTGAAAATCGGTCTAGTCATTGAGAAAATATGAAGGATTGAAATTTGAAAAGTTTATTTAAACATTTATCAGAGTAAATCGTCCCATTGCTGCCAAAAGTCACTAACTTACTTTTTATTACTTCCGAGAAAAACGCGTCTAAAGATGAATTGCATTGCATAATGATGTTATAGTTAGTAACTATTCGGTATTAAAATAAAACATAGAAAACATAACCAGAAATCGTAGTTAATGACTTTCTCAATCGATTCTCCGCTTCAAAATATAGTTAGTAATTCAATTTTCAGGTTGTTCGGAAAAATGTTAGTTAGTGACTTTTGGCAGCAATAGGACCAAATGATCAGGACAAATTCCTTCGACCAATTTGCTGTTTTTTCTTATTATTTCTAAATGTTTACGCATTTTTTCACTTGCCACAAGGTTGAACGATCAGGTGTGGTCTCAATATCGTTAAACTGACCCACAATAGAATTTCCAAAAATACCAGCCCGCGACGATCAAAATCGTCTTCGTTGAGTTCTTGTACCAACTGAATTTTGTATGGGTGGAACTTGTGTTTTTTTAATATCGTTTGGACACTTGTACGATTCACGCCGGTCGCGGTCT